TCTGCCGCCCGCGGTGACCTGCATCATTTTTGCGACCGCTCTGGGCGGGTTAAAATTGCTGTGAAAGGGCAGGGCCACTGCCACACTGTAAGGCCATTGGGCAGTGCTGAATGCCGCGGTGGAAAGATAAGCATCCTGACTATGCTCGGAATCTGGGTCCGAGAGATGTGATAGGAAACGGATGAGGAAGTTTTCCACGAGCCGTGCGGCCTAAGTCGGAGCTTGTATAGCCACTAGCCATTCCCACATTCCGTATCCAGAATCGAGGAAATATATCAAGGCAAGGCCGTCCGAGCGAACCGTTGGGCATTCTTCAACCCATCAAACCAATAATCCACACCGGCTACTGCCGGTCGTCGATGGGGATGACCCTCGTCTCCCTGCTGTGTTTCCGGTACGCCTAATGGAACGTGTCCAGGAGGGGGAGGGGAGCAAGACTTTTGGCCGCGGGGGCTGTAGGACTTGTCGAAGGCGTCATCTCAAATGTGACCAAACTGAACCAGCATGCAACCGCTGCCAAGCATCAGGTCTGGCTTGCGAGGGATTCTCCTCAGCTTTACGCTGGGTTGTGTCTACAGGCGCGGACCAGGCGTCTCCGCCAGAGGAGGACGGGGCTGATCAATACGCCAGACGGCAGCTATATACCGGTATGCAGTTTGAATACCTTATCTCGAAGCAATACGCTTGATGCAGCGTTGAGCGAGGCGATTTCCTGAGCGGTGAATAGAGACTAATTTACAACCATCCCAACTTTAGAAACTAGCCGGCAGTCGATGTGCCAAAGCTTATTAGCGACACGTCCTTCAAATTTGGCAACTACTCTTGTAGAAGTGGATGACGAATCTAAAACCTTCGAAACCCGAGCCTCCGGCGAGTTTTCTGTTGGGCCGTTCGGTGTTTTCAAGGTCAACCATATTAAGCCGGTAGAGACACCCCCCTCAAGTCGCCCAGACCCAATATCAGAGCAGCAAAGAACACCAGATACGACCGGACCAGTTAGAGAGCCATTGCCATTTATCAGTCGGTTCCCCTCACCGGAGGATGGACTATCAGGACCGGTAGACTTCCTTCAATGGGCAGATTTATTCACATGGGACGAAGACATCACGGCGATCAACACTGCCCAGCCTTCCAACTTTGCTCCGTGTGCACTGGACACCGTTGTAGCCGAGACCTGGACTTGGCCCATTGGACAGGAGATTGACACGGGATGCGATGCCATAAACAATCCAGACTCTAATGCCCAGAAAGGGCCTCAAGATCCATTGTGGCCAGAAATAGACTTGGTGGTGGACGCACCAATGCTCTTCCGCCACTTCAATGACCATGTCATCGACCAGATGGGATCGCTCCCGATTCACGAGAAATCGGCTTGGAGAATTTTGAATCTGTCTTCAGCCCTGATGACTCTCAACGAGATGACGATACTTCTCACCAACAGGGAGAATATAAAGCATGCCCCCTTGGCCAACTTCTACGCAGTCATTGCCGTCTCCGCGTTCCACCTCTCCCTGAACTTCGCGTCCTTCCCCGATCCTCCCCGAACTGTCGCCTACTGGAAGAGACTGACGAACCAGGCGTATGCTGCTGCAAAGTTACATATCAACTTGACCTTGGAGAAAGAGTCCTTAGCCCCTGGGAAGGCAAAATACAAGGACCAGCTCATGAGCATAAATGCCACCCTCGCAACTGCGGTTTGTTCCCCATCATCTAGCGAGAGCAAGCAACCAAGCAAGGCAAAACGCTAACCATCATGTGGTATAGGTATTGTCAGGAAATGAGCGTGATTCACGGCGTTATCTGACGGAAATGGAAAGAGTAATTCGGCTTCGAGGGTTGACTGGCAAGGGCATCTCACGTCGAGCACGGCTGCTGCACCAGGTCTATGCCTGGATGCGAATCGTCTCCGAAAGCACAAACGTGTTGCACGAGGACTCTACACTCGATGAAGACACATCAGACTGCAACCAAGGTAGTGACCCTGGCCGATTGTTTCAAAGGGCACCAACTCACCATTATCACCACCCGGTCCAAGCGATGCCGATTCGCCACCACGACGTGACTCTCGATAACTTCCTGCGCCTGGAGCCGCGAGTCTCGTCGGGGCAGGGCCTTAACCCTCACATCCAGAAGGAGGACTCAGACTCGAGCGTCGGCGACATACACATGCCGGACGCCCGCCAGGACCGCGACAGCGTGTGCATGCAGATATACGGCGTGCCCGAGACCTGGCTCAGTCTCGTCTCGCAAACCACCCGACTGGCGAATGTGATGGAACGACTGACGGCGAGCAAGAACCCGCTCGACGCAGAGCACCTGGCCTCCTTGCAGCCGCGGGCCTCCCGGCTCGAGAACACGATATGCACCTTCGTGTCGAACAACCAAACCACCAATACGACGGAGCCGGGGATGTCGGACACCAACAGACCGCACATGCACATGCTGAAAGCCCTCAATTCAGCGCTGATGATTTATTTCTACCGCCGGGTCCGGAACATCAACCCCTGGGCGATGCGGCACGACATCAGCGACGTGATTGAGTCCCTCGAGGAGTTCGATTCGTCCCTGGGGCAGAACGGCCTCCTCGGCCCCGGGACGGCGTGGGCGGCCTTTGTCGCCGGCGCGGAGGCCATGACGGCCAAGCAGCGAGGGCAGATTGTCGCGTGGCTGGATGCGGCCTCGGCCAAGTCGGGATTCGTGAGCTACAGCGTCTCGAAGGAGATACTCGCAGAGACCTGGAAGCGGCGGGACGAGCACACTTCCCGCGGGGGGAGGATTGGGACGCAGACGGAGCTGGGGTTCCCAACGTGGATGGAGGTCTGCCGAGCTCTTCGTCGCTGGCCGCTGCTGTGCTAGGATTGTGAATCAAGCTATCAGTTCAATAGAACATCCCGAGGAATCTCCTCGTGTTTGAGCCGGGTTCGAATCGTCCTCAGCAACGGGCGCATCCAGTGTACTAGGGACTACATTTCGATATCTAATATGGTTGAGAAGATGTCCGTAGACGATATCTGGTGGATCATGAACCGAAGTTGGTCCCTGCATAATGATAACGGTGGAGTCAGTGCTGATTGCTCTCGGAGTCTCTTGTCTTTTTTTCTTCTGTCGAGCGGCACATGGGGCCGGAGCTTGCTGTCTACCTGGATATGGCGTAGCTTCTTCCCATGCAACCACTAGGAAGAAGCAGATTGGGCCTACGATAAAGTTATTTAGAACTCTACTGAGTCAGTGTTCTGATGGAGGGTGAGGATGCAGAGACGGCTTCCCCTTGACCAATCCGATCCCCAGTAATCTTCTTATAGAGAAGTGATGATGAAGACTTTAACTGTCCCAAGCTCAGAGAAGCGGCTAACAGCTTCAGCTCCCCTGATACAGTCTGGGCAGACCGGCTTCAGGACGACATCGCGGTCTGCTACGTACGAGCCAATCAGAGTAGATCGAATTAACGGGATCACCGGGCGTTCAGCTCCCTCTATTGACCTTGGGCCGTACTACTAATAATAAAGATGATTCGTTGAGTGGGCCAACCCGTCTCAACCACTTGAGCCGGTGGCAACTCTCTGCTCATGAGCCGGAGCAGCTTCCGCTCCGACGGTCGGAAAGCCAGTTGGGCTCGTCTGCTTTTCCTGCTGGTCTGGACCCCGGACGGCGCCTGTTTCTGTCACGTAAAAGTTTTGCAGCCGCTTGTGGGGTTTGGGGATAACTTTAATTAACCAAACCAAGGTTGTCTTCTATGCTTATCAATGTCGATGAACCAACCCAATGGGAAGCCCAATGTGATTGTTTAATCCTACCGTCCGAGTGTTACCCTTATTGGACCCCTGCACTAATAAATGCGTGACGCGTTGCGCCTGAAGTGGCTTCATCAGGTCAACTCTGGTCTTCATTCTCGAAGGAAGCAAGTCGACCATCGCTAATAAGTCATTCACTTAACTACTATGTATGAATCTGTTGAGTTTGTCGCGTAGTAGTTTCGATTCTAAGTGCTTTACTGAGTACTCGTAGGAAGGCCTGCCCCGAACAACCCGCCAGGAGGGAGATGATGGGCAGGCTGAGGGAGCCCGGAAGGAAAAGCGCGCATCGCAGCCGCGACGATGAGGGGCGCGCCCTACAGCATATCACATGTTTAGTTTGATCAGGGCGTAGGGAAGATTGAAAGTGGAATGGTTCCAGAAGTCTTCGACTGCTCGACTCGCCCACCCCAGCGCGCCAATCACAGGGCCATGGCTATCACCATCCATGGCAGAGCCTGATCCACATGTTTCTCTCTGAGATGAGAATGGTTAGCCCAAGGCATCAGGGTGGGCGCGAAACCACGCCACCCTTATGCATAGTTGCATAGCAAGACGCCTCCAGCGAACACCCGGCGGGAGACTCACGCCAAGTAGATTAGAAACTGGCCACAGTCCTCGCTCCCATTCCTATCAAAGAGCTAGCTGATCGATATGGAACTGAGCCAGACGTTCATCAAGGCGTCTGCTCCACCAAACCCGGTGCAGCGACCGGGACTACAGAATCCACGCTCAGTCGTGCCGGTACAGACGCCCCACCGAAACCGGCAAGTCAGACCACCATTCCGGTTTGATTGAGGCGATTTCTTCGCTGCCGTCTCTCTCTGGCTTGGGACCCCCGGCCTACAGTGGCCTGGGCCTGGACGGCGTGGCCAGTGTGAGAGCGTTCGCTTCTCCCCAGATCTCAGCCGTGTAGATGGCAGCGAAATGCGGACCTGGTTTTTCCCTCTCGTAATGAAAACGGAACCCCAGAGTTTACGTACTGAAAACTACCATTTGGAGGGGAATGTCACTGGAGAAACTGGCACCCTGGAAGATAAGCTTAGACGCTGTGTCTGGACCATGACTCGACCCTGATCGTCGCTGGTCCAGCTATAAAGCCCAGCCCATGGCATCGCTGTTTGCCTGGCCTCGCTTCAGGTTCGCTTGGTTCTCACCATCCATCACCCTCTCACTTGCACACCAGATTCCTCCTGTAGCACATCCACAATGAAGGCCGAGGAGAACATTGAGGCGGCTCGCCCTACGAGCCCCCGACAGGGCTCTCAATTTGACGTTGAGATCAAAGGAGCTGGTCGTGATGCCGAGCTGTCAGCTACTTACGGTGTCACCCAGCGTGGCCTGGAGCCTCGCCATGTCCATCTCATGGCCATCGGTGGTTCCATCGGTATTGGTATCTGGGTAAGTTTGCAGTTTGTCGACGAATCTTGACTTTTGGCTAATAATTCTGCGCAGGTCGGTATTGGCAGTGTCTTGAGCAAGGCCGGTCCGCTCTCCCTGATCCTCGGATATGCCATCTGGGGCTGCTTCGCCATCTGGCCTCTCTATCTCGTCGTCGCCGAAATGTGCGCCTACCTCCCTGTCCGCGGTTCCATCTTCGAATTGGCTTCTCGATTTGCCGACCCTGCTGTTGGTTTTGCGATGGGATGGACATACTTCTTTGCTGGTACTATGCTGGTCTGCACCGAGTACAGTGCTGTCGCGACTGTGATGCAGTTAGTTCACCCTCCCCCATTATAGACGCCGAGTTGGTTCTAACGTCGCAACTTGATAGATATTGGAGCCCGGATACCAACGCAGCAGCCTGGATTGCCATGGCAATGGGCAGCTGCGTCTTGCTGAACATTGCTGCTGTTAAGTGGTTCGGCGAGGCTGAGTTCGTCATGGCCTTCACCAAGATCATCCTCCTCGTCATGCTCGTCCTTCTCACCCTCATCACCATGTCGGGCGGCAACCCAGCTGGTGACGCCTACGGCTTCCGCAACTGGGGCGCTGGAGCGATGCACTCATACTACACCTCCGGCGGCGCGGGCAGATTCCTCGGTGTCTGGAAGGTTGTCATCTACGCCGCTTTCACCCTGGCCGGCCCTGACATGATTGCTCTCGCCGCTGGCGAGATCCAGAACCCCCGCCGCACCATCCCCCGCGTTGCCAGCCTCATCTTCTACCGAATTGTTGGCTTCTACGTCATTGGTGTTCTGGCTGTCGGCATCATCTGCTCTTCTCGCGATCCTGGTCTGCAGGAGGCCCTCTCCAATGGAAAGTCTGGTGCAAATGCCTCCCCCTGGGTCATTGGTATCCAGAACCTGGGCATCAGCGTCCTGCCCCATATCGTCAACGCCTTCATCCTTCTCTCTGGATGGTGAGTTGCTTCCGAGTCAAAATAACCAACTGTTCGTCCATTCTAACTTGAGCCAGGTCTTGCGGTAACGCCTATCTCTACTCTGCTTCCCGAACTCTCTACGGTCTTGCGCGAGGTGAGCATTCGCATTTTTCCCCATTTGGCTCTATGATACTGACCCTCTGCAGACGGCCAAGCTCCCAAGTTCCTCATGAAGTGCACCAGCAATGGTGTCCCCATTATCGCCGTCGCCATCGTCTCCCTCATCACCTGCATCACCTTCCTCGTCTCCTCCAACGCCGCCGTCGAAGTCTTCTTCTGGTTCGTTGACCTGACCACCACCGCCCTGATCGCCACCTACATCTGGATGCTCATCACCTACTTCGGCTTCTGGCGCGCCTGCAAGGCCCAGGGAATCACCAAGGACGCCCTCCCCTACGCCGCTCCCTGGACCCCCTACACCCCGATACTCTCCCTCGTCATCTGCTCGCTCACAATCATCTTCGTCGGCTTCGATGTCTTCTCCCCCTTCAGCGTCCGCGGATTCATCACGTCCTACTTCGCCGTCGCTTTCGGCATCTTCATGTTCCTCCTCGGCAAGGTCATGTACGCCTACCAGGGCCGCGCGCCCTTCTGGAGCTGGGTCAAGCCCGAAGAGGCCGACCTCATCAGCGGCATGGCCGAGATCAACGCCGAGTGCGCCCAGTGGGAGGAGGGCGGCATCGAGGAGAACGAGAGGGCCCGCCTGGCGGAGATGAATTTCGTCGCCAGGACTTGGGCGCGCATGTGGTAATTTAGATACATAGATGGGTGTTGCCCCCCTAGAGTTGATCAAATGATGTTAGTTTAAGCGCAATGAGAAGGGTTGCATTTCTTCCCTCTAGACGAGTTGTCTGATATAAACACAATATATTTCTATACATATAATATTTGCCAAACTACCTTAGTTCTGAGTGGTCTGAGTCTGAGTTATATTTCGTAAAATTGCTTTGAAAATGATGTCACTATATGAAGTTGTCATATGAAGGCAGTGGCGGCTCTGGTTGTTCCTCCTCTCCCTTTGTTGGATCAGCACGTTGAAGCAGGGCTTTCCCTTCCTCAGCCTCTTGCTTCCTTAATTTAGCTAAAGCCTTCTTTCTCTTTTTGCTGATTATTGTCTCGTGACAGCCTATACAGAATATCCCCAGCGAGGTTCTGGCGTATCTTAGATTCTTAATCTGGACCTTACAGTTCCTGCAACGGAAACATGTCGCGCAATAAGCTTGATCCCCCGTTAGGATAGCGAGTTCCTCAATCTTGTTCCCGCAGGCATTGCATTCATATACACATTCGTAGCATATTAATGAACCGTCACCCAGAAGTAAGAGGTTCGAGCCGGGATCTAGCAGGGCATGGCACGTGTTACACCTGAAACAATCCAAATGCCATCGATTTCCATCTGCCCGCCTGTTAGTGTAATTGCCCTGTTTCAGTCAAGTCCAAAAAAGCTGGATTACTTACCGAGCTCATAGGCCTTTCCTTCCTCCAATATCTAAGTTAAAAGTTAATCCTGCTCGCTCAGTTTTGGGAATCCCTCAACTTGGTAGCTTACCTCGCCACAATCTTTGCATGGAAAGATTTCTTCGTCATTTGCCTCGTCGCTCAGTGTCCCATCACTATCCTCGTCTTCTATTCGGTCTTCGTCTACTGTTAATCCGCTAAATCGGCTGCTTACATGTATTTCTGGGTGCTCAGGCTGATATGGCAAGACCTGGGGATGATCTAACATGTCCTCTTCATCATCAGCGGTCGGGGCTGAATCCATTGACCTGGACTTTACTTCGTAGTAATGGCCATATTTGATGTCAATCAGGGTAATTGGCATTGCTATCACAGACAAGATGGAGATATTCGCCATGCTTATGCCTGAAAATATTGACCACGTTCTTGAGCGAGCGTCGGTTGTCGCGGTAATGAATGATTGGTCGCAGTCGTTCCTCTCGTTTCGCTTGTACACCCACGACTGCTGAAGAATCTTCTCAAAAGCGAATGAGGCTCTATCCGAAGTATTGAGAGAGCGGGCTGAGTCTCGAATCGGACCCGCCGCATCACTATCTCTGATTGTGGCCGTTTCGCTGCTCTCATCGAAATCCCGGGTGAAGGTGCTCCTTGCATCAAAGCGATCCTCCAACAGGCTCAATTTCGATCTCAGGGCTTGATTCTCGTTAAGGACGGTCTCGACCAACTCTTGAAGCCTCTGCCTGTTCTCATGTGCTTCGATATTCGTGTCACTATTGGCCATTAGCACCCGAGTATTTCCAGGACAGATGGGCACGTTTAGGATCCTGGAAATACCATTCGACTATAGTAAGCATCAGTTTAAGTGATTCCTTGAGCCGCTGGATTCTTTCAAAATGCTGTTGGAAGATTTTAGAGTAGTGAGCCCATGTTATCCTTACACCAGCATTTTTCATCGTCTTAAGTCGCTGGAGGAGTTCTTCGAATTCTGAAAATACCATGATCGCATCGGAGAGTGTGATAACGAGGTCATCAACTTGAATGAGCTTTTTACGCTGAGGGTCGACTGTATCAAGTCGCTGGAGGTATCGCTCAAAGGATCGCAATCCAATCCCCACTAGTGTTATCTCTAGTCGACAATCTCTCAAACGATTAGTCGAGTTCCAGGACGCCGAGAAGGTCTGAATTAGCGAGCACAGATGCTCTGTCGCTGCTCGTAGCCCGTTTATTGACATTGAAAGGTTCAATGAGTTCATCTCAGTCGGAGTGGTAACACCATGCCAAGTACCTGCGTGACAGGTAACCTGATTCCCTATGCCTACTTCATGGACTGTTAGTGTAGGAACAGTGGCAATCAACCTGTCACCCAATCCAAGGGAGATGGAGGGGGCTTGCTCGCCTTCTTGCAATGCGGCATTGTAAATGTCCTGAACGTTACGGCGCACAATCCCCAAGTTATCCTCATCCACCTGGCTTCTACCAAACTTGCATACACCCTTATGATCAGCGTTGAGCTTGACAATGTGCTCTCTGTCGCCTGACATGCCTAGTTTGGCGCTTTCTCCCGGAACGACCTATGGATGAATAGTCAATACTGAATCACACTTCTTAGATGGACGCCCGAAGAACTCACGGTATCTAATGCTCCCCAGAACGAGATGATATTGTACTCGGCCATCTGATGCCTCCAGTGTTCATGCATAACATCGGAGAATATACTGCCACTCTTCAAGGTTTCTAGCACATCATCGCCTTGCTGGAGGCCTGCCGTTCGTGCAATCTTGGTTGCGACGGAGCCCAGGCCAACCAGCGTCATGTCCCCGCCGTGGTGCGGTGTAGCGAAGAAGGCGATCCCTTTGGTCATGTCCTTGATCATGCTGTACTTGGGATTCATGCCAGCGTTGATGAGAGCCTGCTTGACGAGAAGTCCGCCCATGCTGTGGGCCAAGAACAGGATCGGCCTTTCCTCGTCATCTCGCTCTGCCCTGACCGCTTCTAGCAGCTCATTCGACTTGTCAACGAAGGTGCTCTTGTCCTTGCCATAGACTGCCGTCGCGTTGTACTCATAGATGAAGATGCGGGCGTCGGGGGTGGATTGTGGGAGGTCATCACGGAGCCACAGTCTCCCACTGGCCCGGTTCCGCCATGTGTTCCACGCGTGCTCGGTATCGTCCCTGCTTCGAGGGTTCAACCCATGAACAGCGACAATGCTGATCTAAGTTAGTGAGAGCACTCGATCCAGACCCGCTCGCCAACTTACTCAACCCTGGTGGAGGCAGCTCCTGGTCGTGTCTCAGGGTCAGGATAGACCTGTCGCAGCGGCTGTTCTCTCGTCAGTGCAAGCCTAGGCTACATCATTCGGCGTCATCAGACAGACCATGGTTCTGGCAGATTTGCCTCAACATTCTTCATTCCGCCGCGAGTTGCTTCCAACGAAGTTGACCAGCGAAGATCATCATGGGCGGGGAGATGCCAGCTCAGCTCAGCCCCCTTCTGCTTCTCAGCGGTTAGGGAATGCCCCGCTGTCCGCCTGGCAAATCACATGTAGCGACACGGTCCTATTAATAGTTCCAATAAATTATTGGTGTTCACAGCCGCCGTCGCGAAACGTGGCGGAGGAAAAGTAAATTTGCCGACTTTCACAGCAATTTCAATCTCCGCAGAGAGATGGTTTGACAGCACACGGGCACTTGGTCGTTAGTGCTAGGCTCTACTTTCGCGCCCTATCACCTCTTCTACAAGACTCTATAAGTCGTCAAAATATGGTTGAGTGTGCTTTCTTTTTCGATATGCAGCGACACTTTGGACTGTACTTGGGTGGGTTGAAATCTTGGAGGCCAAGGATTGAAAGTAATAAATACCTAGTACGTAGGCATGCAGAAGGTAGCCGCCAATTCATTTGAAGGAAGCCTTTGCTCATGAAATTCTACAAAATTACATTTAGCATAGCTGCTCAAGGGATCAAAAATGTAGAACGCACTGAGAATGAAGCAAGTGGTGATAAATGACGGCCAGGTGTACGCTTCACAGCGATTTTAACCTGCCCCCAAGGGTGGTTTGGCACTGTACTGGAAGAGGTAGAGCGGTGGATTCAAGTTGGTGTGTACCATTCCATATTAGTTACCAAGTCAGCTTGTTAATCTCCACCCAGCACAGCAATTTTAACCTCCCCCAAAGGGTGGTTTGGCGCATCCCCTCACTGGCCTGTACCTAGTGGCTGAGGCCTTGCTGCGCCTCACAACTCCTCTCTGGATGAATCAATGCACTGCATCATGAGAGTACAACTTGTGTTCCTCTTCACCGCCAAATCCAATTCACCATTTGTCAACTCAAGCTGCTCTCGCCTGATGTAAGGATATTAGCGGCAAATATATTCACTCTGCTAATTCTGAACCTGCTGAAAAGCTGGCGGTGAAGAGCTGAAAACTCTGTCGCTGTGGCTGGTGCGTGGCACCTTTAGATCACGTGCCTTTGTCCCCACCACACCCAAGCATTCAACTTTTTTTTTTTTCGGTCTGTGAAGATTCTCTGCAAAACTCTACATCCCCAACTCTTCACAAATCCGAATTCAGCAAGGCAGTGATCTCTCCTAGGGTGAGCCACTGATTAACAATGTCCTCCGAATCTGCAGGTATGTCCCTCCTCATGAGAAACTCTCTGCTTTTAACACCGTTTCTGACTCGAGCCTTGCAGCCTGGCCCTTGGCCGACGAGAAGTTGACCGTCGAGCTTCTCGATTTGATCCAGCGCGCGACACACCTCCGACAGGTCAAGAAGGGTGCTAACGAAGGTTGGTTCATGGATCCCAGAAGCCCTCATGCTCGGCCAGTCGCTAACGAGTCGAATTTTTAGTTACCAAGGCCCTCAACCGTGGTGTCTGCGAAATCGCCGTCCTCTGCGCCGATACGACCCCCCTCTCGATCGTCTTGCACGTCCCCCTCCTGGCCGAGGACAAGAACACCCCCTACGTCTACGTGCCTAGCAAGATGCACCTGGGCCGAGCCTGCGGTGTCTCCCGCTCCGTGATCGCTGCTTGCATCACCACCAACGAGGGCAGCGAGCTCGCTGGCCAGATCCGCGCCATGCGCGACAAGATCGAGCGCCTCGCCATCTAAGCTTCTGTTCCGGAAGGCTTGTTTGTGATTTGGCCGACTGTGCGATCGCACTGGCAGGTACTCGACAGAGCTTTGAGAAGACTTGGTACAGCAATGGTGGGAGCCGATTTCCCATAATCAAGTTCGTTGGATTTACCTTAGAATCTGTAGTGCTTTGTTAGGCCAAACAAATGGTAGCGTGATGAAACACAGTTACTCCTCTCAAAGAAATTCATGTGACCTGAACATTAGCTGTTGTTCCACTGCTGAATCGTAATCATCCAGTCTGCTGTGGACCTCTTTTGGCCTCTCTTTCCCTCTTCTTATCCATGCAAAAATCAATCTCGAGCTAGGCATCGGGAAGTGGATCCAATCTCCGTGTAGCTCGATCCCATCACATACTGGCACCTAACATCAAGACGGAACCACCCTTATAAATCATGGCCCGGGACGCATCATAAGTTCAATTTATTTACCGCCTGAGAGACGGAACCAAAGGCCCGTGTAAGAGCCACCTTCTGCATCCAGGGAGTTGAACCAGGTACCCGGGCAGCTGATCCGACCATCGACGGAGAACTGAGCTTCACCATTGGCTTCAGAATGGCAGGGGTGTGCCTATTCTGGGACGGCTCACGACCTTCCGTGGGATTCAGTCCTCCATGCACTTAGATTCTCATTGAAAACGGAGATTTGGAACCCGGAGAAAGGATGGATTGTGCGGGGTTAGATCCCTATGGGCTTATAAGGCTCGAGTGTGGACCGGATGGAAAGCCCTTCCTCTTTTCAAAGGAAGGCCTATTTGATATTGGCCATTGTCACTAACCGTCATATTTGACATCACAAATCCTCCCCGCAATGTTGAGACCTGTAGCAATCGCCCTGACTCTTATTGGAGCTGTCTCTGCCCAGTCCCCTGATGCAGACGGGCGATACACGATTCGTGCCAACGGCATCAAAGCGCAGGTAATTGGCAGTGAACAGATGTCCGAAAAATGATACTGACTTGATTTTGGTTAGTTTATCCCCTACGGTGCGACTTTGACCAATTTGTTCGTCAAGGACAAGGATGGGAATGACGTAGATGTTGTCCTTGGATATGATGATGCCGACTTCTACCGTGAGATCCTCGCAAACGCTTTTCCATTAAATCCCTACCATCTAACAGACGTGGCGCCATAGCTGTTGACCCATCTCATCCTGTGTATAATGCCATCCCCGGGCGCTATGTGAACCGGATAAGCAACGCCTCATACACAATCGGCGACGAGACCTTCCACACCGAAAAGAATGACGGGGAGAACACCTTACACAGCGGCACAAATAATTGGTCATTCCGAACGTGGGACGTGACCAGATTCACCAAAGATTCAATCACGTTCTCGATACTCGACAAATCCAACTCCTCCCAGGGAATGATTGGTGATGTCTACTCCAAGGTGACGTACAGCGTCAAGGACTCTGTGTGGAAGATCACCATGGAGGCCATCTCTCCGCAGGCACTGACCCGTGCGTATCACGATCTCTTTCTTTAAGATTCCTTGAATACGTCTAACATTTCGCAGCCGTCATGTTGACGCAGCATACTTATTTCAACCTGGATGCATACAAGGACCCTGACACAGAGAAGATCTGGAACCACACATTGTACATGCCATACTCGCAACGCTATCTCGTCAACTCAGACTCGGCCATCCCCACAGGCGAAATCGGGGTCGCGGAACCGGGAAGCATCGATGATTTCGCCAGTGAGCCGGGCATTGAATTGGGCCATGCTTCAGACGATCCCGCATTTTCCGGACACTGCGGAGCGGGTGGCCAGTGTGAAGGCTACAACGGCTACTTCCTCATCGAGGACGCACCCAAGGACGCCGTCGTCGTGTCCCTCGGGAGCCACTTCTCAGGAATCAAGGCCGACCTTAGAACTGATCAGCCGGGCGTTCAGGTCTATACTTGCAACTGGTTCGGCGGCACGACAGATCTGAAGAGCACGCAGGGTCTCGAGGACAGGACTACAGTTGGTCGGAGCTCCTGCGTAGCAATCGAAGCACACGATTACCCAGACGGCATCAACCAGTCAGTTTACACCATAGACACCACTCATCGATTATATGCTAATGATTTGCAGTCCGGAGTGGGATAGAAAGGACTACCAACTCACCGGGCCCGGAGAAACCTACAAATGGTCAAGTTCGTGGACATTTGGCCTCTTATAAACTTAGAAACATACATTTCTATCATTTTCAACTTCTTTCTACCTTTTTTTTTTTTTTTTTTTTTTTTTTTTTCACTTTATATTCGATAGCAACGAAATTTCAACGAAACTTTTACGATTTATGAAAATGGATTCTCATTAAAAATTATCATTTAAAATCTAACTTCATCAACTACATGTTGCTCAGATGTTTCGGCCTTTAAATGAAAGCGGCGGCGGCGAGCGCCACGGCGAGAACGCCGGCCACTGAACCGCGCATGTTGTTTCCGGCATTTGGAGGAACGGAGGCGCTGGTAGCAGAGATCGTGCCGTTGCTGGGTGCAGCATTGGAGGTTGAAGGAACGGGGGCGGGAGTTGTTAATGGCGTGGTAGCAGCAGAGGTCGAGGCAGAGGAAGAGACCGAAGTGGAAGCGGAGGTGGACGATGATTCCGAAGCTGTCGACGTGGGCTGCGCAGATGTGCTCTCTACGCTCATAGAAGAAGCAATCGAGCCAGCCGTTGTTGTCTGGGATGCGGTGCTGGCTTCTGTCGTGGTCTGGGCAGAAGAGACTGTCGCCAGAGTAGAGGCAGCCTTGCCAACTCCGGCAGTCTTGGAGAAGCAGGGCATGTACGAGGGCTCGGTCTTGCGAGTCTCGGTGCCAGTGTAGGCAGCGCAACCCGGGACGTTGTACTTGACGGGAGCACGACCACCGCCACAGTCCAGAGGGTCGCAGATCTCACCGGTGTTCGGGTCGTACCAGTGAACAATATTGTCTTCGCATGTTCCGTAGGTGTGGGTTTCGCAGCCGGCAGCGGCGAGCTTGGCCAGCATGAGCAGCGGCAGGGCGGAGAGAATGGAGGTATGCATCTTGGATGTTTTTTATGTCGATAACGAATGACTATTTTAGAACGAGAGACTGTGATGTTGTAGAAAAAGAATACCAAAAGATTGAAAGGACTGGGGAGAGCATTCCAAAAAACATCAGAGGTTATATACTACATGGCAGCACGAAGGATTACGCAGTACGCCTAGTAGGCTATTTACCTCTTCGCAAATTACCTTCCCGCCAAGGATAAGAAGTGAGTCAAGCAGCCACACACCGCCAAGCTTCATTACGGCGAACTCCTTCGTATCCTCTTTCCTCGGAAATTTCTTCCTGAATTGGGGCTGGCTCTCACCTCGGTCCAGGCCACTTTTGGCTCGCCGGTTCAGACTCAGCCCTACAAGCGCTCCCACTCTCATGACCGGTGCGACAGCATCATTGAAAGATTTTGTGATACCAAAACGTGGATCGAAATCTTGATCTTCAAGGTCGATCAATAACGGCGGAGCCATTAGCTGTAAACTCTCGCCGGTGTTTCCAATTAGGAGTAGGCAAATGGCGTGAAATGGCGGCATGGTGGTGCCGTGCTGACCGAAACCAGACCCTGGACGATCCTGCAGGCACCTGTGCCGTCGTGCTTTGTTATAATCTTATTCCGCATTACGCATTCCTGATTCGTCTGAGACCTGCACGTTTTTGGGGAGGTGTTATTATGAGTCATGCGAATCTCACAGCAAACTTGTCTACCCCAGAGGAGACCTCCGAACTTCAGTTTCCTAATCAAAAATACTCGAGAATGATGTCGATTGGTTTATTAAATATTCAAATTGGTTCTGTTTCAATTATACTTCGCGATATCAAACTTCTCTATATAGTCGTGATTTCGTTCCAACAATGCCATTCTTCTTCAAGAACAGAGCCTACTTTCCATCTTTGAGTCAAAACTACATAGAACCAGTACGACCAGAAGAAACCGAATTTAATTCCATCACACCTTTCAGTACTTTTAATAGGTGCCGAACATTGGTAGAGGGGCAGTGCAAAATCCGTTAACAACCACCAACTAACCGCACACTAAAGAAGACGGAGATTGGTAGACTTGATTTTAATGCAAGAAGCAGGAGTAGTCGACACCCATACTATAATTATACGTATATCGCCTCTATCACTTTGATTGCCGTACCGTGAACAAGCTGGCAGCCAAACACATGAGTAACTTGATCTAATGCTTGAAAGTGGCTTCGGATACGGGGTCTCGAAAGTGTTTGCAACCAAATCCGTTTCCCGACAAATGAGTCTAATGCTTTCATGTCTATAGCAAGTGGCTGTCCAAGAAACGGGGACTGCAAAACCACCTCGATAGAATTATTGTGGCAGCTAGTTAGACAATAATACCTCATATTGTGTAATAATACACAATACATCTAATAGTTACTCGAAAGCTATTATTATTATAGACTATTCTCTGTCAATATTGTGACCTGTTGGAAAGTTGAGATCGAAACACCTTGGCAGTACTTGTGACTCTGGCCCCCACTTGCATAATAACTGTACTATTGTGAGGTTATTTGGGGATGGAGTTGCAGCAAGTTGAATTGGTTGAGTTAGTTTATATCTCTCCCAAGCCAAGATACCTCAGGCAGCGGACATCAGGCGGGTGCAAGAACACATGTACCTACCTACCTACCTTGCCTTCATCCTATTCGGCGCCCCTCCAAGAAATAGCGAACGTCTACGCCGTGATGTTTTTGATGTCCTGGTGGTTTGCCATCGAACCCAATCTATCGAACAGGAGAGTTTCCAGGTGCTCGATGTAGTCCGACAGGAAAACAATACAACCTTTTTGATTCTCCAACCTATTGTCATCCATGTGGTTGTCTGTTGTATATTATTTGTCAATATTGCCATTGCATATGCATGGTCTCCGAGTTTGTAGAGTGGATCGCAAGTCCAATCCATAATTTGCGGTTCTGTTTTCGTTGTTATTCCAGGGTGTGTTTCTTTGTCGTCGTCGACCGCCTTAGAGATTGCTTCGATAAGGTCCTTCCGGGCCAAGTGAACGTCCCTACTCTGATGCTGCGAGGATGACTGCACGGGAAGGTAGGGCGACTGAGTTCGGTAGGAAGGCACCTCCGGGTACGGGTATCTAGCCCAGGATTTGTGCAGAATCAGGTACAGTGAAACGCAGACCTGTCATCGCCTTTCACATCGGTGCCCACCCCTCTGTTCACCTCCTTCGACACCAGTTCTTTGAAACTTCTTATTCAATTCAGATACATCTCGACGCAAAGGCGCGTCGTGTACTATCAGAGGACGAATACGTAACATACGCGGACAGGCAAGTACACGCCTTGCTGAGGAGGACATACAACGTATTATCAGCACCCAGGTCGATATCGAGAAGGATAACCCTCCCTAAGCCAAATCCAAACCCAGCTGCAGCACTGCTTGTTCGACAGACATACGAAAATACTCCTTTAGAAGTCCGACGTGGAGGGAAGTTTTGGTCGCGATGTCGAAATCAGGCTTACGCTCTCAACAAATCTGCCGGCAGCACCTGGAGCGAACAAAAAATCGACTTGGCATTGGCGACAACGACAGGGTAACGCCTTGTGATTGCGCGCATCAAATCTCATCCCTATTTCTCTTGGCCATCAAGGCCTTCATCTCTTCTTTCAACCAATACGGGTCGGCTGCTGTGTAGCGTGGAGTCCCAGCCGCTTTTTTTCTTTCCTGGCAATCTGGGTATTCTGGTCGACGCCTCTGTTCTTTGCCTGTCTGGCTTTTGACGTCTGAGTGGGAGGTCTTTTAAGAATGAGGCTCTAGCTCGTCCTTTTGTTTTTCAAGTCATCCCATCTCCAAGCAACACATGCGTTTCAGAGTTAAACCTTCAATCATCCATCCAAATCCACGCGATCTCATCAAATCTCACCGGCCAAGCATATCTCACTACATAAGTCTCTCATCAGCACTTCGACATGGGTCTACAACCTCACCAAATATTGAGTCAGTGGCCACTTATCCTACCACTGTATCTGCTGCATCACATGGGCCGGCTGCTATCAAATTCACTACCGCCCAGGCGCTACTTCAAGTAGTCGGCCAGTCTTCAAGTGATATTATCTATATTAAAGGTAAGAAAGAGAAAAAAGTCCAATATTTTTCTATCGTACTAATATTTTCAATCCTACTAGATGTATCTATAGAGAATTTTGCAAATATAGAAAAAGCAAGAGGGGAAAGTTCTGCATTTCGCTTAAAGAACTCCTCCCCAGCATTATTTTGTCTCTCCCATCAATAAAAAAAAAAGACCATACTCCTCGCTCTTCTACCAGAGCATGTTTCTTTCGAGGGAAGAGAAAAAATATGAATGCTGTGGCATTCCATGGAAGAACTCCCTCGACGAAATTAGCACCGCCAGTTCCCGTATCTTTGGCCAGGCCTGTTTTTCCTCCATACGACCTTGGAATATCGCCAGTGGGCAAGCCGCGGCTCAGAGGCTAGGATTTAATCAGCCTCCACCAGACCAAGCATTTTTACGGTTGCGAGCAGAACGGCGGGGCCCTGACGCTCTAACTGGGTGCTGCTGCTACCAGAAATAGGAGCCAAGGGAAGTGCCGGAGCCAAGATTGTATCGCGACGAAGTTCCTTGTGGAGTTGTCGTTCGGCCCTCTCGGCGCTGTAGCAATAGATCATGACTATGACGCCAACCCAGGTGCCAATTGTTGGATTACCAACGGATGCGACCAACAATAACGGCTGCTTATTGGGTTACTATTGTGTGTGTATTCAGTCTCATGTGGTTGTGTGTTGTGTTGTTGTTGTTGTTGTTGTTGTTGTTGTTGTTGTTGTTGTTGTTGTTGTTGTGACCCATAGCCGTCTTTATTGGGCTGACCCCTTGTGTATCGAGTCGATCGCTTCTGTCGTCCTTATTCATACCTCAAGAGGTATCGCAAGTAGCCGTAAACCAGGCCGCATCGGCGCTCTCGCGAGCGTAATCTCTCGGCGCTATGACCTATGGTAAAGTTAGTACTAAAAGTTTAGGTATTGCCAGAGATATATTTTCACACTTACTGTAATCGCCGCTGCTGTCACACTAACGGTGACCGTCGCTGTTGCTTGGGCAACTCTTGAGAGGAGAGATGCGGTCATTGGGGCAGACATGGTTGCTATGTCCAACTTGCTTTATTAGAGGAAACAAATTATTTGATGGACGAGACAAAATATTACTGATGAGAGACTGATGTAGCTTGGTCGGTGTTTGATCGCGTCGAGGAGTTAGATGATTGAAGTTGTTTGGAACATCTTGCTTGGAGATGGGATGTTTTGAAAGAAACGAAAGGACTACAATTTAGAGCCTCAGGCTTGAAAGACCTCCCCTCAGAGTTCGTTCACCTGGCGTTCATTGCCTGAGGCATCTCAACACAATCTTACACTTCACCTGTATTGAGGCATCTTGGCTAAAGCGAGAAAGCACAGATAACAGTCGATGGGTTTATCGGGAAATACGATGGATAACTGTGATAAAGCTCATGGTATTCTATCAATTGGGTTCATTATTTCATTTGAACATTGGGACAATGTTCTTTTTCAGGAGGGGGCAGTATATAAGCTATTTCATCAATATAATCCTCTTAGAAGATATTCAGCCAAGCTCAGTCAGGGATATAAATTTCTATATCTTTAAATATATAAAGTATAGGAGAAATAATTTGAGCTAATAATTATTTCGAAGAAGTAGTCAGAAGTTTATTACTACTGAAGACTATCAAGATATAGTGGATAAGACTCGTAGGGTAAAAAAGCAGCATCAGCTTTTCCCATCCAGTTGGGACAGCGAGTGCGGCTTTGATCGATACCATAGTCGGGTAGTTACCTATTCCCAATGACCTCATAATAATTTCATAAATCCGGCCTTTCTTCTCCCTTTCTAGCTTGTAGAGTTCTCCATTGTACGAGGCCGGAAACTAGGAGTTCCACGCTCGTGAGGCTTGGTCCGGGGTAGGAGCTGGCAGCGAGAGGTCTTTGGCTGCTCCACGCTCAAGTCGCTAATTGATTACCAGCAACGAATTTCTTGAGAAACACGTTTATATTTGCAACCTTTTGTGCACTAAGAAGAAACAAGTTAAAATCACTCTTTTTAGACCATAAAACCTCAACTTACAGGAGTTGAACATATGATCCTCCTACCTAAATATTACACGGCCCCAGAGAAAGATACGGTACCAGGCAGTCAACATACGCATGTATCGAATCGATCCCTAGCTGCCCCTGCTTGGAAACGGCTCATCATAGTCCAGCCTCCACCCTACTCAAACGCCAACGATAGAGATACTATTTTGGATTCCTGGTTTCATCTGTTGCAAACATATACTTGTTGCTCACATGAAGCGCCGGAGGAAAGGCTGAGCTGTGTGGAAACCGCTGCTATGGATACCAAGGCTCTCCTCCAGAAGAATGGTTATGATGATATTTATCTTGCTGGTATGTGGAAGGATACGTTGCCTGCAGCCCTCGTCTGGACCGTGGAGGCTGCATCACACGGCCGGCCGACGCAGTATCAAGGCCCTTCGTGGAGTTGGTCTGCGGTAAACGGTGCCATCTCATACGACTACCGGAAGATGCAACAAGACTCGAATGACGGTTTATGTAAATTGATCGACGCCAAGTATGAGTCAGGAACAGCTGCAGCCGGCAGCCTCACACTTCGGGGGAAACTGGCCATTGGGAAACTATGCCATCACGATTATAACGGCTGGGTTGAAGATGGCTTGATGCCCGAGGATGTGCTAAGGATTCGATATGGTGCACAGATGGATATCGCCGAATTGGTTGATCCGGATACGGGAGCCAGCCTGGGTAAGGCACCAGATCACATGGATCACTTACACGAGTGGTGCGTCCGCTTTGACACCAAGCACGATATGAAGGAGGAGGTCTTTATGCTCCCAGTTAGTTTGGTTCCGGCCGGAAACCTATCCCTCGGAGTTACTGTATATAGGATTGCTCTGATAAAGAGTATTAGTGGAGTTTATATATATAGCGGGATATGGTAAATCTCTATATCTTCTAAAGCTGAAGTAAGAGAGTCTTTTAAGAGTCTTGTAGATAGTAATATTATAATTATAGTTATAAATCAGATAATTGTTATGCCCAAAAGGTACTCTAACCACCTATGGCAAAAGGCCTGCTGCAGCCTTCTAGTTAGGGGCTACAGTAGTATTAGAGCCTATATAGCGTAACAAGTACCCCTCTGCAACAAGAGAGACAGCCCTGCCCTCAGGGCTATAGCGCTCGGCCGCCTTACATCTCAGCGACGAGGACCACTGTAGCGGGGGTCTGTTAGGCTATTATAGGGCCTCCAAGGCTCGGAGCCTTGTGGCTAGGCTCTGCAGCAGGTCTCCAGAGGCCCTGACCTAGGCCCCGTACGCACGGGCTAGTACGGGGATCGAACCTATAACCAGGCAGAATTACTACCAACTGTTATACCTATAAGGTGCTCTAACTACCTATAGCAAAAGGCCTGCTACAGCCTTCTAGTTAGGGGCTATAGCAGTATTAGAGCCTATATAGCGTAATAATTATAAAGATTTTTATTTATAATAATAAGCTAAGATAAGATAATAATTTCTCTAAAAACTCTAAGAAGAGCTTACTAAGTATATAACTTAGCTATAAGCTCTAAGGAGAAATACTTATTATCTATAATTAATTATAATATCTCTCTAAGCTTATTATTACTATTACTAACTATCTCTTCTTATGATAATAATAGATACTTCTAATATTATTATTTCCTATAGCTAGAATCTAGTTATTATAAATAACTAGGTTTTTATATATATAATAATTATTATTAATAAGAACTATTAGAATCTCTTTTTAGATATTAATTATTTAAATCTATAATCTATTATAAATTTACTTATAGTAATAAAGCTACTCTCTCTTATATAGGTTTAATAGTTATACCTACTAGAACTATTACTCTATTTTCTTATAGCTAGTAATAATATAGAGATAGATCTAATTATTAATATACTTATAGAGAATTATAATAATATTCCTCTAGTACTTAATTACTATTATAATCTAAGTTATTATATATAGTTCCAGTAGATAATATACTGAATTAAATTAATCTAGATTAAGATAGCTCTTTAAGTTTAATATCTATTTTAATTAGTAATATTAAATAGAAGAGAATTAAATTATTAAAAAGTTTATTAGATAGAAAAGTTAAATTAAATTAAATTAATATAATAATATCTGGAATATAGTAGGTTAATTAATCTAATACTACTATAAATTATTTAAAGAAAATTATAATAACTAATTATAAAGTTACTATATACTAATAAAGACTAAATATAGTTTATATAGTAATAAAATACTATAAATTTAATAAAATTCTATTATAAAACCTCTATCTAGCTCTCTAAAGAGATTAAAGGGAAAATAATATATCTATTAAATTTATATAATTTCCTTATTAGTAGAGAATTCTAAATACTTATAATAATATAAGAAATTTACTATCTCTTAAGGAATAACTAAATATTTAGAGCTTTAGTACTAATATAAGATCTATAAAATTATATTTATTTACTTAAATTTATATAAAAAGTATACGAGCTGATTACAGCTATAACCACGGTCTGAAAGGAAAGCAGCAATGTATATTATTGCACACTATCGGAGATTGATCGCTCCACCTTGAACGTCAAAAAATCCCTACCGTGTTCAACTTGCCCGACTACGGAGGCCAAAGCATCTGTGGAGCTCTTAACCCCGATCCACTTTTGGCATAGCTTAAGCCCGACGCAAACGTGACATCATGTTGAACAGAATCGGAACGAAACATGTCCGATCATCTACTCAACATCCTGCATGTCCTCAGAGCGATTACCTGCATCGGACTTCAACAAACCCTACTATTAACGGACCCGATCTGTTTGTTTGGACACCGACTGTTCATCTCTCCAGTCTATAACGGGACTATGAATGCTTTAGGACCGCGCCGCCGAAATCGCAGAGCAGTGGTCTGCAACGAGTGCCAACGCTCCAAGTTACGATGCGATCGTCAGCTCCCTTGTAGTACCTGTAAACGTCGCAACCGTGATGCCAGCTGTTCCTACAAGGCTTTATCCAAAGCTTCCAAATCGACTAAGACGCCCAAGGGTCCGGTTGGATCCGAAGTCCCGTCTGGTGAGGGGTCCAGTGAGGGCGACACAGCACCATCGTCACCTGCCTTGACCGTGGACTCTGGCAGCGGCAGCGCTCCCCATGTCCAGGCTGCATCTGCATCATCTCTACTTGGACATACATCGACATCTACGTATACAGAATGGGAAACTGTGCTTTCAAGACCAGCCCCAGAATCAGGTGGTCCCAATGCTCTATCACCTCTTTCGATTGCTCCACGGATTCCCCTCCAAGCTATCATCGCTGCCCTTCCTCCAAAGTCATGTTGTGACTATTTGGTTTCGCTGTTCTTCATCAACGTGTCCTCTTTTTTCCCTATTTTGCACGGACCGACCTTCCAGAAACAATACACAGCATTTATGCAACGACCCAATGAAGTCGGATTGCCTTGGCTAGCTTTATTCTTGTCAGTGTGCTCTTTGGCCCTGAATACCGTGGACGAGAACGACCCTAGGTTGGCATCTTTGGGATCTCCTCCGCCGGCACAAACGGCACAAACGCCACACGCTTCAAAGCTCCCTGTTACCATTTCCATGTCCCGCCACTTTCTTCGCACGGCCATGACCTGTCTCTCACAGGACGATTTCCTTCTCAGACATAGGTTCAGCACATTTGAGGCTCTATTGATGGTTATATACAACCTTTCTCACAATGAGTCACTCGACCAAGGGTGGGCTCTACTGGGAATGGCACTGAATATTGGCATTGCATTACGGTGCAATGTGGACCAGAACTCGAATCCTATCGACACTGAACGAAGGCGACGGTGTTGGGCCGGCTTACTGACCTTGCATACATATCAGGGGATACTGTTCCGAGATGTTGATATGTCGTTTCTGCTGAACATCAAGGCATCCCTCCCTACAGATGTTGATGATGCGAATATCACAGAAGACGGCATTTCACAGACCCGAAACCATCAGGGTTCTACCCAAATGACAATGATGAGGTACAAGATTCGACTTTTCCAATTGTCCGTCGAGATTTGTCGCCATATCTCAGGCCCTGCACGCCTGAATCAAGATTCACTTCGCTCTTTCGACCGAGCTATCGCCGAGGAACAGCAGCAATGGGACTTGATGTATACAATTGATGGATTTCCGAACATCCTGAACTCTACCAGTTATGCGCACTGGTCCGTGCTGCAAACATATGCTCACCACTTATATCTCTTGATACACCAGCCATTCTCTCACTCAAAGTCGCTCCATTTTCTTCCAGAGTCACAAAAGAGGTGCATCAACTCTAGCATATCCTTGCTATTTATTCATAAACAAATTTTTGAAGCACCATTGCTTCGAAACTATCTCTGGTTGCTCAGCGGGGTAACTAGTCTCAAAGCGCTGCACGCAGCTGTGGCACTCAACTCGTGTATCCAAGACCTAGCATCCGTCAGCAACTCGGGACATGACTTGGAAGCATACAAACTGGAAATTGAAGGACTGGCTACTCGGATGAAGAGTCTTTCTGATAGAAGCGACATTTGTTTCAGGGGATGTCGGATGATCGCACATTTACAGTACGCTGGCCCTAACTGCTATTGGACTTGAACTAATTCAGTATTCTTTCTAGGGCCCAAGCTCGTGAGAAGGATATATCCGACGGAGGCTTGGCTGGTCTATCAGAGGAGACACTTGAAGGATGGTTCGATATCCGAGATTGGATGGATGTTGATCCGTCAGTTTGGGTATGTCACCTCACCTTTTCCTCGACTTCTCAATCTTGGCTAACATGCTAGGGTATAACTTGGAAGATGCTCTGAATTGATGGCCCCCGAAGCACGAACGTTCTGTTATGGTGGCGGTTTCTGGAAAGGCTAGGTTACGTCCTCAGTCAATTGATCAACTGAATAAGTACATGGAAAATCAGCTGATTGACTATGTTCAGTAGAGTGTCAATGCCGACAGCCCCATCTTCAATATAACAAACCACTTCAAATCCTCCTTGAAATTTAAGCGTGATGCTGCTTCTCCACGTCACGTTCCTTCTTTCCAAGCCCTCCAGCCTTGTCGCTCCAAGGCATATAGATGACAGGAAGTTTGAAGAAACTATTACTGTCATCCATCAATCCCGCAAGCGCGTTGTACCAAGCGGCAAATGCAGCTAGTATCCCAAACACACCACCAGCAACTCTTAGTCTGTCAGCCAAGGCCAAGTGTCCGACGCTCTTTGCAAAGCTCTCACAAGCGAGAAACAGATAGGCAAGGTCAAGCGTGAGGAATAGGAACACAAAAGCAACAGTAGACCGCAAAGTGCAAAGAAGGAGGACCGTGGTTAGGATAAACCAGCCAGTGAGATAAAGACCAACAGCCGAGTTTAGTTGGGCGGCGTCTGAAGAGTAAGGCCCGTTGACAGGGCTGCTGATATTCCATGGGGGGCTGAGGAGAATACCGTAGGACATCCAGAAACCGCCATAAGACGAGAGGGCTGTGGCGCCGAATGTATTACCGACGGCCATTTCCCTAAAAACACCATGTTATCGACAGCTCATGGCGGAATTGGGGAGGTCTGATCACTTACCACATGCCAGCTAAAATCTGGATAAAGCCTCCATAGATCAAGGCCATTGGTATCGCAATATTTGGCGCCTCGACGCCTCTGGCTTGGAGGTTCACACAAGAAAGCACAAAAGCCGACGTGGCAAAGCCGCAAAGACCCAATGGAGCTGGATTGGCCAGCTTGCGGTGCTCATATGGCCTCCATACGCCGGGTTGTAGGGCACCACCCCATGGCAGGCCTGGTAGTTGATCCATGCTACCACTTCGACGGGAATCGCGGGCAAAATCAGAATGAGGGACCGCTGTTCCGGCTTCTTTGCCAGCATCCGATGTAAATGGAGGCTGTGCAGCAGAATTGCAATGGTTGCAGGCAGACATGTTGTGCTTTTTTTTCTTGCTAAGTCTTTGAGTTGTGAAGGCTTTGAGGGATGGTGCATTGCAATGTGTGTTCTCATCAAATCAAGGAAAAGAGGTCCAATTTATGGTCAATCTATCGGCTCAAGTGTTAGTGCCAAAACAGGGGTAGGTAGTCTTTACCGAACACGAAATTCTAGGGAAATGGTACATAGTAGAACTAAATCTAGCTCTGACTTCATTCAAGGTTCATTGACGGCTGAGGATTGGTTATTCCATTGGTGTGTTTGCCGGGAAAACAGCTTCGGCTTTAAGGAGTGTCATGAGCTTAGAGTCGCGGATCATGATCAACAACAAAAACCAGAACCTAATGAGTCAATTACGTGGAAACCCTGACTGACGTGCTTCACATCAGTCTACGCAATGATCTTGTGAATAATCACTGACGCGTTGGAGTTGGTCTTGAGCGCGTAGCCTGTGCGCTTGCACTTACTCTCAACCCAAAGCATCTTGGCAAGCGGGGGGAAACCACATCACCAGGATCCCCTGAGTGGTTAAGACTGTATGAGGGAAACACAACTCTGATCGGTTAATCATGTTGTCGGCTTTAAGTTCCTGAAGCTACTTTGGAAGTCGAGCAGCCACGGTCGTTCTTCTCTTCCAAATGCGCTGGCCACGGAAAAACTTTACATCAACTTGGCTCTTGTGCCGATTGGGCCATAGAGCAACATTGGCTTTATTAGTGGCATCGGGGTTAGTGATGTCAATGGATCCAAGGGCATCGGGGTTAGTGATGTCAATGGATCCAAGGGCATCGGAGAACATCATGCGAGTCATATCAGAAACAGCTTCACAATCTATCTCCGCAACAAGGCGCGAGCGACAGAGCTCCGCTATTATTAGTCTAGATATACTGTACGTCCAACATCCCGGTCGGAAGACTACACATTGTTAAAGCCTAGTACGTAATGAGATTACAGTCTGGCCAGTCTTAGGCTCGCTCTAATTACCAGTTTCCATGTTACTCCTACTAGTAAGGTGTGAAAAGGCACGAATCGCTTTTATTGTTAGTCATATCTTAGTATTGACCCTTCATATCCAGTGGTCAGCGTGGACGTTACAAAGTAGTCAAACGTAATGAAAAGCCCCTTGTCAAATAATTTAATTCAAACTGACAAGACAGAAACGAACAGACCAAGCGGGGGTGGGGTCACTATAACTCCGCATATCGAAGCCTGAAGTCAATTTGTCTGTGGCGCTTGTGCTAATTAGTGTTTGGTGCTGAGGGGCCGATCGCCTTTGAGAGGGATAGGGCACGAGAGCACTTTGACGCGGATATTCTACCTTGTTGAAAAGATAGACTTCACACTATCTCGGGTATTACCCCGCATTTTCCTTTTACTTGGTTTCGATCATTGCGTATCTATATTGGCTGGGTTATGCCGAAGGAAAACCGGGCGAAAGGAGCTGTGATCGTCTAAGTCCGATGTTTGTTATCTCAACTTGACAGACAGCCCCGTGTCAATGCCATCATAGTCGATGATAAGAACATTATAAAGGGGCTCGACTTCTCTAACCAGTCAATTTATTTTATTCCAATCTATTCGCAATCTCACACAGAACACTAAACCTTACATTACACCACTGACTTCATCATGGCATGGAAAGAGATCGCAGAGGCTGAGAAAAGCCGCATCGACAACACCATTCCCCAAGAATGGCGGGTCTCAATCGCGCAAGACAGAAGCAATTTTGAAACGCTCCCCAGAAACAGCAAGATCTTGACGGATTCTGAAATTGAAATCACCGAAAGCCCTGCTGTGGACCTTGTTCGCGAATTGGCTACGGGGAAACTCACGAGTGTGGCCGTGACTACTGCGTTCTGCAAACGCGCGGCGCTGGCTCATCAACTGGTTAGCCATATGTCCCTTATTCAAGTATTATTCTAAGATGGGTATTTGCTTACTTGGATGCACAGACCAATTGTTTTCATGACTTTTTCCCCGAGCTTGCTCTAGCTCGAGCCAAGGAACTTGATGCATATTTCGACAAGCACAAGGCGCCGGTTGGCCCCCTTCACGGCCTGCCGATCTCACTCAAGGACCAGTGTCGCGTCATTGGCCGCGTCACCCACATGGGCTATACTGCCTGGGTAGGCAAGACGGACAATGAGATGTCAGTCTTGACTCAATTGTTGTGGAATGCTGGCGCAGTTTTCTATGTCAAGACGAGTGTGCCGCAGAGTCTCATGGTGTGCGAGACAGTCAACAACATCATCGGTCGTACAACCAATCCCCGTAACAAGGACTGGTCTTGTGGAGGCAGTTCGGGCGGAGAAGGAGCCATTGTCGGCTTCAGAGGGGGCGTCATTGGTATCGGGACAGATATCGGTAGGTGGGATTGCTGCATCGTCCCAAGACTGTTCTTTTTTGTCTAACCATGCCCTGTTCTTAGGTGGCTCGATCCGTGTGCCGGCGGCCTTCAACAACCTTTATGGTCTGCGCCCCAGTCATGGCCGGCTGCCATATGCAAAGTTGGCAAACAGTATGGAGGGCCAAGAGACTATTCACAGTGTTTGCGGTCCGCTGGCTCATAACACTGCCGACTTGAAACTGTTGGTCACGGCTGTTCTCAGTCAAAAGCCATGGGAGTTTGATTCCAAGGTTGTTCCTCTGCCATGGCGATCCGACGAGGAAAAGATCATTCAGTCAAAGGCGGCCGCCCGTCAATTGCACTTTGGGTTTTATTCGTGCGACGGTAATGTCGGTCATCCCAGCTTATTACCTCACATTTCTTCACGTCAGGGGCTTACTCGCACCAGGTTTTACCGCATCCACCTATTCTGCGAGGTGTACAGACCGTTGTCGACAAACTGCAAAGCGCAGGACATACAGTTAACCCTTGGACGCCCATTGATCACACATTTGCTGTGAACTTGGCCAACAAGGTCTATGCATCGGACGGTGGTGTAGTAAGTTTTCCAGGCAAGCCCACCCGAGTAGGCAAAAGCAGCTTACAACGCATTAGGACGTTCACAAGACGCTGGAGGAATCTGGCGAGCCACCTATTCCCAACTTCGCCGACCTGCTGAACCCCAGCCTTCCAAAGGCGACGATGAATGAACTTTGGGACGTACAGCTCCAGAAATGGAACTATCAGTGCAAGTACCTAGAGGCTATCCGTGCCTTTGAGACGAAACATGGCAGAGAACTGGATGCCATCATTGCGCCGATTACACCCACGGCTGCCGTTCGTCACAACCAGTTCAAGTACTATGGTTATGCCACTGCCATAAATGTACTTGATTTCACAAGTGTCGTGGTTCCCGTCACCTTTGCTGATAAGAACATTGACACGGCAAACGGACAATTCAAGCCATTGAATGATATGGATGCACTTGTCCAGAGTGAATGTAAGTTTTCATTCCCTCCAATAACAAGGGCGAATAGTGCTGACACGAATACTCTGTACAGATGACGCGGAGCAATATCATGGAGCGCCTGTCGCAGTCCAGATCATTGGTCGTCGGCTGACGGAGGAAAGAATTCTGGCTATTGCAGAGGAGGTTGGAAAACTGCTCAAAGCCTAATGGATGGTTCTAGAGAAATGCGTGTACTTGATAGGCAGTGGCCGGCTGCGCATGAAATATTCGGTATCACAAAGTTTTCGTCCAGTGCCAAATTAACACCTTGGCAGCTAAACGCACATACCACAATTTTCATCATGTTTACAGCAATTCCGAATATTTCACACGCAGTCGATCACGGCCTAAGGTAGTTAATTTAAAACTGAGAAGGCTATCGCATTATTATATGAGATTTGTCGCTCCAAGCGCCCAAGATTAGCCAACAAATCAATCCGACTTGAGTTTATATCGGTTTGTACAGCATCCTAAACGAACGAGAACTAGACTTTCGATGATTTATCCAAGCTAGCAATGACGGACTTCCCAGCATAATGTGTCATGGCATGTTTTGGGCACAAGATCGACACTAGCATCAAAAGCCGGAGTCTCCGGACGTACATCACCATAACAAAATGGAGCAGCGACGTCCAGAGTAGATACCATGGAGTTTGACACTGCTTCAAGATTACAGAAGCTCTGTTAGACTGGCAATCCGCTGACCATGATCCTCCTTTTTTATTAGGTGACGATGAGCATTTCTATGGGAAACTGACCTAGACATCTTTGGCCGGGTGGTTATCAGCACTCACATAATCTTGAGAGACATGGTGACTGATGTTTTTTCTGTTGATTAAATATACAAAAAGGTCCGCTCTCCACAGATACAACAACTGGAGGGTGATGCGGACCATTATGGTTTATTTTTGTGGCTTAGCTATCTGTGGCTTGAGAGGTTATGGCTTAAAGTGCTATGGCAAATGGCTGTGATATGGCAAGGGGGGTCATAAAACTGTAGGGATTATGGTAAGGGGCACCCTCGTAGCACCTTGTCGACCTCCGCGGTCATCTCTAGAAGCTCTTCGTCATCGAATGGCCTCGCGACCATCTGAATACAAGGTCGCAGGTTCTCGAAAAGCTTGGGATCATCTAGCACATAGATTGTCAGTTACAGGCTTCTTCCCCAAAATTTAAGAAGAGCATCACGTACACATCTCATGGTTTGCCTTATCATAAGGATTCGTCGACAAAGGCGTATACGAAATGTTGGGCGGGTCTTGTTCAACAGTGGTCTTGGAGATGGGCACTGGCAGAACTGTCGAGGGGTAGTCGAGCAAGTTCCACATACACGTATAACCCCACCATACGTTAAAATCGTGAGGGATTCCGGAAGAAGGGGATACAGGGCAGATAAGTGCATCCATAGGGCGACCGGTGGTCAATTGGTGTTTTGTATCATCCCAAGCCTGAGCGAAGGCGACCTTGTAGGCTCTCATTTTTATGTTGAGCTGTGTTTAACTTGTGTTAGCAAATCTGCAACCCCCAAGGAGACTTCTTCTGTCATACTTTCAAGACCTCGGGCGCGGAACGAGCACTGGCGCTGTAGACTTTGAGCAAGTCAAGGAAGGCTGGGACGAGAGGCTCGCCTGTGGCTGCGGCGACAAGTGCAGCATCCGCCCCGCCGTCTTGAAGGACCAAATCGTACTAATCAGGTCAGTAACACTAGGGACAGCGTAGCCTAGCCTGGGACACATACATAACACTGGGCGAGCTCCCACAAATCGACTGGAGGGGCGAATTCCAGAACTATCATCAACTCGTTGGTAAGTGATGTCTTTCAAGGAATTTAGAAGGGGGGGGGGGCACCTTCAAAGCCATGTCGTAACAGACTTTGTTTAGTTTCCTCAATGGCCCTCAAGATAGGAGGGTGAGGCATAACAACTCCATCCCACTTCATGATACCGACAGCAAGTTTTCCCTCTGGCAGAGAGATCTGCCTCCATGGAATAGGGACTGAATTAGTATCGTACCTGTGCTGAGAATTGTGTGAACCGATCACCTCGGTCAAGAGCTTGAGATCATCAACAGAATGGCAGACGGGACCGGCAGAATCTCTAACAGATATCTGTCCGGTTACTGAACCCCCCCAACCTCCTTTCGGAATACGTTGGGAGGTAGGCCGAATCGCATAGAGCCCATTGAAGGCAGCTGGCACGCGGATAGATCCACCCATGTCGGTCGATGGGGCAATTGGGCATCCTTTCATGGCGACCAAAACAGCGTCTCCTCCTGAGCTACCACCTGCTCCAAATTTATTGTTGAAAGGGTTAATGGTTCGCCCCCAAAGATTGCTCACTGTTTCCAGGATGAATCCGGTCTGCGGCATAGTAGTTCTGCAGAAGAATACCGCGCCTGCGGAGCGGAGAGTCTGGATAATGTCAGAGTCGTGGCCGCTTAGTTTACCCTTGTTGATGACAAAGCCTCGTGTAGTGGCACGACCTTGGAGATCGAACGTATCCTAGGTAGCGTCGAATCAGTATTGATTGAAATCATGCGATTCATGTTTCAAGCATAAATCACCTTGAGTGCCACAGGGATACCGTGCAAGGGTCCTTTGGGACTACCCCCAGCCTCTAGTAAGTCGTCCAACTGCTTAGCCTGTTCAAGTCCATCCTCGTAGAACCAGTCGGCCAAGCAATTAACCTTTTTGTCTTTTCAGTCGTTGTAGTCAATGTTTGTAAGAAGAACTTGTTACTCACGAGCTGATGAGCAATAACGGCACGGGTAGCAAATGCTTCAAGCACTTCGGTTGCCTTTAGTGTGCGAGTTCTGATCTGAGCGGCAAGCTCTGTTACTGTAAGTTCAGTAATCTGAATCTGTTTTTCACTCAACAGGCCGCATGTGACGGGCACTTGGGAGACATTTGTAAGCCCAGCATATTGCGTTCTGTCTATTTTCCACTTTGTAGGAATTGACTGTAAGAGCTCGTCTTGAGCTCTTTCCGAGATTCCCTTCCAGTTGACTATCATGGTGCGTTATGGTGAAAATGGCAGACGACTGGATTTGTCTTTCCTGTTGATATTGTTGCGGACAGATGTCAGTATATCCAATCATAAATTAAGTACTGTGATAAGTTGGTAGCACTGCCGGTGGCACTAGACGATTTTGGGTGGCTAACTGGTTGGCTTGGCTTGTATCGGAGATTCCACAAGGAGCCTCAACGCCATACACCTACACATTTAGTCACGATGCTGTTACATAATGTCGGCAGTGAGTCCAATCAAGCTACTCCGAGACCGGATCAGTACCCCTTTTCTTTCAAGTGACTTTCCTCCTACTGGCCAGATGGATTCGCCATGTTCTCATACCGACCCCGATCCGTACCTGCGGCACACGTACGTTAACCCCGTGTATGTCACTCCACCCTTCTACGTTACCTCCTAGCTTCTCGGGGTAATCGGGTTTTAGGAGGTCCGATACAACTGCTATCTTTTACGAATGGCAGCCGCTGAAATTTTACCTAGTGAAATACCGAAGAAAGCTTGAAAATCGCTAGCGAGCGAGTTGTAGTAATCGATCGGTTACGGCATTGGTGGGACCAGACCATGACATATTCACGCCACCTTCATGACATGCCGACACAACACCACCAATTCAACAATTTGACTGACCAATTATCATGTCACATGGAAAAAGTACAGAAATTGATCAAGTCGCCTAGATCTAGACAAATCTCTTGACCCCCGCGCGTTGATGGGCGAAGGAACGACTCCCGAGATCCCCCACAGTATATGGGGGTTTGCAATCCTTTCTCTCTCTCATTATAACACCACTCACTCTTCAGCCAGCAGTCATAACGGCATTATACAGCGGTTTTCATTTCTTTTTGGGTCGAACTCTGATCGAACGGATAATTTGTCACTACTAGCAAGAATGGTGCGACAATTTACTCACAAACAAGTGTCGACGCACAACACTGAGAGTGACTTATACGTCATTATCCGTGGCAAGGTCTACGATGCTACAGCTTTTGCGATAGAGCACCCGTAAGCGAGCGCCTGCCAACTGGCTCTTTTATTATTCAAGCACAAATGCGGGTCGTTAAGCTATTACTAATCAGCTGTTTATCGTCAGTGGTGGCTCAGATTTATTGATCGATATTGCTGGCCAAGATGCAACGGAGGAATATGTCGACATTGGCCATTCCGATGATGCTGATGAGATCCTGGAAACACTCATAGTCGGCGTTTTGGGAGCTGAAGAGAATTCTACCTCGCCGGAAAAGAAAACGACTACGAGTGACGCTACGCAAAGCATCATTACTCCTGGCAACGGGATCCAAGTGGTGCTAAACCCCGACCAGTTTCAAGAGTTCGAGCTGGTGGAGAAGACGGCTATTTCGCATAATGTTGCCAAGTGAGATAACGACTGCGAGCATTCAACAGGATTAAATATGGCTGACGTGCCCTGGACAGATATCGCTTCAAACTACCAACTGACGATTCGATCTTCGGTCTCCCCACTGGCCAGCACATATCCATCGGTGCTCCTCTCCCACAACCCGACGGAAGTATCAAAGAGATCATCCGCTCCTACACGCCGATTTCCGACGATAGCCAACGTGGTTTCTTCGACCTTCTCATCAAAACATATCCTACGGGTAATATTTCACGATTTATAGACTCGATCGCTTTGGGCCAAAGTATTCGCGTGCGTGGGCCGAAAGGCGCCTTCACTTACACACCGAATATGGCCCGACATTTTGGCATGATCGCGGGAGGCACAGGGATCACACCTATGCTCCAGATTATTCATAAGATTGTGCGTGGGCGCGCTGAGAATGACAAGACCGAGGTCGATCTAATTTATGCCAATGTGTCATTGGATGATATTTTGTTAAAGGGCGAACTCGATGCATTGACAAAAGAAGATCCCGGCATTCGTGTTCATTATGTTCTGAACAACCCCCCAAGCGGCTGGATCGGTGGGGTTGGATTTGCCACTGCAGAGATGATCACGGTACGTTTTCCTAAATTTTCAAGGCGTATTCGAGGTTCCTCATACTTACCACCTGTTGATAGAAATGGCTACCTAAGCCAGCAAGTGATGTCAAGATCTTACTATGCGGACCCCCTCCAATGGTCAGTGGTATGAAAAAAATCACGGCGAGCTTAGGCTACGGATCATCACGCCCAGTGAGTAGGCTTGAGGACCAGGTGTTTGCTTTTTAAAGTCGGCTTAGAAAAAGTGATTGTTTCACTAGATTGGGAACAGTTGTTGAATTTCACGGATGTATTCTGTTGTAAAAATGAGCTATAACAACAATATAAGCATACAGATATTCCCAGTCACTTGTCGCCTTCTTTGACCAACACACTCTACTCAAAAAAATCTTCGTTGTTTGGTTCTGTCTTAATGTTCTTGCTTCTTCCACCAGGAAGCAAAGCAAATGCTGAGATCAACATGATCCGTCACCCATAGGAGCACCAAGCAAAAGATATCATCCCCCTATCAAGAGACAACCCTCTTCTTTTTTGGATCCTCAAACAAAGCCCTGTTCAAATTTATACTTGTTGCTTTCAACAAAAAAAAAACACTTTTTTTTTATCTTATTACTGTGTTTGACGACAAATCAATCTATTTATGCCTTCCCATGCTTTAACTCTTGTCGTTCCTCTACCAAATCCGCCATCTGTCGCGCACGATCTGTTCCTAATTCTCGGAACCCTTCAATAACGCCCTTGCGATCCCCAGCAGGTTCCTCTTGGCTCATTTTGAACTTGCCCTCCATGCTCTCAATCTTAATCTCAACGCCAATAATTGCCTTCTTCATCAGATCCGTGTACCTCTCAGGAGCGTCGGAGACCTTCCACGGCTCGTGGTTATCTCCTTTACCATCGTGACCCATCAAATCAACCTCCATATGTTTTGTGAGGGCATCTATCTGTGAGTTAAGATATGCAGATGTTTCTTCCGACTTGGCATCGACGTAAACTCGGGCTTTGCCGTATACTTGGACAGCGGCGTAGTTCCACGTGGGAACGACCTTTTGGGTCTTGGGCTTAGTCTCAACCAAGAACCTTGGTGGAATATAGTGGTGGACAGGAGACTGAAAGATGACCAATACCTCCCGCTCAAGGACTTTGGTCTCGATTGTTGTGGGGTTGGTCGTTGCCTCTTCGATAATGGCTTTGCTCTGAGGATTGGCTCGAGCGAGATGGCCCCTCAGTGTGCCAAGCTCCGTTTCGCTTGCTTCATCATCGACATCCAAGATGAAGGGGATATGGCTTGTTTGGACAAAGTGGTAGGAGCCCGACGGCGAGGCAATTGTTGTTGTAAACAGGCCCAGCGGGTTTTCGCGGATGAGTCGTCGCAACACGCGGACGTTCTCCTCGGCATGAATGGCGCGGATGTACATAGTGGAAGGGAAGAGTGTAGTGATATGTATTGTATAATTGAAACTCGATGTGAGTAAGTACGGAGGATAAAACCAAGGTGATTCAAAGAAAGTGAACAATGCCAAATGTTGTTATATACTAGTGGTTGGACTTGGGAGGACGTAGTGGCAACGGGGCGACAGACAGTTTCAACAATGTTAAAATTTTGGAAGACCGGGTTCCCCGCGCGAGAAAAGCAGCCAGGAAACAACGAGCCATAATCAAGGAATTCACAAGCGTGTGTTCGGTACGTACCTTATCTCCGAAAGTATATTCATTCCATCATGAAAGAGAACGCGTTACAAATGAATCGCTCACATAATAGTGGGGTTGCACAGGCTCTATCTCCGCTTGCCCGACAGACCACACCACGCCTTTGCCAACTCGTGCCACTCGAGGCGAGTTACTAATAGAATGCTTACATCAACAGAATTTCATGGCTTCGTTCGTCCATTCCTGGTCCCCTGTATCGAATGCTGGCTCGTCTAGACAGGTGGACGAGCAAATCAACCAATGATCGACCCGCATGAAAACTCCGCAACGTACCCTCTAGCTTCTCCACGATCATCCCCATGGGGGTTAGAAGCGTTCAGATCGTTTAGATTGTACTCGGCTGTTTTGGTCAACGCGCTTTCTGGGGTGGTTAATGGGTTTGTAGCTCGGTGTTAGGGGTAAAATAGAAATAATGATATAAATTCTACAGTCTAGCCCGCTTTCTTCGCTTTTTCTCATCATCATTTCACAATAATTTCAATCTTTGCAACACTCAGAAACCGCCATGGCCACTAAGAATAACTACGCTCACGACCCTACGTATAGGATCAATGAGAAAGACCACATGGACGTTATTACTCCAGCTTCTCCGAGGACGGATGAAAGTGTCGGGGTTGTTGTGGGGGTAGACCTTGAGAAAGAGAAGACAGCTGAAGGCGATGCTTACTTCCACCGACTTGGTTGGAAACGCCTGACAGTCGTCCTCATGGTGACTTCTATTGCCCTTGGAAGTCTCAGTCTGCCTAGTGCGTTTGCAACTTTGGGCATGGTTGCGGGTGTCATTGTCACTATTGGTTTAGGCTTCATCGCTATGTATGCGAGCTACATCATCGGCCTCGTCAAGTTGAAGTATCCGGAGGTTCACCATTATGCAGACGTTGGAAAGCTTCTCCTGGGGCCTTGGGGCGATTGGCTTTTCGGCATCATCTTTGTCGGCTTACTTGTCCTGGTTGTTGGCAACCATTGTTTGACGGGAACAATTGCATTTGCGACTTTGACGGAGAGTAGCGTTTGCACGCTGGTTTGGGGCGTCATCTCAGCGATTATCCTTCTCGTTCTCGCTATTCCACCTTCGTTTTGTGAGGTGGCAATCCTGGGCTATATCGATTTTGCTTCCATCATTCTTGCCATCGGAGTTACGGTTATCGCCACAGGTGTCAAGTCATCGTCGACATCAGGTTCAAGCTCCTGGTCAGCGTGGCCCAAGGATGATCTGACACTCGCCGAGGCTTTTGTGTCCATCTCGGGCATTGTTTTCGCCTATGCATTTGCTGCCGCTCAGGTAGATTCGTCTAGTGTCCCGATCTTTATATCCTTTGCTAACTCCTACGCTAGTTCTCTTTTATGGACGAAATGCACACTCCATCCGATTTCACCAAGTCAATCACCGCTTTTGGAATCATTCAAACTACCATCTACACACTCACAGGAGCCCTTATATATTCCTTTGTTGGACCCGATGTTCAGTCCCCAGCTCTCCTGTCAGCCGGTCCATTGATCTCAAAGGTTGCATTCGGCATCGCACTACCGGTTATTTTTATCTCAGGTTCCATCAACACAACCGTTGCCTGTCGTTTCCTCCATGGTAGACTCTACCGAGACTCAATCACACGCTATATTAATACACCCAAGGGATGGGTGACTTGGATACTACTCGTTTCCGCAGTCACGATCTTGTCATGGATCATTGCTCAAGCTATCCCTTTCTTTTCTGAGCTCTTATCACTTACTGGCTGTCTTTTTGTCGCCGGATTGTCATTTTACATTCCTCCGATTATGTGGTTCTACTTGCTCAAGGAAGGTAAATGGTACGAGAAGAACAATCTGGCAACGGCCATAATCAACCTGATCGTCTTTATTGTTGGTTTCACCGTTTTCGGTATAGGAACATACGCTACCATCGTTGGCATTGTAAGTCTCTGCTTTTTGAGATTTACTTGACCCAGACTAATCATGTGGATAGATTGACCGCTTTGAGTCAAACTCCCTTACTCGGCCTTTTTCATGCAGCATCTGATTGCTAAACAACACGGACGGAGTTGGTTCGGCCCCTCCACGGGAGTAATCAACCCGCCGTAATATACGGTCATTCGTATCCATCGATTAGTCAAGACTTCTGCTGTTGGTAAGGCGGCTGCGCCCAGGCGTCACTCTTGCGTAAGGGGGACATTGCTCTTTGATGGTGGAGTAGGTAGTTGTATCCCATGTACAGATATATACCAAGTAGATCCCTTGTCAATGCAAATTGATGTTACCTATTGTAACTGGGTGACCAATTTCGTTGATAACTGCTTAGTAATATAATATTGAAGTTGCGTGTATTCGAATCCTCTGCTGTTTTTGACTCATTGCTTACAACTCATATGTTTATGTCGACTTTCCTTTGATTTCTGGTCCCACCCACTTTTTTCTTTTTTTTCTTTTTTGTTTCCTTTGGTTAAAGCTATTACTTGTTTGATTACCCGCAATGGCAGGGCCTTTTTTTTTTTTCAGTGCAATAAAATCTTTCTTTTATCAGTTCGCAGAACAATTAAATCACTAGATCCTATATTACGTTTCAGTCTACAGAGACTTATTGGGAAGAATATTAACTGACCAAATAGGGGGCGGCATTTCGTTTTACGAGAGCGCGTAGAAAAAGCATAATTAGGCGGTTCTACACCTGATCAAGATATATTTCAAGAAGGCGCAGATATATTTAGACTAAAAAGATAGTACTAATTATATAATCAGATACTCTGAGCTTCCTGGAATTACTTTAAATAATACTGAATATAGTAAATATAACTCTATATAATATCTTTTAGTATCCCCTTTCTAATATAGAACTTATATAAAGTATTCTAATTACTAGTAAGTATATCTAGAGTAAAGTAGTTTACTAGAGCTAAAACCTTAATCTTATTATAGTACTCCTTCTGTTCAGAGCTTATATAAGTATAGTACTAGATAGTATATACTCTAACTATATACTTATTTAATAAATTAAACTTAAGTAGTAATATTAGGAATACTATCTTAGGAATATTATAGTAGTATAAATTAGTTATAATAGATAGTAAGTTATTAGATCTATATTACCTCCTCTTATAATTCTATAGCTTATTATACTCTATCTCTTATCTCTCTTCTTACTCTCGTTAGTTATCTATAACTAGTTAATTAAACTCTTCTAGGGTATTATTATATATATTAAATAGCTTTCCTGCTTAAATATAATCAGTAAGTATCCTAATATAATATAGTTAAAGTAGGTAATACTTTTCTTTATACTGCTAGTAGTAATTCTCTTTTATATAAGAATACTCAGAGTAGTATATAAAAGTATATATCTTCCTAATACTTATACCTCAGTCTAAATTAGCTATTCTAGTATCTAAGTCTATCTCTTAATTAGCTATTACTTCTCCTCTTTCAGGTTTACTATTATCTATACTATTATAATAGAATATTAATAGAATAGTAATAATTTTACTATTATTTAGAAACTTACTCTAATTTTAAATCTATCTAGTAATAAATATTCAGTTAATATCTAATTTTAGAAACTCTTTTATTATCTTGCTTATTTTATAGTTAATTATAGAAAGAATAAGCTTAGTTTTCTTCTCCTTCTAGAGCTATTCTATATATATATTAATAATTTTCAGTTAGAGAATATATTTCCAGAACTTCTATAGTAAAATAATAATATATAACTCTGATTTATTAGCTTATTCTCTGTTCCTAATAGATAACTTCTACTCTATATTATAATATATTATTAGCTTACTATTATAGGATTAGCTTAGCTCCTAGTCTATATATAATATAAAACCTGAAGTACTTCCAGCAGGTCTTAGTCAGCTTCTGAAGGGAGCTATATACTTATTATTATTAGAGAGAAGAGAGTTAGAGTTTTAAGAATTACTTATATTATTACTTAACTAATTATCTATAGTTTTATCTATATTAGTATATTACGAGAGTAACACTTAGTAGATGTTTCTTACTGCTTCTGTTTCTTATATATATTAGCAGCGATAATAAGCTAACCAATAACTAACAGCTACTTCTATAACCTTCTATTTGTTGATTTTAAGAGACTATAGCCACTATAAGTTAGTGGTTATAACCACTAATTGCTAGCGATTGTAGCTACTGGCTATTAGTGATTAAACTGGCTGTTTGAGATCGCTGCTAGCGATTGCGGCCACTAGCCACAACCGCTAATAACCCCCTAACAACACTAGCCAATAGCGATTGAGACCGCTATCCGATAGCGATTACAATCACTAACTAATAGCGGTTGCAGCCACTGTAGGTCAGTAGCTGCAGCCCGCTATAACCGCTACAGCTTAGCGGGCTCCAGTAACCCCTGTAGGGCTAGGAGTATAAGCAGAGCTATTATTAGGTTATCAGGCTTATCTAATCCAAATAAGGGTCTAGAAAATCCGAGAAAAATCCTAGGATATTCTCAGACAGTCTAACCTATACTCAGACTACCCTATAGCCAGCCTACCCTAGACTAGGTCTTAGATCTTAGATATCTTCTTTAGTTTTAAAGATAAGATATATAATATCTATACTTAACTAATTAGCTTAAGGCTTTTTTCAGATAAAAGTAAATCTTATAAAAGCTATATATATTAATTAAAGGTTTTTTTTTATTTTTATTTTTTTTAGCTATAAGTAAAATTATCTTAAGATTAAATATAATATATAATTTATTTATTTATTTTTTTATTAGTTCTACTATAAATAAAAGTATATTCTAAAATTAGATAATATATAACTAGATTATATAATTTTTTTAAGAATATAATTAATAGCTTATATTTAAACTTTTAGTACTATAAAATAAAGTTAAAATTAAATACTTTTAATCTAGATATAGATATTAATATCTTAAAAACTCTAATAATAGAAGCTATTTATATAGCTAGATATATAAATAATCTAGCTATAGTTATAGTCTCTAAGGGGGAAAACTTATTATCTAATAATAATAATTATCTTTTCTTTCTAACTTAAAGCTTATCTTAATCTAAATTAATTAATTATATTATTAATTAATTATTTAATTAATTAATTAATTACTAGATAATTAATAAGTTCTTAAATAGCTATAATATCTAATATAAATATTCTAATTTTTTAAAATCTAATTAATACTTCTAATAAAGTTTTTAAAATAATAATAACTATTATCTAAAATAATTTAATATAGCTATTTACTAATTATATTTATAATATATCTTTATAATTAGTTAAAGATCTATTTATAATAATAAAGCTACTATTAACTATATAAATCTAGTAGTTATATCTACTTAGTTTATTACTTTATTATATAATCTACTATCTATAGCTATTATAGTTACTATAGATATTTATAGAGAATTAAAATTAATTTAAATAAATACTATATCTTAAGAATAGCTACTCTTTTATATAGATCTACTATAATCTAATATATAACTTATAGTTTTAATATATTATATATTATATTGAGTTAATAAGAATAGAAATAGCTCTTAAGAATTAGTTTATTAATTAAGCTTTTTATATTTTAAAATAGTTTAAATTAGAGTATTAGTTAGATTAGATTAAACTTAGTATTAGTATATTAGAGTTTATTTTAGTTTAATTTAAATTATATTTATTTAGAAATAAGAGAAAAATTAATTATTTAAGATTATTAATTAAGTTTATATCTATAAATATAGTATATATTTACTATTATAGAAAATTTTTATTAAATAATATAAATTTAATATTAATTTAATATTTATTTATATATACTTAGTTATACTATATAATAATATAATTTATTTATAATATAGAGTTTTTTTATATATATAATTAGTAGTTTATATTTAGATCTTTTATAGAATAAAGATTAAAATAAATATACTTTTAGTCTAGATATAGATATTAATATCTTAAAAACTCTAATAATAGAAGCTATTTATATAGCTAGATATATAAACCTAGCTATAGCTATAATCCCTAAAGAGGAAAACTTATTATCTATTAATAATAACTATTTTTTATACTTATTTTAATTAATTAATTATATCTAGTAAATATTTATTTTAATTATAATTATCTCTTTATAAATACTTATTACTAATAACTACTATAAATAATAACTATAATAATAAAATAAATATAACTAATATATTTATCCCTACTAGAGAGAGCTAAATTAAAATAAATAATCTAGCTTTTTAAGAGATAATAGTAATTATTAGTTAGTAGCTAAGAGATCTATATTTTAGATATATTAAATTTTTAAATTTCTAATTAATTAAAGAGCTTCTTATAATAATATAGCTATTTATAGTATAATAAATCTAGTAGTTATATCTATTTAAATTATCTCTATACTATAATAGTAAAATATTAGATATTTATAATATACTTATTAGAAATAAAAATTAATTAGATTAAGAACTATATTTTATTAATAATTACTTTTTTATATATATTTATTCTAACTTAATATATTATTTTTAGTTTTAATATATTATATACTATATTAAAATAATATATATAAAAATAGTCCTTATTTAATTAAATTTTTATCTATTTTATTCTATTAATTTTAATTAGAATTTAGATTTAGAATTAGTTAGATTTAGTATTAGATAAGATTTTATTATTAGATAAGAAAAATAGTTAATTAGAAGTTAATTTAAAATATTAATATTAATTTATCTCTAAAAGTATAATATATATTTACTATAATAAAGTTTCTAAGATCTATATAGAGATATATTTTAATCTTATATCTATTTATCTATATATAGTTCTTTTTAATAATATAGAGAGTTAAAGGTTTTAAAAGTTATAAATTAATTTTTTAGATTTCCTATATTAATAAATTTTATAGAAAATTAAAAGTAGTTTAGAAAGCTATTATAGTAGGTTTTAAAATAGCTTTTAGTTAGTAGATCTATAAGAGAAATTAGTTAAATTTTCTAATCTCTCTTATAAAAATAAGATTTTTTTATATTATACTTTATACTATATTTAGTTCTTTTAGTACTAAAACTTACTGAGTTATAGTAGAATTAGTAGTTAAGAACTATAAGTTATAGTAAACTTCCCTACTGTATTATAGTAGCTTTAAGGCCTAATATACCCTGGAGACTACTGTAATTTTAATAAATATATATAGAGATAGTTTTTATTTAAAGTTTTCTATCTATTTAGTTCTATTAATTTTAATTAGAATTTAAACCTAGAGTTAGTTAGAATATTAAATAAAGTTTTATTACTAGGTAGAAAAAGTAATTAATTAGAAATTAATTTAAAATATTAATATTAATTTATCTTTGTAAGTATAATATATATTTACTATATTATTTCTAAGATTTATATAGAGTTAAGTTTTAATCTTATCTCTATTTATTTATATATAGTTCTTCTTTAATAATAAGAGATTATAATATATAGTATATTAAAACTATAAATTATATATTAAACTATAGTAGATTTTTATAAGAGAATAATTATTCTTAAAATATTATATTTATTTAAATTAAGCCTAATTCTCTATAAATACTTATAGTAACTATAAATAATAGACTATATAATAAAATAATAAACTAAGTAGATATAGCTATTAGATTTATATTATTAAAAGTAGCTTTATTACTATAAGTAAGCTTTTAACTAATTATAAAGATATATTATAAATATAATTAGTAAATAGCTATATTAGATTATTTTAAATAATAATTATTATTATTTTAAAAATTTTATTAGAAATATTAATTAAATTCTATAAGATTAGAATATTTATATTAAATATTATAGCTATTTAAAATCTTATTAATTATTAAGTAATTAATTAATTAAATAATTAATTAAGATAAATTTTAAAGTTCTAATAGAAAGAAAAAATAATTACTATTATTAAATAATAAATTTTCTCTTTTAAAAACTATAGCTATAGCTAGACTATTTATATATCTAGCTATATAAATAGCTTTTATTATTAGAGTTTTTAAGATATTAATATCTATATCTAGATTAAAAGTATAATATCTAACTTTATCTTATAGAGTTAAAAATTTAAATATAAACTATTAATTATATTTTTAGAAAAATTATATAATCTAGTTATATATTATTTAATCTTAGAATATACTTTTATTTATAGTAAAACTAATAATAAAAAATTAGAAACTATTTATAAATAATTTAAAAATAGAATTATTAATTTAAAAATATAAATTTCTAAAAACTATTTTAATTAAAACTAAAATAGTAATATATTATATAAAACCTAGTATTTAGAATAAATAATAATAAAATATTATATAATAACTAATAAATAATATAATAATATAAATATATAAATACTTTATATAATAAATATATAGAAATAGTTTGATTGGCCACCTGTGGTTGTATATACTTGTATCAAATGAAAGCTGTTGATTGCCAGCAGCCTCCAGGACCATCTAATATCAAACATTGTGGGTATAATGGACATCGGCTGAGCACTGCGGCTCGGCGTTACGAGGAGACATGGCCCATTCGTTCCTCGTTGGCATTGCATATCCGCCTACTCGACACTTATGCTGCCCAATAATTCCCCGTCTGTTTTGCTTTTTCCCCTTGGCTGACAAATTTCGCTTGCCATTACAGACATGCTGTCAAAGAAAGCATTGCGAAGAAGTAGATTCGATTGGACAATGGCATGCCAACAATAAAATTGAGGGTGCTTTATTATTGACTTTTGCATTGCAATGCCATGCAATCAAGCAGACTCTTGGCCACATGGGGTAGATGAGAACATTATCAACTCAGATGGACATTATGCTATCCTTGTCTTTTTTGCGTTCCACTCTTGAGTATTTAAGCAGCTGTGATTCTCGTCAATTAATCCTACTTCTTCTTCTCATCATCACTCATCTTCTTATCAATCTTCTCACCACCAACAATCTACCAACCTTCACCAAAACGTTCAACGTTTTCCCACCTCAATCAACATGTCTGCCCAGTTCACCGTCCCTCTCCCCACCTCCACCGGCCTCGCCGAGCCCGCAGGTATGTCTGCCACTGTCCCTAGAACTTGGCGCTGTATTAAATACTGATTGAATTGGAAACAGGCCAGCTCATCAAGGGTGCCACCCAGGATGACGGCTCACTCCGTGACGCCGCCCTCCTTTTGGGCATCAAGCTCGACCTCGAGGCAGAGGTCCACCTGACTGCCCGTGTCAAGGGTGATGTCGTTGTTGGTCTTTATTAAGTGTGTGGATATGGTCCGTTGAGCGTCAATGAGGTTGGTCGGATTTAGGAGCACTTTGGTGGATTTCAAGACAATAAATGGAGGGTTCTGGGTGTGGTGACCAGCTCTCATTCACATCTACCAGATTAATCTTAGTCTAACAAAACATGAAACACCTTTTCACTTTAATTGCTGCAAATATCATTTCTCCATTTGAACCAGGGCCGTGACTGAGGAGAGAGGAGATAGTCCATCAACTGACTCAGCCGATTCAGGTTGTCCTACGAAGCCTTCGATGAGGAATTATTCGGGGTTCGAAGTGCATTTCTATCACAAATAAGCAAGGATGTCAGTGAGCTCAACATGTATTTTCATTAAAGTACGGATGTAAATGGATTCACGTCGTAATTAGCACGCACTCATCACCGGGATCAGTAATTGGACATAAGTTGACAGAAGAATGCACATCTTTCACGAGCTAAGCTCTAGTTTATATATTTCATCGTTTTCTGCTCGCCAATTGTGCTACCTAGCTAGTATTAAGGCAGAATGTATCTAATTTCCTGGCGACGAAGATTTCTCCAAGATCCTACCTGGGCGCTTAAGCCTTGGTGGCCACAGCCTTTCGGGCCTCCTTCATGCGCTTCTGGATCTCGCGGGCCTTTGCAACACCAAAGCCTTCCTGGAAGACCTCGCGGATATCCTCCAAAGTCATGCCCTTGACCTCGGGATAGAAGAAGTAGATCAGAGCATAGCCCGTCAGACAGAGACCGGCATAGAAGCCAAAGGTACCACTTGGCGTCATGCTCTGCAGCTGAGTCAAAAAGGTAGAGGCAACAATGATATTAGATCCCCAGCAGGTCATGGTAAGCATCATGGTTCCCATGGCGCGGATTTCCAGAGGGAAGAATTCACTGCTGAGCCAGGCAGTGTTTCCAATACCGGAAGAGTAGAAACCGACAAAGAGGACCATGCTGATGAGGACGACAATAGCAGGCCATCCAATACTGCCATCAGTGGTAACACTGAGATCCTTGTTGACAGGGATCCACTTGAAGCAGACTGCGGCGACGAGCAATGCGAGACCCATGAACTGCACAGTGCAAAGCAGGACCCTACGGCGACCAGCCCGGTCAACGAGCAAGAGATTGACCAGGGTGAAGATGAAGTTGGTGCCGGCGATGACGGTTCCAACAGCGACGGGGTTCGAGAAACCGACGGTAGCGAAAAGGGTGGGAGAGTAGTACATGAGGGCGTTGAAACCAGTGAGCTGAGAGATGGCCATCAAACCGCAAGCAGCAAAGAGGGCTCGGAGGTTGGCGGGGACAGTATACATTTGCTTGAAGACCCACCAGCCAGACTTGCCAGCGTTGATGGTCTTGGACTGATCGACGTGATAGTTGAGCAAGCGGATCTTGTCTTGAACCTGCTGTTCCGTAGCATTGGGGTAGATTCGCCGGAGGACCGAGGCAGCTTCTTCATTCTTGCCGAAGTAGATGAGCTGGCGGGGTGACTCTGGGCAGAAAGGCAGCAGAGCACCGAGCAGGATGGCGGGGAGTGCACCGCCTCCAACCATATATCTCCAGCCACCGGAAACATAGGCGAAACCAGCACCAATACCATAGCTTATAAGTTGGCCACCGGTGATGGAGCAGTTGTCGAGACCGATCATTCGGCCGCGGTATTTGGCAGGTGAGACTTCGGCGATGTACCTGTTCGCTTGTTAGACTAATGGAAGGCTTTTTAATAGAATTCAGGGAGGACTATGGCTTACAAAGGAACAATCATAGCAGCAGAGCCCACGCCGAAGCCTACAACAAGACGTCCGACGGTCATCTGAGCAATGGAGAAAGCGGCTGCCTGAAGGATGGCCCCAACAGTGAAGAGGGCACAACCAACATAGATGGCGACCTTGCGACCATAGCGATCAGCGGTGGCACCAGCGAAGATGGCACCGATGAAGGCCCCGCCAGAGGTGATGGAAGTGATGAGCTCACGCTCCTGTGGTGTAAGATCCTTGCCAAGATCTTTGTTGATGTAGACCAGCACGGCAGAGATGATGCCGGTGTCGTAACCGAAGAGCATGCCGCCGATGGCAGCCGTGATGGAGACGAGCCATGAGAACCTGCCAGTTTTGGTGAGCTCGATAGAATCGAGGTCATCCAAGTCGGTGGAGTCTGCAACTACATGGTCCTCCACGTGGTTGATGTCCTTCTTAATGTCGTCGCTCGACATGGTGAAGGTTTCTGACTGGAATGAAGGAAAGTGGATGGGAACCACTGACTGGGATGGTTCTGAATGGAGAAGTGATGAACTGAGAAGGATGAAGCTGCTGATGTCTGAGAATCTGGGGAAGCGAAGATCATGCCGCTCCCTTATATACTTCTCCAAACGAGCCTGGGTATGGTTCGTTCTGGGGAGATGGTCCGTGTGCGGGGATAGAATCAAGGCTGATGTCGTGAAACGGGTGAGAAAGGGGTGGGGCGGCTGGGATTGGTGGCATTAGCCATTATCTGGTGATAGTGCCACTTACTCGTGCTCTCTACCCCAAATGTAAATAATGGCTTGATGATCGGCTACTGGAACCAAGGCGGAGAATGTGGAAGTGCTATGTGAGCCAGGCATGAGAAATACAGCACCATGATTGGCTGAGGGTTCCTGCATGTCACCACCACTCCCCCCAGCCCTGGGCGTTCGCATCAAAGGCTCGACGGCGTAACCGCAGAAGCACGCCCACCAGCCCTTAATTCGAAGCCAATTTCAATCACGCTTTCCCCATGGGGACTACGGGGAACACGGCGAGCAAGCGGAGTGCATCTGGGCAGGCCCTCGAGGAGTCCGGCCGGAGGAGGTGTGGAGAGGAAAATGACGAGCTGGAGACTGTGGAGCCCCCCGACTAATTGCCGCATTCTCATTGGTTCCCCGCTTATTAGCGCCCATGGGGTAGAGTTTGCTTGCGGGGTTGCTCCTGCCCGACTTGCCAAAACCGAGTCAAAAAGGAAAGTTGCCCTTCTCAGCCGTTCCTTCCCATTCCGTCTATTATCACCATCCCCCGTCGCCTTCAGCAGAGGCAAGACAAAAATTGCATCTCCTTCCGCTCTCCTCCAGACTGGGATCCAGGACAGATTTGCTTATCTCTGGGCTTCACGGCAGCAGTGGCACCACACTCTCCGCATGAGCCTGATTGCTCAGGCCACACCCCACACGGTCATACCGGTCAGACCACGATGCAGACGGCGACGACAACCTCGACAGTCAAGCCGCTGGATCCGTGTACAGTAAGTTTGCCCGTCCTGCTTGTCTTACCCTGTGGTGAAACCCAGACTGACTGATGGTGTCTCGGCTTGCCTTGCCATAGCTTTGCAAACAGAGGTCAGTTTGTTCCAGATTCACTCGGGGACAACTCGGTGCTCGCCTCTCCATTCGTTGCATTGCATCGTCTTACTTTGTTTGGCTTGCTTGTTTTGCTACTTTCCTTCTTGAGATATCAGTCCCAGCTAATATGGAGTCCTCCCGCTTCCCCGTTTAGACATCAGAAATGTAAGATTGCGCACTATCATTGCAGACCCTGGAATTTCCCAACTCGTCCTCGAACGGCGAGTTGAGTCTTGCTTTTTTTGCTAGATTGCTAATTCGTCATGTCCAATAGGCGATCTAGAGCGTCCCTGCTCCAACTGTCGGAAGAGTGATGCTGAATGCGTCCGCAACTATAGCGTGCGATTCCGGCATGGGTTGAACCCCAGCATTCGACCCCGAAGGGCCCAAGATGCATCTAGACGCAGCGAGTTCCAGTTCGCCCATGATCAGCCTTGGGTACGGACCAATCGCACCCTGAGCTTTGTTGACGAGACCAACGATGTCATCAATCTGCTGGATTCTGGAACCGGCACCAGCAATTTCGACTCCATCGACTCGCCCCCTGATCTCATGCAGGTGACCGAGACCGGCAGCCTCGACTCATCTCAGCCGCGGTCGCCCTCCGCACCAAGCAAGGAACACCGCTCCGGCACTGACAAATTAGATACCGACTTGCCCTCGCCTGTTGCCGCCTCCGGGGGCCGTCCATCTAAAAAGAAGCGGGCCTTGAGCCAGTCAGCACTCACACCATGGTCAGGGGCTCAACGATCGGATCCAGTTCATGCTCGAACATCCAGTCGCGGCTCTCACTATTCCCAAAGCATCCCAGAAGCAGGTAGCCCCTTCAGTATCTTTTCCAACTCCCCGGTCATTACCCAACAGCTGCTCCTTGGTCTCCACAGAGAGCTAGACACTCAGACATTCCCAAGCCCCCAGGCCTCCTCGATACACTCACCCCTGGGAGATTGCCATGCCAAAGTCATCGACGGCATCTATCTCGAGGCACCAAAATGGCCACTTGAAGACCCCGTTGAGGCCATGCTGTTCCAGAACTACGTCCATGACTTGGCGCCACTCTTTGATCTCTGTGATAGCGACAGGCACTTTGCCACCGTCGTGCCGCGCCGGGCAGCGTTGTGTCCCCCTCTCATGAACGCCATCTTGGCCGCCTCAGCTAAGCGCCTGAGGCGGGTGAGTAACTTCGACTCTTACATTGGTGACAAATATCATCAAAACTGCCTCAAAACGCTTATCCCTGCTCTGTCAAGCCTCGCCGCCGTCATGGACGAGAATTTATTGACCACCATTGTCATACTACGATTCATGGAAGAGCTAGATGTCCCTTGCAGATCAACAGAGATGACCTCCGAATCCCACCTGGTGGGTACCCGAGTGTTCATCGCAGCCCAGGAAAAAATGAGTGACTTCTCTGGCCTCCGCCGAGCAGCATTCCTAGTTGCTCTTCGTCAAGAGATCCACATGGCGTTCATCCAAGGTCGTGTGGTTCATCCTAATTTCGACCTGGATATGATCTCGCGCCTTGTGGTCCCGGATAGCACCGGCTGCGACTATGCAAACCTCATCATCCTGCACTGTGCTTATTGTATGCGATATTGCTATGGTTCGGAGGAGCAGAGTATCGCCACTTGGGAGGAGCTTCGAGAACGACAAGACCGGATATGGGCAGAGAGACCATGGATTTTCCATCCTATGCACGTCAACGAACACAGCGGTGTGTTCCCAGAGATTGTGTACTTGAACGGTGCAATCGTCACAGGGATGCTACACTACTATCTGGTTGAAGTGTTGCTCGCCGCACACAACCCCAAGGTACCGAGATTAGGGCCAGGCCAGGCAAAGTCCTTCAGGGAGACAAACGAGCATATCAAGAAGAGTGTTCTCACAATATGTGGCATCGCCGAGGTATTGCCATCCCTTGTTGCACGCTACGATTCTCTCCATCAGGAGATTACCGGCTGACATCCTTTTCTTTTGCAGTCAAATGATCATACACAAGCCTCCTATGCATACGTCTGCCTAGCGATTACAATGGCGGGGGATCGATTTACCGACCCTGAGCACCAAGATGCCATTATAAACATTTTAGTGAAGGCAGACACTCGGTTTGCTTGGCCAACGGGTCCAATGTAAGTGCTTGATGAGACATCTTCACCTGAAATTTGAGCTGACCCGAACTTCAAGCCAACGGCATCTATTAGAGGGCTGGGGTCGGGAACTCTCGCCGGACTTAGTGTCTGAGCAACCCCCGGTGGAGACTAATGATGTCCAGCAACATGTGGACCTGGCGGAGTCGATAGCATCGGCCATTGCGATGCTTCACGACTAGAATTTCGGTAGTCATATCATGCATGTATTTCTGTACCTCGCTAGAGTGGTGTGCATTAAGCTTTGGGTGGGTGGGAACGGCGATACAAGGACTGGGAGCGGAGTTGGGCAGGGGAATTTCAGGCAACTCGGAGTCTCTGGTCTTTTTGGACTCTCGGTTTTCGGCGTTCGGTGTTGAGTGGCGGTGAGATAATGCCAGTTTTGCGTTATGGGGGTTATGTAAATATCATGTATGATGAAATAGCGTTCCAAGAGGAAAGAATTATGCCACTTTCAGGAAGTTAGCAGTTAACTAAAGATGCCACCTATCATGACTGAGCGAACAGAGTGAATGCATTCACATGTTTAGGACACCGTTTGTGATAAACATTGCGTAGTTGGGTGTAAGAATATCAAAGAAATATCGTCATTCTGAGTAGTGCGCTTTGGCAGATTGCTCAACATGCCCCCAAATTGCTGAAATAAAATATGGCACACCAGAGCTCTTTTTATACAAGCTGGAGACCTCATTCTGTGAATAATATTTCAAATAATAACAGTAAAATAATATATTACTGTATATTATTTAGCTTGATATTGTATCAATAACTGAGTTGATTGTTTTGATATTGTGTCGAAATTCGAGGCTGTATGGAGGCTTTGGTGTGCCATGTTCTATTTCGGCTACTTGGCCCCTTTGTGCTCTTTTCTCTCACTAGTTAACATTAGATACATGAGCTCATAACCTTGCTATTCCACCAAATTTGATCATTTCACAGTTTTACTCCTTCTCTCTGAACTCGGACACGCCCAGGTCCCGACGCCACAGCTTTACAGGCATAGGTCCAGGCCCGAGGTTCATGGCCTCTTGTCTCTTCGGCTCCCAATCGGGGTGTGGCAGGGCAAGCTCGTATCTGTGGACAACACTGGCAAGCAAGACAGTTTGCTCAAGGTAGCTGATGTTGCGGCCAATGCAGCCTCTAGCGCCGGCGCTGAAGCTGATGAAGTAGGGCTGCAGGTCCTTGCCCTTTTCTCCCAGCCACCGCTCGGGGATGTAGGATTCGGGCTCGGGGAAGATTTTGGAATCACGGTGAGACACCCAGGCGGAAATAGATACCGTCGTATCGGCGGGGATGAAATCACCGAGAATGTTGCAGCCCTCGGGGGGAGTTCGGCGAGGCAGACCAAAGGTAGTAGGCGGGGTGATGCGGAGAGACTCGTCAAGACAAGCGCGGAGGTAGGGAAGATGCTTCACCTTGTCGTAGGGTGCAATCACCTCGTCAGCGTCCAGAACAGCGTCAACTTCCTCACGGAGCTTGGCCATGCATTTGGGATTCTTAAGAAGCCAGAACATGACGTTATTCATGGCAATAGCGGTAGTGTCTGAGCCAGCGTTCATCATGATAGAGACCTCGGCAACGACTTCACCCCACTCGATACCTGAATCGTTGGCGTCGTTGTGGTCCATGATGGCCTGGAAGAAATCGGGCAGACGCTCGCCAGCCTCATAACGCTTGAGACGCTGAGTGGCACGGTGATATACAATGTCGTTCCAATTCTCATTGAGCCTCCACCACTTGCGGAAGTCAGGTGAGACCCACTTGGAGACCTCAACACTAAAGTTGTACCACTTCTCGGACCAGGCCAGGATAGACTGAGCGCGGGCAGTAGAGTGCAGGGCTTCACGATAGTTCACGTAGTGAATAGAGCCATCCATGCGCTCAGCCTTGACACGATCATGGCCCTGGTCAAGGAAACCAAGACGCTCGCTCAGGCCAATATCAGCGATAGCATCAAGAGTGAAGAAGTTTGTAAAGGCTCGGTAGTCGAAGGTGAGGTCGGCGGCATCGGGACGGAACCCTTTCTTCAGCGGAGCAGTACAAGCCTTGTCGGCGGCTTTGATAAACCGCTCAGTCTTATCGGCCACCTTGAATTCCCAGTTCTCGAGGTTCTTCAGCGCATAGGCAGCAGAGAGGGCTCGACGCTTGCGCTGATGATCCAACTTGTCAACGACATCAGCCAGATGGAAGTGGGTGCCGGCTAGAGTTTCGTAAAACTCGCCCTTGGTGCACTTAGTACCATGACCATAGATATCCTTGATAGCATCTGGAGAGCCGTAAGATAGAGAGTTGGGGCCGGTTCGGATGACTGGGTGCGTCTTGTGCAATTTGTAGAGTAGGTCGGAACGGAAACCACGGTGGGCTTCAATCATGAAGGGGATGTTGGTGATGCCGGCTAGAGGGTGGAAGTTGGGATATCTCCGCAAGCCCTTCGCATCTCTGAAGTATGTGATGATGGGGAAAAGGATAAAGTAGCCGATCAAGGCTGTAGTCGTGACTACGACGACAATTTCTGCGTACATGGAGGGCAGAATTCTGACTTCAATCAAGTCAGCTGTTGATTGAGGGTGTTGATTGTTCTATGGTGGGTGAAATGAGATATGAATTGTTGAGAAAAGACGCTCGGTGTTATCTTTCGCTTCAGAACATCTATTGCCCATTCATGGTCAGAACCTGGCGAGGAAACATCAATGGCATGGACCAACACGACGAGTAAGCGTCAAAGCGTTGACTGTCAGCATTGTAAAATATGCCTCTGCTGTCATAACAAGAGGGGGCTGCTCCTTCTCCAATTTCAAAAGTGGCAATTCCCTAAACCGGCATTTCGAGTCATCATCCATGGACATCCAGAAACGCCCACGGGGAGCTAGAAGCGCCATGCTTGTTGTGGAAGTCAGCCCGGTTCCATGTGACAGCAACTGTAACACGAAGCCAAGAGGAGAGGCAAAGCCATGAGGGGTAAAGAGGTGGAACTCTCCACAAGATGTTCACCCGCATGCCCAGGATTGTAGATTCTAGTCCTCCCTCCCCCACACTTCTCCATCTTGATGCTGATGGGGTCCCGTGATCGAGATCCGGAGGCTGACACTAGTTCGCAGGAAGTTGTTGGAGGAGTGGAGAAGAGTTCTGAACAAAGAAAGTTCTCTTTTGGGCTGTCTTGAACAGGCAAGTTTCCTATTACAGCCTGCCGAGGGAGGCAATTCTGCCCGACTCTCTCGGCCGCTAATCTCAGACCAACGAAGATTTGCTAACCGCACTTGAGATTAGCGAAGCGACTTTCCTCGCCTGGATCCCACAAGCTGACTCCACGAGGCCGGTGAGAAATAGACCTGCATTGGTTGGCTGCGGATCTGAGTCAGGGAATATGTATGCAACATTCAGCTGAAATGTGCTCTGGTGGCGGGCGGAGCAGAGCGATATCAATGCATTCGAACCCTTCACCAGCTCTTGTCCGAATCGTTTAGAACCCAAAACATCAGAAATTAGTCTCTCTTCTTGCTTAACTCTAGCGAAGGCTGTTTTGTCCGTCATGGCCAGCACATTTCCCCTAGACGCCATCCAGCGGCTGTCCCAACTCGGGCCACCACAAACCATCGCGGATGGAGTAGCTCTTGCTGCAGTCGGAGTTGCTTCAGCAGCATACATGCTCAATGGCATAGCTTGGAACAAACCCGACCCCTACCATGATGTCTGGTTCAAACGAATGGAATCCAGAAGTGGTGCTGGGAGCGGTGCCAAAGCAACGCGCAACATTGCCAAGAAGCTGGAGGAATCAGTAAGTACCACAATCCAAAAACACAACGATAGAGCCTTGTTCCTTACCAAGTCATCCCTCTCTTGCTTTTTACTAATATTCCGCTCTTCAGAACAAGAATGTCGTCATATTTTGGGGTTCCCAATCCGGTACTGCAGAGACATTCGCAGGTCGCCTGGCTAAGGAATGTCATCTAAAGTTCGGTCTCCAGACTCTGTGTGCCGACCTATGTGATTATGATCCCGAGACCATTGCGCTTATTCCTGACAATAAGCTGGCAATTTTCATTATTTCCACCTATGGTGAGGGCGACCCGAGTGACAACACGTTGGGGCTCTGGGAGTGGCTTCACAAAGATGCTGCCGGCATCAAGCTCCCGCACCTACGCTACATGGCATTTGGTCTGGGCAACACAAGCTACAGGTACTACAACCGAGTAATAGATGTGGTGACCGAGGCTCTCGACAAAGCGGGTGCACAGCGCTTGATGCCCGTTGGCAGAGCCAACGATGCCAATGGCGGGACAGAGGAAGACTTCCTGTCCTGGAAGGATGACCTCTATGAACATTTCATCAGCCAGCTGGGTTTCAAAGAACAAGATATTCCATATACCCCTGGTATACGACTCGTTGAGGATGAGTCTCTCGATGTCATTGATCTCAACTTAGGTGAGCCTCTTGACAACCGCCATGGGCCTGCTCGTATCGTCAAACAATATTCCGCCATCAAACCACTGCCCGTCGAAACGTCATATGAGCTATACAACTCCCCCAGCCGGAAATGCCTCCACATCGAGCTGGATATCTCCAACATTCCAGAGCTACGATACGGAACAGGTGACCATCTTGCCGTCTATCCCGTCAACCCGGACCAAGAGGTGCAGTTACTCCTCCAGGCCCTGGGACTAGAGAACCGAGCAGACACACCTCTGCTGGTTCAGCCTTTGGAAGAGGGTCAGACGATTAAGATTCCAAGCCCGACCAATCTCACAGCCCTCCTCCGCCATTATCTCGAGCTCTGTGCCCCAGTGTCCCGCGAGACTGTCGGTCAACTAGCTAAATTCGCTCCCACAACCGAAGCGGCAAGCAAGCTTGCATCCTTAGGAAAGGACAGGACGGGGTATGCCGAGTTCATCGCCAGCAACCACATCACTTTTGGCCGTCTCCTCTCTCTAGCGGCTCCAGGAAGAATATGGAAGAACCTCCCTCTCGCCTACGTTGTCGAGACTCTACCAACCCTCCAACCCCGTTACTACTCCATCTCCTCGTCGAGCGTCGTATCCGCTCGAAAGATCGCCATCACAGTCGGTGTCGACAGCACTCCCCTCGCCGCTTCCCCAACCACTGAAATCCGCGGAGTGACGACCAACTATCTACTATCCCTCTCAAACCACATGAACGGATCTTCGAGCAATTCAGCCGACTTCCCATCCTACCAGCTCTCCGGACCCGGGAACGTCCTCCAAAGCAGCATGGTGCACGCCTGCATCCGCCGCTCCCAATTCAAGCTCCCCACAAACGGCGCCACACCCATCGTCATGGTCGCAGCCGGCACCGGCATGGCGCCGTTCCGCGGCTTCATCCTCGAGCGCGCGCGCCTCAGGGCGATCGGCAAGCCCGTCGGGCGCATGCTCCTCTTCTTCGGCTGCCGTCAGCCGGACGAGGACTTCCTCTACCAGAGGGAGCTCGCAGACGTTGCCGCCTCCGGGCTGGAGGGCGTGCTTGAGATTGTGCCTGCCTTTTCGCGGGCTGGTGGGATGCCCAAGACCTATGTCCAAGACCGCATGGCGGAATATAAGACTGACGTGTGTGAGCTTTTGAACAACGGCGCAAATATGTACATCTGTGGCCGCGCATCGATGGCGAGAGAGGTTGGCAAGGTTGTGGAGGCCTCGATGAACGAGCTGAACGGCTGGACCGAGGCGGATGCTCGAAGCTGGACTGAGTCGGCGAAGAAGGGCGCCAAGTGGCTCGAGGATGTCTGGGGTTAACTTAAGACGGGGATGTCCCCATGGAGAGTTACGGCTTGTCTCCTGGGACATGTATATCAGGTTTCATCAGGTATGGAGTGGCAGACTGGGAAGGGAGTCATTGGATTGTTTCGGTTGGCTTTCTTGTCAGAGCACGGCAGTTCGTCATTTGAGAACCAAATTCATAGCGTTCAAGGTCAACAGAGTGATAATCCGTCATAGTCAGTGACTACAAATCACGTTGTAGCTATTAAATCTGCATGTCGGGGTCCAAAAAATAAACGGGCCGTGATGAGGAATTCACGGTCCGATATAACTGCCGTCACTTGCCAATCACCTGGGAACTAAGTGCCGTCACTGAGGGCACGCTTCCTGTTCCCGCACAATGCCCCAGTTCAGAGCTCAACTTTGCGTCCCTTCAGTTTGTTAAGGCCATTGATAGTTGCCTCCAGGTGGTCAAAGTCAGGGGCGTCTTCTCCAAGACCCCAGGCGAAAGCCCCTCCCAACCCCATCTCCCCAACCAGCTCTGCCATCTTGGACTCGATAACCTTGGGCGTGTCAAAGGACCACCACCTGGTCTCCTGTTTATCCCAGTACCCGTAGCTCCCATCTGCGGTGTAAATACCCTCATTCTGAGCCCGCTGAAACGAGTCGACGACTTCGGACGGTGTCTCATCGTGATAGCTAAAACCGCCCGTCCTACCAAGGTCGGCGCCAGTGTTCGGGTCTTCCAGAAGCAGAGTCGGACAGCCGATTGGGTCATCTGGATCGCATCCATCCGTCGTCAGGAACCACTTGACGTAGTACCCAAGACCTAGATTCAGCTGGTGTGGCTTGGCACCACGGTCTACATAGCGCTGAATGGCGTCGCGAGAATCTGCGATGCCGCTGTGGTGTTGAACTGTGGTGTCTCGTCGGTTCATCATGTCATATGTCATGACATTGATGAAGTCCACAGCGCGGATGATGCGCGGAAGAGTAGCCGTTGTAAAGGCCATAAGATCGACCTCCTTCCCAGGAGTCGCGATGGTGAGGAGCTTGTTCTTGCCCAGGACAGCGCGCAGCTGCTGGAGGAGGGCGACAAAGGCTTCGATCTCCCACTCGCGCTCCGAGTTGGGTATCTCCTTGTAGTCGTCACGGTTGCCACTGAAGACACGTCAGTATTAAAGAAACCGGCCGAGAGCAATCTCGGGGAGGCAGTCGACTGACCCCGGATACTCCCAATCGATGTCAACACCATCAGCACCGGTCCTGTCCACCATGATCTTGACCTGCTCGGCCCATTTCTTTCTAGACTCGGGAGTAAGGGCGGCCTCCTGGAAGCCCTTCCAATCACCCCAGCCCCCAATGGCGACGAGGACCTTGGTCCCAGGCTTGAATCCCGCGCGCACCTGGTCGACGCTCATGAAGAGCGGGTAGTCATTGGGAGGAGTTTCGGCGGTGAAGACGTCGGACGTGAGAAAGGCAAGATTGACGTGGGTAATGGACGACGCGAGGTCGAACGCAGGAATGATGGGATGTTGACTGCAAAATCACAGATGCGTCAATGCCATGACCTCTCTGGGCCGGCGCGCGCCGTGGTTTTCCATCATTCTCAGCCCTAAGATGCTTACCCAGTAAGATACATGAGACATCGCGTCCCATTTGAGGTGACACCGGTAGCTGAGACCACCGCCATGGTGAGGGCGGTGGTGAGCAATCTCACGGCGGCGTGGATCAGGCGCATTTTGGGGTCTTTCACTGCTCCTCCTTCGTCTCTTTTTCTTCACATAAGAGATGAGAACCAGGAGATAGATCGTAAAGAAGGAGGAAGGGGAAGGCACAGGCGCAATGCCACGCCGCTTGGAGGGATTGTCGCAGTGTGTCGATCGACGGCTAAACACGGCGGATTTTGGTTGGCTGAGACTCTTCAGTGCAGCAGCTTCAGTAGCACCAGAAAGAGGGGCAATGGATCGCTTTAGGGAGGTGCCGCGCAGGTTGTTTCCAGTTTGTTTATCCGAGAATCAGGCGATGGCGGCACCTGCTGTTTTTGGCTTCCCCGAGACTTGTTTCCTGAGCTTCCAGGCAGAAACATGACCTGAATAACACTTACCCTACACGCTGTCAACAAACGCGACTGGAAGCTGCAAAAGCAATGACTCTCATCTCCAAGTTGTAGAGGAAATCAAAATTTTGTCTCCTTTTAACTCACTGTAATTGTGCCACACCCCACAGTTCCAGTTATTACGATCCTGTCAGCAATGTGCCGTTCACATAGCCAAATGGTGACAGAAAAAACAAGACACGAAGTTGGAGTGCGGTTCTACCTTCGAAGGTAAATCAAGAAATTCATTAATATCAAACGAAGAAAAGTGACAACATTTACATATCATCTCTCAAGTATGTATTTATGATACTCAATAATTTGATAATACCGGTTGCAGACTCGACAATAAGCTGCTTAATGTTCGAGTGTCTCATTTCTCATGTCACCCACTTGATAGCCTGCTTCCATTACCAAATAATCGGGTCCATCTCATATGAGACACCAACGTCCCTACACAAGACTTGTTCCCTTAATAACTTAATCCATTGCGCCCGAATTGTTGTGATATGTATGTACCCTCCTTAAGTCGTTTCACATTTAACAACATCACGATAGTCTCCAATCATGAGGGACCGATGACAGCTTGGAATGAATCCCCGCGTCGCATCACGTGATTGTGAAGCGGGAACTCACTCTAACCCAGCACGGATCCTTTGGCCTCACCGAAAGCCGGGAATTCATCCAGGGGCAGCACATTGCCGTTGCTTGGAGCTGGTCCACACTCCTCCTCACCCTTTCCAGACCATCAGCCCTACGCGACAGACTAGAGAGCTGTATCTGCCCCGTTGGACGGAATCATAGCGACCTCTTGGACTCCCAGAGATGCCCGGCACTCCCTATTCTCGGGGATGCCAAGTCTGCAAGCGCCGGAAGATTAAAGTAAGACACGCCAGGCACTAGAAAACGGCGCGTCCGGGGCTACTCAAAATAAATCAGCTGAGGCTAACATTGTGGAAGTGTGATGAGGTCTGGCCGACGTGCACGCCATGCAAGCGGACGCACCACACCTGCCCGGGCCCGTCCGCCCTCTTCAAGTTTGTCCACGAGGGCCTGGTCGTTGCAGTCGACGCCCGCCGGCGCCGAAAGTCCCCCGTGACCAATGCATCCCAGCTGCAGCTGCTGCTTCAGCAGCGCCTGGAGAGCGGGGATCCTCATGCATGGCGGCCCGCGACCTCTGTAAACTGGACTCCAATCAGGTCCTATGGCGACAAGATCGGCTCGTACGCCGTCTTCCGGATGCACGCCCCCCAGTACGCGCTCACCAGCGAGGCCGACAGCATCGCCACGCGTCTCATCCTCATCATGGAGCAGGACTCGAACGGCTCCAGCGGCGTCCGCATGCAGATGGGCTATCTCCCATACCTCCCGATGCGACTATCTCGAAGTGAGTCTTTACGTAACTGCGCCGCTCTGTTCTGCTCTGCATGGGAGGAATATCTTCGCTACGAGGATTCCCGGGAGCTGCTCACCTTTGGCCTGTACAGCAGGGCCATTCACAGCGTCCAGGCCGCCATCGCAGAGGAGAGCCCGTATTCCGTAGAGACGCTTGCCGCGATGATCCTGTTGGAGCGTACGGGGACGCTGTTTGGGACCGACCAAGTGACCAACCTGGAGGCACAGTACCGTGGCATAGAGTGGGTGCTAACGAGGAAGGGGACTCTCAACTTCAGCGACCCTTTTGACGTTACTCTGGCTTTCGAGAGCCAACATATTTTGGTGAGCTGCAACCATTGCCTTAGAATCCCGCCTGCAGATACAGCTAACCATCCACCAACTGCCAGCATACAGCATCTCTCAACGGGAGTAGGGGCTATTTGGCAGAAGCACACTGGATGAACCTGATGGAAACAGTGGCAGGAGAGTACCTGGCCATGGATGAACTCAAATGCTTCCCCAGCGAGACCTTTATACTGAACAGGTCCCTCGGCAGACTAGCCCAGTTCAACGCGGAGGTAAGAACTATACGGATGAACCCAGCCGAGAACAAAGAACTCAGCGCATCCGTGCTTTGCTCCCTGTCCGACCTGGAGCGACCCATCGCCACACTGATACACACTACCACCGAGGCGGCCCTTGCGGCGGGGGATATCATTGACGAGCTAGATGCGACTTCCGTTCTTGGTCACAGCTTCCATTTCCGATCTCCCTTCTTTGCCCACGTTCTCGCCGGCGGCATCATGTTCCAGATCCTGCTACTGCGGATGATTTACGACCTCGGCGTCGTCTATGGACAGCCCGACGCCGGGGTGTATTCCCGTTATCGTGACGCATGCGCCAGATTCTGGCTGTATATCCCGTACATCGCCAAGCTCGATGCCATGTCGGCCGTCAACCTCCTTGGCCCGGTTCTACTCTCTCTAGAAGGCGCGAACAAAGCGGAGAAAGCGGTACTCCTCAGCCAGGTTTTGGCGGTGAAATGCTACCGGCCGCGGTATCCAGGGGGGGAGAAGCAATTAGAGGCAATGGCCATAAGTTTTGCCATGCACCGGACGGGTCGGATATCTGACGCTCATGGAGGAGGGTAGGACCTAATAATTAATAAAATCTCATCATTCATCATGTTCGTATTGTCCCTGTCGTCGCTGATGGTTGATCGATGAAAATCCCTGGCTGGAGGTGAATTTGATCTCAAATAACCCTGGGTCACGTGTCCCTAGCTCAATATGTTAAATGCTTATATGTTGAGTAACAGCCTCGGTGGTTGTGTGAAATGAACGTGCTAAGGGTTGTTGGTGAGAAGTAGGTGAGTGTGAGCTGATCAAAAGAAAACTCTGAAAATAGGTCACCAGCGAGCTCTTTAGTTGGCGACGGGGGGAGTCTTCAGTCACCCCCTCTCACGCCCTTCTCACCTCCTCACCTCCTCCTCTCCTCCTCCCCATTCGGTCAGTACGATCTGAACTAGAATCGCTGAGTTAATTTGCTAGTCTACTTATTGGGAATCTAGCAGAGAAATGCACACCTGGTCTTGACCAAATGTAAATACGTGGAGTAACTTACTCTTTTTGTTTTGAAGACATGAACTTGAGATGTTACAATTCAGCCTCACAAAGCAATGTGTTATCTACTGGTGGTCTCCTGAGATGTGATTCCTATCTTGAAACAGTGAATTGGTCGGACATCAAGTAGCTATACGGGGACTTGTTCAAAAGGCAGACTGGTACGCGGTAGAGAAGGGTTTCAGCGCGAAATAAAGATCAATGTCAGTCTGGAGTCCAAGGCCCTTGTGTCACTGTGCATTGCCCAGTTAATGAACATAAACGTGCGTGATTCACTGCTCTCCAGGGACAGTCCCACTTTCAGGAACAGCGTTCCTGCTCAGTTTCTGCTCACCTAAGTTACTTGACTGAAGCCAGGCACCGCTCTTTCCTGCCGAGTATAAAACCTGTAGCTTTTCTTGAAGCTTCTTTCTTCCCGATTCATCTTCCTCCATCGCACTTTGCTTGCAACTCCAAATCTTCCTCTTCTTCCATCACACTTTGCTTCCAGCATTCCCCTCCACTCCTCATACCACTCAACAACAACATTCTTCTCATCTCAACTTTGCTTCTTCCAACCAACTTCAAGATGAAGCTCAGCCTTGCTGCTACCGTTCTATCCTCCCTCTCAGTTTTGCCTGCCGTCATCGCAGCGCCATCCCCCGAGCCCGATTCTTCCGAGCATTCTTCCGAGCTTGTCAAAAAGGACTGCCCCTCTCTCATCGAGGGCTACTATCTCGGAGTGAGTCAACACTTGTGTATTTTCTTAAACTTCAAAGTTGTCAGCTAACCATACATTGGTCTAGACATGCAACGGCTTGTCCTGCAAGTGGCACGGCGTCAATCTCGACTGTGAGATTGGAAAATGCGTAAGTGCCCTCCTGTTGATTATCGCGGAAACAACGCGAAAGGCTTGTTGATTTTTCATCTCATAACTAACCACATGAATATCTAGGTCGGCAAGGGAGGTGGCGACGGAAGCTGCTGCCACGTCAAGGGCAGAGTCCATTGCCCCAACGGTGGCTGGATCGGCGGCCAGTGAGCAACAAAGCGACACACACGAGCGTACTCGAACGAAGCCAACATGAACTGGTTATTCTGGAAGTGAGAATCGTCGCGGCAGCGGTGAGAATCACACACAGCTGGAAAAGGGGAGATCAGAATAACAGTCATGCTTTGTTTGATGCGTTGGAACACCCCGGGGAATGGAAACACGCTTTTGTCTAATTGTATCTTGACATGAAGGCGGAGGCTCCATAAACTACCTAGGTAATCGAATCAAAAACAAAAACTGAAACACCCAGATGATTTTACGCTGTGAGATAAAATCGAGCAATCGGATTTCTGTTGCAAAGCCGCGCACATGATCTCGCGTTTCCTGCAATCTCAACTCTTGTCCAGACCGCTACGAAGAACTGATCTAAGATTTATGCAAATTACATGTTATTCTTCCAAAAGTGTCACTACACTCGGGATTTCCCTGAGTCAGTGTGGATGTTGCGCTCCGTGACTTCATGCGTATGGGGCCTGACAGCCGTGTAAAGTCCAACAACACAGAAGATGATTGCTGGAATCATTTCCGGAAGGGTGGTGCAAACGACCCTAACAGCCATCGAAGGGTCACTAGCCTTTGTAGATACCAGCGAAACCAAGCTGTAAATGACACGGATGCCCAGTATTGGGATGGAAACGAGGGTCGATATCAAAAGCTGTGCGTACAGTGATGTCGTTAGCGACTGATGATCAATTTGCGGCGCATGCGAGGTTGCTGGAGATGCACGTACCATGTTTCCAATGTCCATTTCCATCCGGGTTAACCTAGAAAAGGGCCGGCACGAGAAGATGATCCAGATGGCGAGGACTGCCCATGCTGATGTCAAGATGCCCATGCCGGCCTTGGCCATGTTGCGATCACCGGCGGTGGGATGCGGGCTGCTTTGCAGTTGTGATGCACCGACAGCTAGTAGAGCTATACCGCCAGTGACCTGAATGTGATACAAAATCACCTTCAACCACTCTAATTTTCGGTTCAGTTCAGGGCGCAGGTACACCTGGCTATCACTCAGCGGCTAAGTCAGTTCTGCTTTTTCAAGTGAGGTAGTTTCTTCATGTTGTTTGGCAGGTGACATACGCTTCATGGAGAATTCCCGCTGTTGCAAGCAGAATGGGCGACAGGCCAATGTTGGAAATAATTGCCGCTGAAGTGCTGCCGGAGAGCGCCATGGCACAACCGACAATGCGGAGCGAGAAGAATACAAGCAGATACCCCCAGCCGAGCAATCCTGTAACCCCACGCTTCCAGAGAATATAGAAGGTAGGGACGCTGAGAGTAGCGTAGATGGCTAATTGGGCGACGGAGAGTTGATCCATTGTAGTTTAAACGTTGGAAAAGTCTTTATACGGTGCTAGACGAGTTCTTGTACTTGCTTGACTGTGTCGTGAATGAGGATGGGTTATCGTAAACAATCCTGAGGGATGACCCAAAGGCACCTATATATATAATTTTTATTCCACCTTACATCTTCTCTAGTGAAGTCCAAAACCTGAGCATTGAACGAGAGATGACTCTCTCTTCGGCACTTAACATCCGTATGGCTGTGTCACTGCGGATGATCTGGTTGCTGAGGGAAATGTGGAGACTAAACGATACCGATGCCGAAGAACGAGGAACGAGGAACGAGACTGGAGGGTCAGTTAGGTCGACCAGGGATCGGCAGCAGATTAATTTAAATCCTTGACATCGCTCTTTTTGGCTTCGCCGAGTGTCAACTCTTCTCCTGCTCTATTTATCCCCGCTAGTCAACTGCTATTTCCATGTTACCAGACTTCAAGAGACAAGGTGACTGCTCACCGGCAACGATGCTTGCTGGCCACCGCATCATGACCTCCCACTCTGGCCCGTCCAAGAGCCTGCTCTCCTGAAGCGCCTTGATTTCCTGCCTCGCGCTGTCACCAACCCACCACATCTCGCTCGCGTACGAACAAAACGCAAAGACATGCGCCAGCAGCATCAGCGCCCTCGGCCGTTTCATGCTCAGCAACTCGACGTACCGCGCCGGAAGCAACGTCGAAAGATACATCAACCGTCGACAGAATATATTCAGAGGCTCGCCGGCCTCACGACCAGAGGCGATCCATTCGAGTAGTCTCACAGTCTCCCGATACGCCTCTTCGTCGATTGCGTCCCTCAGATCTTCGCTACCCACTGGGACGAGGAGATGCGAGAGGGCCCCGAGCATCGGTAGATCGTCCGACTTGCGCATTCGGATGGTGTCTACGCTGGTATGGACCAAAGGCCAGATGAGGGCATCTTTGTCATCTTGGAGGAGGGCCAGTGCACATTTACACACATCGCCAATTCCCCGGGAGAGCTGGAGCCAGTCCATAGGAGGCTCGTACGGGCCACTCAGATCTCGCTCTCGCAGATGCGCAAACGCGTCCAGGGTGATGACGACCGTCGTGAAACTCACTGCGTCCGCGTTCTCGCGTGTGAAATGACCCAGAGCCGCCCGATGTGCCTGCAGGGTCTTCTCGAGATAGCGAGCTCGCCAGTGGAGGCGTTCAGCTGCGACATTATGCTTGCACGTGGCCTCGTACAGGCATGAAAAGCCTAGGATGGCATGCAAAAGAGGCTCGTAACCGAGTGCCATCTCGGGGACGCCAACAGTCCATATTTCCAATAGTTTGGGGATGTGGGTTCCCGGGATATAAGGGCACACCTGAGTGACAAACACATGGAGGAGTCGGAGCTCACGATGCCTGCGTTCTCGCGTCTCTTGGAAGAAAGTATCAGGCTCGGGTTTCAGTCCTCCATCAGGGTTGGGGCTGGTGCTGTCCGGCCGCCGGTCATACACGCAAGCTACGCTGTGACGAGTGCACCCCCCCTGAAGAAATCAAGTGGTAAATGTTAGTTTTTCTATCTCTAGTTTATTAGGCAGCGACCAAGGCTGCGGAAGAGTATGAACTCACGCAGGTCGGTTGCTTCTCGTCACACTGTAAAGCATTGCTGAGTCAGAGCAATCATCCAGTCGTGGTGCCACTCTCCAGACAGAGCTGTTTGGGCACATACCTTGACACGCCTGGTTCTGCAGCGCAAACATCCCGTCTTAGACTTGGTATGGTACAAGCGTGGTGGCATTTGATAATTATATCGGGTCGAGTGGCACAAGTGAAGCCTGGGAGAGCTAGAAGCTTTCTGAGGAATGTCCGTAGAATCCGCGCGTCCATCGATCGATGAATTCAGCTGTCATCATCCACGTGACCATTAATGGCGAGCCCGTCCGTGTTTGTTCTTAATATAGCGCTCAATTTAGCGTGGCAACGTGCTGTAACGGCCGCTAATTTTTAGGGCTTATGGCGTGATGTCATGGCGGGCTTTAGCAAACCAATTCACCTCTCTACATACTCGTGGTCTGTTGAATCTTTGGTCGTGCTACAGCTGTGGGATTTTTCATGCATAGTCATTTATTTGTCTCATGGTAGAAATTACCGTTGATGCACTGGAAATTTGGGCCGGAGCAAGAGGAGGGTGATATTACTCAGCCCTGCAACGTGGAGCATTGCGCATCATTAGAGATAAACTGAGTGTATTCATCTGTGATGTCAAGGATGAATGAAAGTTTTCCCATGGCCAGTGATGCCACAACTATAGGTCGTAGCGAGATGTCTCCGATTCAAGAATTATATAAGTTTTTCAATACCACCTGTGAACAAAGCAGCTGACTTGTGAATCGAATACAAGGAGTGCAAGCTAAGAAAACTACATTGTATGGAAAATTCGGATAAAATCCTGCTGTTTCATTGATGATGTATTCCAACCACTTTTAAGGTTAGGTCCGTTTTAGAGTCTATATTCTTGACTTGCTAAAATAGAGTGAGGAGTGTGTTGTTACGTTGACTTGATAGATACTCTTGGATTGGTTTTATATCTGGAACTTCTCTTAGCAACAGCCTTTATTTACTCCGACAATACGCTAGGCCGTCATCTTGTTACACGAGTATAGCAAAAGGCGTATGTCATTTATGCGTAAGACTGTCTGTTTAAGAATATCCTCTTTGGAGGATGGTTCCTGAAAGGGAAAACAGTCGCAACTATTCAGGTTACCCTAATGGAGAGAATCCACTCGTTGATGCGGGGCTGTTACAGAGCGGCTGGATTGTAGTCCCGACATTTCTGAATCATTCAACGTGCTAAAATCTTACTCTATAACTTGTTCTTCCCTCAATTAGGTTGTCGCATGGCTTGTTCGTTTTATTTCAGACCAGCCTAGGGAAAGCAACCCGAGATTGACTGAAAACACTGGAGCAAGCATGCGGGGCAATATCGCGACTTGCTCGCCGTCTGACTCTTGCACTCATGTGCTAAGGATACCTTGAGTGAGGCTTTATCCTAATGAAGAAAATGGTAGCTGACGGAAGTATCTACAGGGATATAATTCACGGTTGGCGGACGGAGATATCGGGGTTTCGGTGGGAGGTGGATCAATCGAACCATTGTTGAGCCTTGCTCTACCGTCATTCCATAGCATATTGACGGAGTTGCGGAAGTCATCGTCAAGTAGTATAAGTGGTCTTTGTGCAGTCAATCGAGAATATTCAATGTTGTCAATGTATCAAATTGCCAACAGCTTGCACCGGTCTGGAGATCATGCGAGTCTCAAAGAACCTTCTTGTAGCGAGCGTCCTTACAGGCCAAACTTTGGCCACTGAGAAGAGTGCCTGCTCTTCCGAGACTTTCTCTCTTCCTAACATTCTCGGCACCGAGCTGCATTCGATTACTGCGTCGCTTATCAAAGGCTATGCGGGCTTCGTAGCATTTGGAAGACCCGAAGCTGCTCTCATCGAACCCGGTGGCGTTAATTTTTGCAATGTCACCGTCTCCTATAAGCATCCCGCGCACGGGGATCTAGTATCTGTTCACGTCTGGCTCCCAACTGCAAAGTATAATGAGCGTCTTGTTGGCCTTGGTGGAGGAGGCTGGGCCGCTGGAGAAGTTGGTGATGAAGTCATGACTGGACTAGCATCGCAAGGCTATGCAGTTGCTTCAACTGACGGAGGATATTCCCATAACCATTTCGGCACCGCTGATCCTTGGCTGATGAAGAGCCCCGGAAATCTGGACTACCCGCTGGTTGTGAACTTTGCTCATCGCAGTCTTCATGAGTTGGCTGTCATCTCTAAACATATTGTTGCGCAAGGTTATGGAGCGAAGGCCAAGTTCGCATACTGGCATGGATGCTCGACGGGTGGGAGACAGGGGCTGACGATTGCCAACAAGTACCCAGAAGACTTTGATGGCATTCTTGCAAGTTGTCCTGCGGTCGACTACCCATCGCTAGTCTTGTCACTGTACTGGCCTCAGTTTGTTATGAATCAACGGAAGGTGTATCCCCATGCATGCGAATTCGAATTTTTGGCTCGGGCGACCACCGAAGCTTGCGATGGCCTTGATGGGGATGTTGACGGGGTCGTTGCTAGGCTTGATCTATGTCGTTTCGATCCCCAATCTCTGGCTGGGAAGATTATTGATTGTAATGGAAAGCCGCTTCATGTATCCCAAGATACTTTAGAAGTCTACAAAGCCATCCTGAAGGGGCCTGTTGATCCGCAAGGTAACGAGCTTGTTGGCGGAGCCACGCCAGGAGCAAACATCGTTGGATTCCTGGGAACCGCAAACACTGTCTGCGACGAGGACAACAACTGCAACCGGGGCCAGCCTTTCATCATTGCCACGGACTGGATTCGGCTCATGTTCAAGAAGGATCCACAGTTTGACCCCGCGAAGTTAACCCATGAGGAATATGCTCGGATGTTCCGGGACGCCCGGCAGGAATGGGGGCACCTGTTTGGCAGCAGCGAACCTGATCTGGAGCGTTTTAGGATGTTGGGGAAGAAGATGCTGGCTTGGCATGCAATGAATGACCAGGTGATTCCGCTATCGCATATGCGAGGGCACTTTGACAAAGTCCGGGCGACCGACGAGCTGCGTGGCATCACCACCTCCGACTACTACCGCTACTTCGAGGTGCCAGGCGCCAGCCACTGCGGAGCCGCAGATGGAGTTGCATATCCTATGCATGCTCTTGAGGCTTTACGGTTGTGGGTGGAGGAAGGCATCGCGCCAGAGGAGCTGTTGACTGTTGTGCTGGGCAGCGAGGGGAACCGGGCTGGCACACCAGTTTGTGACTACCCCAAGGTAGCCAACTGGAAAAATGGTTCATTCACGTGCAGGGAGAGTGGCGGTCAGCCCGACAGTTCCTCAGGACATCAAAAGGACGAGCTTTGATAAGCTTGACGGTAACGGCAAGCCCGAGTCCAGGTACTCGAGCCGCTTCGGCATTTGGATGAGTGGCTTGTTCATGGCTCGGTATACGAGAAACATAGTCATTAGGATTAAAAGAATAGCAACATCATACCTTTTTTCAAGTGATATATTACGGTAAAGAATATTTCGAACGGCAAATTCTAGCCGTGTGATCACCCAAGTATCGCCCCCAGTCGCTCGCTAATTACGCTCAGGGGGTCTCATGCCAGATGTTTTTGCTTCCGCTTTTATGGACCGCCGTTGGGCCCGCTGGATACACACTCGGCTCAGGCATCTTAGCGGCGGATACCGAAGCTTGTTCTTGAAGGGTGATCACTCGTGTCTCGTTTTCTAGTGTGCTATTTCGTTAGGCTTCCCCTCAATATCTGTCGTTATCTGCACAGGAGGATGCGTGATCGATAGGCATGCCCGGCCTCGAAGCCGCTGTGGGGTTTGGTCTACTCAAAACTCCACGAATGTCCATTTCTGTGTTCTTTGAAGGAAGAATAAGGTAAAAAACGGACCTCGAAAGAGGGGCTCGCTAAACATCACGAACTGGAGATTACGTTAATTGCCTCACCGACGATTTGGGTAGAGATCTGGACCCGTTCGCTTGTAGATAGGCTCACAATGCTCTTACTCAGTGGGTACGTGGAGGAGATCTTTAATATAGGCATAATTGGGGTCAATACTCGTTAGAGATTCATTGTGTTGCCTACTTGTGATGAGTTGCTCTAGTGATTGCGCAGACTCGAAGTAGCAAACGGGAGAAATCGCTCCCAGACTGACTTGTGAACAGTGTGAATCCAGTAGGTAATTTTTTGACGGAATCCTAAGAAACAAGATTAGGAAGAGGCATGCAGACAAGTATTTTTGTTTGGAACTAGCCACGGCTTTTATGATGACGCTTTCTGATGAAGCACTGCAAATTTTTCTGCTTTGACTTAAGAAATGAGAAGATGCGCTCGGGAAAAAATGTTTGAGATGGAGATTGAAGGGACGAGAACCGGCGTGACTTCAACGAGGAGGAGAATTGAACCAGGAGAAAATAATTTCTTGCATGGAATCGGCCAGGGCTGAATTGTTCGGTGAGAAAAAGGTGCCCAAGGCAGCCCGTTTCTTTTCCGATTACGAGTTTTCTAGGAATTATTCGACAAGTCATCTAGGCCAGCTAATGAATTACGCTTTATCTCAGTCTCGCGGTTAGTGGTGTGATGTTGAGGACCGATGATGATGGATGACTCCCTGAGAGCAAAGTGCCAAGAGATCAGGCTATCAGTTTGAAAGCCAGGTGAGACAAGAAAGATACGGCGCATTTGGTCGTTGGTGTTTCTTTCCCCTTAACGACATTTGAAAATTCGATGTCGACACCTCATGCCACCCTCAGCAGGGGTCATAACCTGATTTGGTAGGAATGTCACCGTAGGGATGACGGCCCGACTTGGGTCGATCGAGAGTCGCGTCTGGACCCCCACTGTCAAACTAGGTAAGCGAGAACTATGTACAAGCCCCCTTATCACGCCCGTTGATGAGGCGCAGGGGCTCCGGTACGTGGACTTGTCTGGCCGAGCCCAGAGAAGGGCTGATTCCACGCTTGCCCTCGAGGTCCACACTGGCCCTCGAGGCTGTAGGGACGTGTTGATGAACTTGATGGCCACCTGCAAGACGAATACGCTCCTTGGATGGAGATGGCGGAGCCGAGTGAGCAACACTGCATCGAACGAGAGCTGCCAGCCTAACCCCTTTCGCCGCTGTAGACGTGGCTGAGGAAAGAATGTTCCCTCCTTCCAAGGCCCAGGGGAATTATCTGATCCCTGCAGTAGCCAAGCCGATTATCGGCCGGTGTGTCAAAAGACCGTAGGCCCGAGCCATGAATTCGGGGTGACAACGCCCGGGTGAAAACCTGTAAGGTGCCAACCTGGACGCACGTTCAAGAATATCTACCAATGGGAATAACCTCTTATGCTTATCTAGTGCAAGAGGGTCGGGCTTAGCCGATATTCGATACGATAATTCGTCTGTCGGTGTGCGCTGATGCCCTCCATCATCGATCCCTGGCCAGGTTCCAGACCACGCACCACCTAATCGGACATGATCCGATAATTCCCGGCGCAGGCTCTGGCGGCTTCCATACATGAATGAAACCTCAATTACAAACCGGCCAGGGATCAAGATTTTGCATCGGTCCGGCAGGAAAAATCTTGCTATCGGGATGTATCTTTCGTATGCCTGCAACAATGAATCATTCCCTTGCCATCATCCGATCGCAGCCCCCCCTGGGCAGCCCTTCCGTCGCTAAATCGTCCGTGAGACTGGGCTGGTGTTACAGTTTGTCATGTTACTAGTAACACCACCTTCGAGGACGAATCCGGATGGCGATCACCGCGGGCTCCAGGAGAGAGTAACGAGATTTTGACGTTCGCGAGCAATGCTGAGCCACGTCCGTTTTGCATATATAGACAGTGAACGCCTGGTGGATCAAATGTTTTTTTGTTCATCACAATCAGCAATTGAATTGTATCAACGAACGAGTTGATTCCACACACAACACTTCCTCAAAGAGAACCTCCTCTTACCTAATCGCACAATGAGTGCTGCCACATCCACCTCGACCGTCTTGGTTCTCGGGGGCGACCAGGAGAAAGGTCGCACTGTCGATGTTGAACGATCGGCAGCCCTAGAGGCGTTCCCCGACCAGGACAAGGACAAAACCGACGAAGAAAAGAAGAAAATTGTAAGCCACTCAGTTCAGATTATTTTTTACTACACCGGATTCTGACTCGTAAATCAACTTAGGATCGAGATTTAGTACGGAAAGCCGATCTTTGGCTCGTGCCATGGCTTGCGGTTCTGTAAGTCGACATTGTGCGCCTTTAGCCCGGCATTCACTCTAATAAGCGCCTAGATATTGCTTTTGCTTCATCTGCCGTACAAACATTGGCAATGCCAAGCTCCAGGGCATGGAGACCGCTCTGGGGATGAGCGGTATCGACTACAACATGTCCCTGACCATCTTCTTCATCGCATACGCCTTCTTTGATCCCATCACCAACGCCATTCTTAAAAAGTCGTCGCCGCGTATCTTCTTCACCTTAATCATGGTTGTTTCCGGCGTTATCGTGACGCTCACCGGACTCTGCAGCAACTATTCGGGTCTGCTGGCGGCGCGATTCTTCCTCGGAGTCGCCCAGTCAGCGTTCTTCCCCGGCGTCAACTACTACTTGTCTTGTTGGTACAAGTCCAGTGAAATCGGTCTGCGCAGTGCCGTCTTCTTCTCAGCGGCTGCCCTTGCCGGCTCCTTTTCAGGACTCTTGGCTTTCGGCATCGCAAAGATGGACGGTGTTGCCGGACTCCAGGGATGGGCATGGATCTTTATCTTGTGAGTTATACGATCCGATGAATCATCATGTGTGTGTGTAATATAGGCTAATTGGGGACCTAGGGAGGGAATTGCCACGTTCTTGGCTGGTGTCGTCTGCTGGTTCATGCCTCTTGACTGGCCCGCCACCGCACACTTCCTCTCGGCCGAAGACCGGATCCGCGTTCAGCGCCGCCTTCTCCTCGACAAGCAGTCCGCCGTCGCCGAGCACTTTGACAAGCGATATGTTTATGAGGCTTGCAAGGACTGGAAGACCTACGGATACATGCTTGTCTATACTGGCTGCTTGATGCCTCTCTACGCTTTCGCCCTGTTCCTGCCAACGTAAGTTCCAGCATTCTCTCCATCCTGCAGGGAAACAGAAACTGACAAATTTGTGACTAGAATCATCCAAGGAATGGGAAAGTCTGGAGCTACTGCCCAGATTCTCAGTGTTCCGCCTTATGCTTGTGCGGCCGTCTTCACTATTATCGTGGGCTACATCGCTGATCGCACTCGCTGCCGTGGCTGGTGCAACATCGCCCCAACCCTGCTCGCAATTGTCGGTTTCGTCATTCTGATTGCAACCGACAACGTGAACGCGCAGTACGCAGGCACATTCCTCGGCGCCATGGGCATCTACCCCACCATCCCCAACTCCCTCTCGTGGGTTTCCAACAACACTGAAGGTTCTTTGAAGCGCGCCATTGCCCTCGGAATGGTGATTGGCTTTGGAACACTCAACGGTGCCGTCTCCAGCAACATCTACATGACCAAGGAAAAGCCGCGATACTGGACTGGCCACGCTACAGTCCTGGCCTACCTGGTTGTCTGTTTGCTCGGAGGAAGTCTGCTTGTGCATTTCGCACTGGCTGCTGAGAACAAGAAGAGAAAGAATGGAGAGCGAGATTCGATGTTTGAGAAGCTGTCTAAAGGCGAGCTGTTGATCAAGGGCGACAAGAGACCTGATTTCATCTACACACTTTAGAGCAACGGACAAAGAACGGAGTTATTTCATATTTCAGGGAGGAGGGATTTGGTATCTTGCATTTCGAAAATAGACCTAGACGGGTATACATAATATAATAGAGATACAAAGGCTTATAATCATGATCTCCTCATCAAAGGAACAGAGATAAGATCCTAAGCTGTGGAACTTCCTGGGCTGCAGTTTTCACTTGCCATCGATAAATAAGTAGCATTTTAGACGTTTGCGTCTAACGTTCCAGGTTCATTGTCCGTAAATTGCCACCTTGACTCGAGACTGGCCAGTGCCCCACCCCCTTTGGTATTGATGGCGTGATAAATATTTATCCCAACACGACCTCATGAACGATGCGATAGTAACCTGAAAGCTTGAAAGTACATTTGGTTTGAATATATTAGAGTGCTTTTGCACTTATTGCTGGATATTTCCCTAGACTAGAGCTTCCTTGTGGCCACCACTGGCGATACAGGGCTTTTGCAGGGCCTTCAAATGTAACACGAATCCACAGGTAGCGCTCCAGGACAGGTACTATTTCTTCCCAGGTATGCAAGCCGAGATTAGAAACGGCTTGACCCATCATATCCTGCATCCATTCTCGATCAAAATCCTCATACACAGAATTGGCAACCACGAAAAGCGCCCAGACAATCAGCCCATCGGCCCCCTTACCAGGGACTAGTTGGTGCGCAAGCAGCGACGCTTTGATTCGCTTAGCCAGATAAAATAGGTGCCTCCCGAACCCTTTGATGGGAGTAAGTAGGTATTTCACATATGCTAGCATACAGAGACGCAGCAGTTCCGAGTTGGAGGCTACATCAAATTCGAGAGCAAGTAGACGATATGGAACCGACTGGCTAAGGCGAGAGAAGAACCCCGGTGTCATCTTCACATTGGTCCTAGTTGCGTCGTTTGCCGCCTTTGAAAATTCTCGCAAATCAGCCCAGATGGTTTGTATTCTTGAGTCAAGGTCTGGGCAAACATGCCGCAATTCGGGGCATCTGGTTGCACCATCAGCGGCGATATGAGGTACCCAAGGCACCTCACGGAAGAACCTCGATTGTTCTCCAGTAGCTAAACACAAAGCAAAATCGATCCTGGAAAGAATGATGAGTACGGGATATAAGAGAAGATGGGGTTGCTCTGTGCCCACCTTTGAGCCTTGTGCTCGACCATACTGCCCTCACCAAGAGCAGCCAGCCCACCACGCAGCTGGACTAGACGGTACAGGCCGTCCATGTGTGCCTTGAGCATACCGAAATCTTGGAGCATGATTGCTGATGTGGCTAGCGAAACTATGACGGCCATTGTTGCATTGCTGGTTGAAGAACCTTCCGACTGAAGATACTGTTGAAGATAGAATAGGGCTTTGGCAAGATGCCACCGAGCGGCATCGCTGTAGGTCACATCTAGGGTCGTATCATAGAGACACTGGGCTGTGAAGAGCATCGAGTGGACGAGACCGGGGTTGTGGGCAATGTTATCGAAGCAGTACATCGTCTGTTGTGGACCAGCAACAAGCGAATTCTCAAGGCTGAACGTTGCCGGCTTGATTAACGTGAAGGCTGCAAGGGAAGGGAAAATCATTACTTTTGGGATCCTTGGCTATGGGGAAAAGACTAGGATATCGCCCACCTCGATAAATCAGATCTAGCATGTGAGGGGTGAGCTCCATGCCGAAGCCCGCGAGAGACAGCTCAGCCGCAAGCCTGCCAGAGGACTTGGGAACCCACTCGGCCACGTCCCCTTGGGCTTCAAGAGCCGCCCGGGAGAGCTTGCGTGCCGCCCAACGGGAATTGTCGTCAGCCATCAGGCGGGCTACTTTCCGCTGCCGTTTGGCATCGCGGGTGTTCTTGTCGCGCATGACATGGCTGCGCATCACCCTTCTGGTCGCCTCATCGGGCTGGTCGAGTGAGGTGGAGACAATCCACAGCGGTTTGGTCACTTTGAAGGTTAGGGGTCTCATTCCTCCTGGCTGAAGAAGACATAGAAATAATGTCGAGGGGCTCGCTTACTTGCTGATGAGAAGGCAATGCAAGTACGTTCAACCAGCGGCTGAAAGGAGAGACTCTGGCGTTTCCGGATAGAGACTGGGTCGCAAAACACTGCCGTCGGTGAGGTTACATGTGCAGGATGCGTCTCACGAGATACGCGACGGGCATGATTCATAATCCGTGATTCTGGTCAGCTCATCGGCAATACGTGCCAAGACCGAATTTCGAGCCATTTTGGGACTAGCCTGCCAAGCCTAGACTGATGGCCACTTTAGGACTAGCGTCTTTTCCCAGGAAGTATCAGGCCGGTGACCAACCTTGTGAGAGGCTATGTAAGAGGAATTTGGAGAAGCGTGCTTGTTGGAATGTCATCGTGTCTTGTGTCTCCCGATATCTCCGGAGTGTCATGGTGTATAAGAAGGCTGGTTTGGCGATGATAAATTCTGTAACTCAACTACAATTCCATCACCACTTTCACACGATTATATCCAACTTAATTCCAGTCCCTAACAATCACCTTCTCACTCGATCCTTAAGTGACCAAGCCCCTAGCTTTATCAATGTTCTTCAGCAAGAGTGTATCGTTTGATCCACTAAAGGACATCCCTTCTTTAGAAGGAAGGGTGATTCTTGTCACTGGAGCCACCACAGGGCTTGGTAAACAGTCTGTTTTCGAATATGCTCGGCATAACCCAGCCCAGATTTGGCTTGCAGGACGAAATCTTGAAAAGGCAACCAAAGCTGCACAAGAGATCATTGGAAAGGTCCCCGGAGCGAATATCTCACCGCTCGAGATGGATTTGACCTCATTCGATTCAATCAAAAAGGCGGCCCAGACAGTCTTATCCCAATCTCAGCGACTTGACATCCTGCTACTCAACGCAGGCATCATGGCTGCCGCCGAAGGCCTGACAAAAGATGGATATGAAATCCAAATGGGCACCAACCATATGGGACATGCCCTCCTCACCAGGCTATTACTCCCTCTTCTCGAAAAGACAAAGAGTTCACATGCCGACGCCGACGTCCGTGTCATCTCCGTCTCTTCATACGGCCACAAAAGCGTTAACAAGGAGATGGGCTTCCGATTCGATACTCCAAAAACCACAGCTGAATCCCTCGGGGCCTACGGCAGATACTTCCAAAGCAAGCTTGCCAATGTTCTCTTCGCACGACAGTTGGCAAAGGAGTACCCTCAGCTGATCACAGCTTCCGTCCATCCGGGCGTCGTACATACGGACCTTATGAGCAGGTCGTCGGGGACTCCGGCTATAGTTCGAATGATCTCCAGGATCATGCCCTTCAAAACACCAGAAGACGGGGCGAAGAACCAGCTCTGGGCCTCGGTGTCCAAGGATGTGACTAGTGGCGAGTATTACGAGCCTATTGGCGTTGCAAATATGGCTAGTGAGTTTGGCAAAGACGATGCGTTGGCCAAAAAGGTCTGGGACTGGACGCAAAAAGAATTGGACCTGTTTCTCTCATAGGACAATGTCTTAATTTGAATTAATATGGTTTGAATAGCTTGAATAGTAGCCCCAATAGGCGGGAGTTTCTATCTTCTTTGTTGTCAACGTTATGGAATTTATAAGTTAAGGTAGATACTTGAAATCAAATAGCTCTAGTCTGAAGATCGTAATTGGTATTCAACAACACAAAATGTTTCAACAACTCTCTTATTGAAATTCTAGGTGCACGCTACTGACTGGGTATTCAAATCCAGGTATTGCCTTTCAGGATCAATACAATACCATGATATAAGATATCGGTTTATTAATTTACCCATATATATTTCTAAGTAATATTTATAATACAGGAACTAAGATGAAATGGAAAGCCAGGGTCTGATAGACAAAGCTTGCGCTTTTTTACGAGAGGTAATGCCAAGATCAAACCCTGATCATGCCCAAGATTGGTAGTTGAACCTTGAATGAGAAAATGAAAAAAAAAAGACGAAGGTCCATCCCTTTTCACGCCATATTTACTGGATGGAAAAGCGAGTTTGTCTCGAAAAGTAAAACATGGAAGATAAAAGTAATTACCTTCACAAACCCAAGCCTTAAAGTTAGGATTGCAATGCTAAAGTTTGCGGGACATTAAAAGATCCCTGTTAGCTACATCAAGCTGCGAAGAAAACAAGATCAGCAAGCCTTAAAGCCTATATACAAAATCTTCACTGGATGACTCCTTTACCGTTGGACCAAGCCGCTCGCTAGCTAAGTGAGAAATATGTAGGCTAAAATAAGCTGCTGAAATAAAAAAGGAAGGCAAATTCTAACCACCAAGATATTACCAAATTGAGGCTATCCCTAACATCATGATATACTCAAAGTTCAGCCTTTTACCCCGGCTATAAGGCCTACGCCTGGCCGTACATAAGCTTAAACACTAACAATAGCTTGTGTTCTGCAACGTGACTCTTTGCCCAGCTTGACTTCCTTTGTGAACCTTAAGATCCTGCTTTCCCCTATTTAAAGGTCATCCCGGCCTGACTGAACTGTATATCTCCAATTCACTCCATACTTACATCTCGTTCGTATATCGCTGCTTCCGTTGCTTCACACATCGCTAGTTCAACAATCTATCAGGCCTAAGCTTGAAGCCGCTCGTTGGATCCACTACAAAGCCTGGCCTCTTCTGCCTGTTCTCTTCCCCTCATACCATCTATCTACTTCTCATTATCTCGGTATCCTGGCGATTTATTTCATAGCTGGTTCTGAGTTTCCCACTGGCGAAACTCCTGAACGTCGACACGATCGAGTCAATCCACACACTCCACGGAACAGCAGTTGCTAAATGTTGCGGGATACAATAAAGCGAGCGCTCCCCGCGTCAGTGCGGCGCGCGGCTCGACGGGTCATTCCCGCAAGACCATTAAAACTCTTAAGTCATCGACCCTATGACCCTCACGATGAAGAGGTCCTCCGGGGTCCGGAATTGCCCGACAGCCTCGTTGACGATTTACCGGATCCTCCCACTCTGCCGCCATCCTATGAAATCGAAGCCTCTGTAAAAGCGCTCGGTCTGCCCAAACACCAACAGTTTCAGATACTTCAAGACGTGGATGCAGTTATGGGGCTATTGACTGTCAGTCTACTCAGCATTGTGGACGATTCATGCGACATTTTAGCTCTTTCTTCGGCAATTCGTTATGGCTGCACCGAGGCTGCTGCAGCCATTAAACGGCATGAAGTTCCTCAGTCTGAGGATGAGTTGGACCGTTTGATGTATGAGTCTCGGTGGAGGATAATCAACTCTGTGACTGCGGCTGCAAACATTGTCCCCCTTGGGAAACAGGTGGAAGTGGCTGTTGCTGCGGCTGCTGCTATCACAGAGGTATCATATAACACTCTCCGGAAAACTGAAGAACAGTATGCTAGGGAAGGGCTCACATCAGTTCAGTACATTGTCGCACTAGGGTGGGCAAGTTCTGCGGCTTCATGTTTGGCGGGCCAAGCGCACGGCATAGCAGGGAATATTGCTCAGCGTAGGCTCTTGATCTTAGCTGAATGGTCTAAATGGTCGAAAAAGATGCGGCTACGAAAAGACGTTTTTTGCCAACTCTCGCACACCACAAATTCATATAAGACCTAACATTTGATTTCAATATGTATGGTGCAGGTGCATACGAATTCAGCGGTTACAAGAACTGATGATAGAAGAAAATTCCTACTTAGTTAAACTCACATTTAAGAACACTCTAGGCTCATTGGATCCCGGGTAGGGCTAGTTGGACGTTTCACGTACTTAGAAAAAGTCATAAGGTCCTTTAACGAAGAGATAAGATGGTCGAGTGGATAGATGTTGACAGTTCGCTGTGGCTGGGCTCTCCAAGCAAGTGCGGGCTTGGGGGAGCAATATATCTGAGGAGAAATAGCTTAAACTCCTGGCCATTATTTGCGCCCACCAGGGAGCTGCCGAGTAATCGTTGTAGGTCGTCGATGGCTCCCGGCGTGTAGATATCGACCCATTCCTGTGTAGGATGTATCCTCAACCTATGGAAGTGCATAAAGATTAAGACAGCGGTTGTCTTTTGTTGATTGGGCATGGCTAGTCTCACTATTTGTCCCTGGATTGGGAGTACTTCTAACCGCGAATTGAGCCCTCTGTATATAGAGCCATGGAGTAGCTGGCCAATACATATAAAGGCACCTTGATATCCTCTCATTAGGGCTTCTTAATCTCATAGTACTTAATTATAAGAGGATACTGCTTGTTTGTATTTATGATATCTTCTCTTCTATTCTTACTATTAAAGGTTTTTATAAGAAACTCCCAGAATGCAAAGATATGGATACCTCCGCGACAGATACCCTCGCGGTAGAAGCTACCTCCTTCCCAAGGTGGAATCGCCTTTAGAGAAGACGGGCGTTTGGCAGCAATGTACCTGTGACGTATGTTGGAGATGCTGGTTGCTAAACTGAGGGAGTTGCTAACAAGGTCGACAGACTGGTTGGATCAGTCTTGCTTCGCAATTCATTCGATAGGTAGAATCATATCCATCTCGTCCTTCCTAAAACATCTTTCTACATAGTTGGCAAATCGGACCGGCAAAAAAATGGGGTTCAATCTATCGAGGTTGTGTCCAGAGGGTGACAATGTCTCCTTTCAAGTTATAACCCCCACTCGCATTAGGCTGGATAATAGTATAACCTCTAGGACACCACTCGGCAGGGTCGGGAGCTTCAAACTCCCCCACGCCGCTCAGGCAACTCTTTAGGATCCCAAGCCAGGTAAAGTTAACTGTTTGCACATGGCCTCAAAGAAAATGTAAGCATACTAAGAAAAGACCCCAAGGCATTTGGGCAGATCTGATGGCTGAGAAGGAAAAGCTGGAGCGGTAATACTGGACATTGGTAGTAGAGGCTAATGGACGCGCAATTGAGAGGACAAATGCGACAGAGCTTGTTGAATGGGCAGTATTGGCAGCAACACCGTATGGGAACATGGAATCTGGGCAATGGCGGAGCATTTTGGCTAGTGGTTCAGGATGCCTTCGACTGAAGTCCTGCAGCAAGACTGTCATCGTCTTTCTTAGCCTGTATACTTACGCTGTGCCTTTTGGACTGACTATTTCATTTATAGTTGTCGAATTGGCGGTGTACGTGCACTGTCGATATTGATTGAGGGCCGTCAAATTATGAGAATGCGTCATCTTATAATAAACCTCTTCTCTTCGCTAAGTATGAAAAAGAAGGACATCCTCATGTCATGAGAGCTGGCGGAACCTAGGACTGAGCCACCATAACACCACGATATCTCATCTTGCCGTCACGAAGCTTCTTCACGGCTTCCAAAATACCGTCCTTTGTCATGGGGAACTCCTCAATCTGGGATCGAATGTTCTGCCTAGCAGCAAATGCAAGCATAGCTCTCACAGAAGAGGGAGACGCAATACCTGAGCCGATAATCTGGATATTACCCAAGATAAGGGTCATTGGGCTAATACTGATCTCGGCGGGGCTCATCGTCAGGGGGAACACAGTCACCCCCATGCACAAAATGGGCAGAAATCTTGAGAGTGGTTCTGTAAGCTATTGTCTTTCTCGCAAGGGATGCTGTAGAGCGATACATACTTCTTAAGATCAGGATTGGCACTAGTAGTGATCAACAGAGTTTGAAGCTTCTTGATGCTAGAGAAATCCGCCGAGTCATCTGTGAGATGGAACTCTGCAGCTCCCCAGTCCAATGCGGCCTGCTTCTTGTCTTCAGTTCTTGAAAATACAACAGGCACCATCCCTAGCTTGGAAGCAAACTGAATAGCTAGATGGCCGAGCCCACCAACACCAATAATACCGACACGGTCACCTGCTCTGAGACCGGTAGAGTATAATGGACCCCAGACGCTAGCACCCGCACACATCAACGGTCCTGCATCTTTGGAGGAGATTTCCTCTGGGATGTGGAAGAGGGTTGAGACATCCCAAGCAACATGGGAAGCAAGGCATCCTTGATCCCAATCAGCAGTACTATACATGGTCATGTTTTCACATCTATCCTGGCGGCCTGTACGCAATCACTTGTTAGCTTGCAACTCAGGCTTTCAATTGATTATCTGAAGTGTTTTGTTTCTCCTTGTCGAGTCTCACCTTTGACGCAGGAGTCACAGATTCTGCAGAACTTATGGAACCAGCCGAGGCCGACTCGGTCCCCTACTTTGAAGTCGGAGATCTCTGAGACTGCTGAACCAACCTCGGTTATGGTGCCAACGCCTTCGTGGCCAAGGCCCATGTCGGTTCCTAGAAAGAGCTCATCTGTGGCACAGAGACTGCAGTGAGAGATCTTGACAACCGCTTCAGTAGGCTTCAGGTCACGGTGACCCTTGGACTCGACAATCTCCCCGCTGCTGGATCCCTTGAAGACGGTGAAGTCGATACTCATGGTTGCGGATGGATGGGTGGATGGCTGTAAATGTGGGCTTGAAAAGGCGATGCAATTAACTTGCTGAGATTGAGGGACCAGATGGAAAGAACATATGGCGGTGTATAAATCCTTCTACTAATATACCCCCATTCATCGGGTACCCTCCAATAGCTATTTTCTCGGTACAATGTCACTTCCCTGGTGCCTTCTGATCACCAATTATGTGTCCCCAGTAAAAAACTGCACGATGAAGCACGATGTTGGTTGTTGGTCGTTCGGAAGACTGCCTGTACGCATGAAGAAAGTCAACTTCATGTAGACTGTACACGTAAGACGCCTAGGTCCTTGACAGATCCTTGTTGGCCGGGCTAGGGTATTTGGAGGACTGTAACATTGCAGACGCAAGGTGTTGGGTATCTATTCCTTCAGAGTTCTGCCTGCCTCTGAAGTCTCCCCTCTCCCTCGAGAAAGGTGCAAGCTGGCCTCGGTTGATCTCGAACTCACTCACGTACCTAGGTATGTATCATGTCGCGCTAGACCTCGTCGGTTTTCCCTCGGAGTTTGGCTCCTTCAGAATAGCAACTTGAGACCACCGGTGGATGAAGGAGTTTGATGACATCCTGCAGCTGTGTGCTCGTTGGTCAGCACAAGCATGTTAGTGAGCGGAGGATCTTTGGTCTGGACCCCTGACTCCCGGTCGTAAAAGCCAACGGCGAAGCCCTAGCAGCATTGTATTCGTATTTTCTCAAATAATTTGACCCTCCCACCCCCCCCGTTTTTTGGACCTAGATCTTCACCCTTCATGCAACCCACCCAAACAAGGTGATACTCCTGAATCCTTCCGAACAAGCCCTATACGCCTGAAGCCTGATCGCACAGCCTGTGTACCGCAAGTCGAATTTGAACTAATGAAGCTATAGCGATGAACAGGACACCGCTAGGGCAGCTAGATTAGCGGAAGGATTCGAAAGTCTGACCTATTTGGGTGGGCTGCATCAAACGTGGTGTCGGCGGGTCAGAAAACCAGGAGCGAAAAAGTCGAATTATTCGAGAAAACATGCTATCTTGTTTCAAGGTCTCGTCTCTCTAGATTGAGAGTGACCCGGGAATCAGTTCCCACACCGACCGCTGGTTCCAAGTTGTCGGTATCTTGACTGATACAAGAGGAAGGTTGCGGTCCCGGTATCGATCTATCGTGTCTTTCCTGACAGGCAATGTCTTACCCGTAGTCCATCAGAGATCTTCCTTTGCTAGAAACAATTGTCAATTAAGAAGGTTGCACCGTGGCTATACGCGGGGTAGTGATCTTACGACCTGCCTGGCTGGGCAGGTAATGTAACATGACCAACCTCCCTGGTACTCTGCCCGCGTCCGCATTCCGATGCCCCGGATCCTGGCCCTGGCCCCTGACCCTGCTCACCAGCCGTCTCCGCGGGCGTTGCCCTTAGTGCCCGCAGGGTGACTACCCTGTTTTATTAGATACAATCTCATATCTCGGACTCATATCTCGGACCGTGTAGTGCCATCTAGGTCCGGGCCCACAGGTCCGAAGTCCCTTTCTAGCAAGATGGGTAGGGTGTGAGGGAATGAATCTCATAATGGCATAGAGGCATCTTGGGGTACTCACTCCATCACCTCCTTGCCAAGCGTTGGTGGTCTAGTCTTCCATGGTCTGTGACATGCCGTTCCTCGCCACCTCGCCACAAGCCGATTGTGCAGACCTTCAAGAGAATTAGGGGGTTAGAGTATCTGGGCAATTTTTGTGCTCGAGCCCAGGTGGCATACAATGCCACCCATAAAGGGGGCAGTCGTTATACCAAGAGCGAGGAGATGCAGCTTCAATAGAGCTTGGATAGAGCGATAATAGGATTCAGGCACAATGAGCCGTCAATTGGTCAACTGTACATGACTTATGATTATGCTCATCATTCGTGCTCTCTTTTCTGCCATCAATATTAAAATTACTTTTGTCCTCTAACGCCAGCGCTATATCAGGAAATTAGGAAGAAGGCGCCGAACTATGCTGAATAAAATAGTATGATGAAAAGTAAGAGGAGGCAGAGACACAATTTTTTCTCTCCCAAAGTCGTCATTACGATCTGGTCACCACGATGTCCTTTCTGACCTCAATCTGCCCTGGGTGATAATAAGTTGGCCTTAGAGCCTCCTCGTCATTCTCTCCATGGAGCCGTTCGAACCGGTGACTGCTGGTTTGGGTTCTGTCTGTCAATTCCAGCCCGTCAGACTTTGATGACATCCCCATTCTGTTTCCTGTACTCCGCTGTGATACCGTGGTCTTTGCTGTACGTACCACGCGTTCGAGCAGCGGGCGATACATCATCATGGAGACAGAGATGAGATAAATTCCGGGCTCCACCACAGTCCAAATGACAAGTCCGACGGCATTCCAAGTAACGTCGGGGAATAAGTGGTTGCTGGCAAACTCCCTGAATCGCATGATTGATGCGACAAGACCGCTTTCATGGAAGGTTAGAATGGGTACATTTATGGAGAAAGACGAGAGAATGAATTGGGACTGCTTTATAGACATACCTGCCCCCAATCAGGAACGTGACAGTCAACGCGGCCTTGAGGTTGTTGGATAGCTGCAGCTTCCATATAATAGGAAGAGGGAGGGCAATCAAGGCCAAGTCGGTGATGATGTTTGGCAAGCTGATCCAGAGAAACAAGGACATCTTGTCGAAGCAATGGGTCTGTTGCATTTCCAGCGGCCCCCAATTAACCCAAAACGGCCGACAAACAACAAAGAGAAGAATGGTCCCGACAATACTCTGCAGAATGAGAATGACAGCAACGATCCAGACGCTGATGTGCATGAGTCGTTGCGGGAACAATCGTCGGTACACGACAAGAATAGCGAGCTTGGCGAGGCTCATTGTCATCGTATACCAGATGGAGATGGCCACAAGATACTTGAAATAGTTGGTTATCTTCTCGGGGTCATGCGCGGCATGGTATTCAATGTGGTAGCCAACTCCTCCCTGCAACACAACGCCTACAACAAGCAAATATGATTAGACCTCACCAGCGACCATGCCCAAGCCCGCGACCACTTACCTATGGCTAATGCAGATGCGACTATTTGGGTAAGAAGAGAGGCTATAACAAGCCAATCGTCCCAGTCATAGCTCTTTCTGCTAAGGCGTTGCGCCCAGAATCGCAAAACAACAAAAACCACCTGGATGGGGATGAAGAGGGCGCTGACAACAATGGCTTTCCATCCTATGTATGTGGAGTCGGGCTCCATGGTTGCAACTGATGGAACCCAAGGAACGTGAAAGGAAAACGAGAAAGAAATAACCAAACAGAGTCTGCGTCTTCTTGATTCAAAGGGGTCTTGTCGCGTAGATGTTTTTGACAGCAGAGCGCGTGTCGGAATGGGCGGTCCGCACAACTTACATACGCGACCCAACCCATGTTGGCTTATGTAGCACTCAGAGTAGGTAGGATTGTGATGCTTGTTGGCTTATGCATTGCCAAATATGTACATAAGTAGAGAGGTTGTCTATCTTCTGTGCTACTAAACGGAGGATCAAGATTAGAGCATGCAAAGTAAAAGATATTTTTTTATTATCCTGCCGGCAGATGACCGTATCAACTCAAGCCTGAACCCCATCCGGATCAGTTGTTCCGCGTCGCCCACTCCTCCATCCACTCCTCCATCCACTTGCGCATCCACGTTGAGTGCACTGCCGGTAGCGACTGCAACGCGGGACTCAGATCGGTCGCACGGCCAACTTGCATGAGATTGCTTTCAATCCCATCTGCCCACAGATTACGAGTGTAGAAGTCAAACAGCCTGAGCCCGGGGTTCTTTGCCGTTGCCGCAGTGAGCTTATTAGCATCGCCGTCAGCGTTCAGATCGGCAAGGCTCTTGCGTAACTCCTCCAACCAGAGAGCGGGTGAAACGAGTTCTAGACCCTTGCCTTGCAGTTCGCTGGAGGCCTGCAGAACGGTTGGAGCGAGACCCGCCCAGGGGGTAACCTTGGGGTTTCTTAGGTTGAATACCTGTGCCCCTGAACCACTATTCTCCTCGCTCGCTCCGGTCGTGAGATCTACAATAACATCACCAAAAATATCCGATGGAATCCAGTCAATCTTGCCCAGAGCGCCAAGGTTGTCGGGCAGGCTTCCCAGGTGCAGTGAGCTACCGATGAGGCTGGGGAACCACTCCGTGGGATTCCAAAGACCTTTTTGGCGGGCAGGGCCGGCAATCTGCCCAACGCGGACAACTATAGCAGATATTCCTAGATGCTTGGCTGCTGCATCCAAGATGTGCTCCGAGATATACTTGCTCTGCCCATAGCCCTGGTTGGTGGTTGGAGGCGTATCTATAATACTTTCGGGAGCATTCTTGCCTTTCCCGGAAATGACAGCGGCTATCGATGAGGCAAACACGATTTTGGCAGGCTGGTGCGACAAGGCAGCTGCCAAAGAGCAGAGATTGACAACGCCCTCCAAGTGAGGGCGGAAGGCCTGTAGCTCAAAAATGAAGTTTACAGGCCATGCCATGTGAATGATGACACTAACACGACGAGTGAGGTTCTGGTATACATCGTCGTTTAGCCCAAGTTTAGGGGAAGCCAGGTCCACCTTGAGAAAGGTCACTCGCCCCTCAAGCTGGGTGGCATCGCCAGTTTTTCTGACTTGTGCAACCTTACCACCATCCTCACCACGATTGAGACAGAAGATGTGGCCAATATCTTCACGGTCCAGAAGTGACTTCAAGACGTATGCCCCCAAGTATCCTGTAGACCCGGTTAAGACGACACCGATTGGGTTCTGAACGGCCTTTTTACCGTCTGTAGGCACGGGAATGGACTTGACACGACTTGTAAATGTAGACTGGAGCGAGCTGATGAGATGGGCATTGCCCTCAGATTTGGCTTGGCGTGCAACAGCAAGGGCCTCACTCAGCTGCTTCACTGTGGGATTCTTGTACACTATGGAAAGAGAAAGAGTCGGGCGACCCAATCCCTGACGCAGAGCACGTGTGATCTGTAGTGCCTGGCGAGAGTCCAAGCCTTTGTCGAAGAAAGCATCGTCGTCGTCAAGAAGATCCCACCCCGTCACTGATAGGACCGCGTTGCGTACAATTACAGCGATTGGGCTGTTCGGTTTCACACCAACGAGATTCAGCTGCTGACCGGCCATATTGCCCGAATTTGGTAAGGCTTTGTGGTTGTCGCCGTGTAGGAGGATTTCACCCTACTGGTTGCTTGGCCCGAATAGGCTGGTCCTGTTCAACATCTGTTCTGCCCAGGTTTGGCAATAAAGCAACAGTTTCAAGGAGATGGAAGGACACCGAGTTGTTTGATGCAAAAGCTTCTAGACCGGTTTATTAACCAGACTTGCCTAGGCGTGGGCCCCATCTTGAACACCATCAGTAATCTCCATGGTCCATTGTCCCCTCGACAAGTCTCCGCACTCGCCCACACTCGAGGCAGCCCGGTGCTCAATCCTTACTGCACTCACTGCCTTAATACCCGCAAAGGGCTAACTCGGAAAAATTACCGTTCTGGGAACTCTTGCTTTCACATGTACACACTTTGTACATGGGGAAGACAGGGGGGTGCGAGTAACCCCGGTAGAAATGAGTTCAACAGGGACAGGGACTGATGTGTGGTTGCATACATATACATAGTATCGTAAACTTCACCAGTCACTGAGTAGGGACTTTTACATAGACCCCTGGTCAGGCGGCTGCTAACTTTTTTTTGTTCAAACCATGTCGTTGAGCAGAATGTCATGTACCCGTTTATATCCCTTGCGATTAGCCGGATGGATTTAGGTATACAACGCAAGCTGGAAGACCCGTAGACTTTATCTACCTATTAAATGATGTAGGAGACTTGACCCTGCAACAACACTCATTTGTGGGAATGTACAACTCACCAAGCATAAAATTTTTTTCTAGATAGTATAGTACATTCAGATTTGGTGGGGATATGGATACATGCTCAGGTATGGAGAAGAAGCAAGAAAGCGTTGCAATTGAGTATACTTCCAGAGAGCCAGGATAATAAGAGCGGTGGGCAGCCGCGTCGCTATCACCCTGACCGAGTATAACATCTACTACCAGGCTTGCAGAACCCTTTATTCAATTTTCAAACCCCATCTTGGCAGGCTTGGCGGCCTTGAGAGATAATAAACTACTCAAGATGGACAGGCAACACCCGATTAGCCCTTTGGCGGTAGTAGGCATCTCTTGTAGACTACCTGGCGGTGCCAATGACACCGACAAGCTATGGGACCTATTGAAGGATGGTGTTGACACAGTAAGTTCATTCCATCGTAAACGTCTACCGTAGTAGGTACTCGTTTGATTCAGCCTCTTCATAATCTCCAGTTCGATCATCGGCTTCCCCCACCCCCTTGTCGATCCACGACACCCACACTTCATTTCTTAGATAGATTTCATCCTCCAAACTCGTCCGCTGAATATTCTCTTTTCGGATAGTGGTCACCGGTGCCAGAGGACCGATTCAACGAGAGTGCATTTCATCACCCTAGTCCGGATGATCCCAATGGAAGCAACAACCACCGTGGTGGGCACTTTATTGATGCCAATATATCAAGTTTCGATGCCTCCTTCTTCCGAATATCGCCACAGCAGGCGGCTGTCATGGACCCTCAGCAGCGCATCCTGCTGGAAATGACTTATGAAGCACTTGAGAGCGCCGGCATGCCTCGTGAGCAATACAGAGGCTCGAATACTGGCGTATTCGGCGCGCTGTTCATCACCGACTTTGATCGTAACATGCTCAAGGACACCATCGGAAAGTCACCCTATACTCTGCTGGGAAATGAAGAGGCAATACTCACAAACCGAATTTCACACGCACTTGATCTACACGGCCCATCACTGACACTTGATACTGGCTGTTCGGGGGGAATGGTTGCTCTACATCAGGCATGTAACGCCCTGCGCAGTGGGGAGTGCGAGACAGCTATTGTTGTATCCGGGAACATCACGCTGAGCCCTGACCATACAGCGGAAATGGCCAATCTACATTTCTTGAATAGCAACGGGCGTTCATATCCATTTGATAGCCGAGGAGATGGGTATGGACGTGGGGAGGGCTTTGTTGCCATTATTCTCAAACGCATGCAAGACGCCATTGATGGTCGGTTTCCAGTCCAAGCCGTGATTCGAAGTACAGCCATCAACCAGGACGGTTATACCCCTGAGGGCATTACATACCCCAACAGCAAGGCTCAAGAGGATCTTATTAGATACACCTATGCAAGAGCTGGCTTACGGCCTCAAGACGTCTCATACATCGAGGCTCATGGGACGGGAACGCTGGCCGGTGATTTCCAAGAGCTATCTGCCATTTCCAACACCTTCACAGGCGCAGACCGCTCCTTGCCATTGTTTATAGGCTCAATCAAGGGTAATATAGGGCACACAGAGAACACCAGTGGTCTGGCTGGACTGCTCAAATCGATACTAGTCCTCCAGCGTAAAGAGATCCCTCCCTTGGCTTGCTTTGAGAAACCAAAACCGGGCCTACCGCTTGATCATATCAACCTGCCAACAACTCTATCACCATTGCCCCAGGAATCAGGTCGACTTTCACTAGTTTCTGTCAACTCCTTTGGCTTTGGAGGCACAAACGGTCATGCGATTCTGGAAGAGGCTCCCAAAGCAGCGGTCTCATCCGCTGACTGCTCCTCAAACAGTTCACCTCTTCTCTTCCGTTTTTCTGCCGACTGCAAGGAATCACTCTTGGCAATCATAAGAAATCATCAGTCATGGCTCAGGCTCCACCAGGACGCATCGCTGGCCGATTTTTCATACACCCTCTGTGAGCGCCGCACTGCGTTCCCATGGCGTTTCAGCTGCGTTGCTGAAACGCATGCTCAGCTTGCACAGAAGCTGGCCGACGGCGCGGCCGACTCGATCCAGGCCACTCCTTCAAAGAAGACAAGCGTTGCATATGTGTTTACCGGGCAGGGGGCCCAGTGGATTGGCATGGGTCGTGAACTGATGACAGGGGAAAAGGGCACAGTTTCTGCATTCTGCGCTTCGATCCACGCTTCCACCAAGATTCTCTTGGCACTTGGTGCAACATGGAATCTGGAGGCGGCACTTTCTGGAACTGGAGCAGAAGCAGAGTTGATCAACACGGCCGAGTTGGCGCAGCCTGTAACCACCGCTTTACAAAGGCATGTTCCTGAAACCAATCTCACTCTCCCCATGGATTATTCGATTGCTAACTGGTACTCAGTATGTTGCCTGCCTTCAATCACTTTCAAGCTCCAAAAATTGAGAATACCATAAGTAGCAAATATAGGTATTTATTCGGCCACTGACATTTCTTCACAGTTGCTTTAATATCCCTGTTATGTAGCCAGGGCATAAAGCCCGACGTCGTTATAGGACACTCAAGTGGCGAGATTGCAGCTGCGTATACCGCGGGCTATCTTTCTCACCATGCGGCCCTCGCCGTCGCATTCCACCGTGGCTTCATGGCCCAGACGGCCAAGTCGAAGGATTGGCCTGCCGGCGGCATGATGTCTGTAGGTCTTGGTGAAGATGAAGCAACCGAGCTTCTTCAAGGCCTCCAAAGTGGAAAGGCTGTCACTGCATGTGTTAACAGTCCTAGCAATGTCACCATCTCGGGTGATACAGCTGCCCTTGACGAAATTTCTTCAATTTTGCAAGCTAATGGAAACGGCACGTTTCATCGCCGCTTGGCGGTCGACACAGCCTATCACTCCCATCACATGCAGGCTGTAGCAGAAGACTATCGCACACGCCTTGTTGGACTTGAGCACATGAAGCCTGAAGAGACCACCGAGTGCCCTCTTTTCATCTCCTCGGTCACAGGAGTTGCCAAATCAAGCGAGTTTGGTATACAGTATTGGATTGATAACCTGGTTTCTCCTGTACGATTCTGCGATGCCGTCCAAACTGCATCACGAGACTTCTACAGTGCCAGTCAACGCAACTCTCATGTTTTCTTTGTCGAAATTGGTCCGCACCCAGCTCTGGCAGGTCCGGTTCGTCAGTCTTTGGGTGCACTCCCAGGAAAGAGCTTCGAGTTTGACTACAGCTCCGTCCTCCAGCGAAAGACGAGTGCCGTCGTAAGTGCGCTGTCACTTCTAGGTGGATTCTTTGAGAGAGACGTGCCCATCGCGTCTGGTGCATTAGCCGATTTGACTCCTCGACTCTCGACGGCCAGAGTATGCCCCGACTTACCATCTTATGCGTGGGATCACTCTGTTGATCACTGGAAAGAGTTCCGCCACAGCTCTGAACATCGCTTCCGACGTCACCCGTACCACGATCTACTTGGTGTGCGCATACCAGGCTCCGCCGGCAACGAACCTCAATGGCGCCATGTCATTGGCTTGGACACGTTGCCGTGGCTCGCAGACCACATCATTGATGGTCTGTCCATCTTTCCTGGATCTGGGTATATGTGCATGGCGGCAGAGGGAGTTCGGCAGATAAAAATGGATTCTCACCCAACAAAGAAGCTTGAGTCTTTAGTTTTTCGACAGGTTTCGTTTCTCCGAGCACTCGTCATCCCGGCTAGTGGCCAGGTCGAGCTGTATCTGCGATTTAAGCCGCGAACGACCATTGGTCTTGACTTTTCCTTCTCAATCTCAACTCTATCTGATGGTCAGTGGAATGAAAACTGTACGGGCCTTATCGAGGGGCTGCTCGCTGATGAGCTCTTGGAAACTGTTCAAGATGTCGCTCAAGCCGCCCGGGCTGAGCCTGTTCATGGGCATGATCTTCCAGCCAGTCAACTTTACGAGACGCTCAAGACAGCCGGTAACACCTACGGCCCAACCTTTGCCGCGATCCGGTCCTACAATTATACATCTGATGATGAGCTTCAAGCCACAGCAACTGTAACCGTTCCTGATGTGGCTGCCACCATGCGTGCTCGCTATCAACAGCCTCACTTGATACATCCCACGACTCTCGATGCAATCCTGCACTCATCCCTTCCTGTCGCTGAGAAGCGCCTGGGCTCAGGCTCGATAATGCCTGTGTACATCGAGGAGCTTCTTATGTCCGCCACATCAGAACTTCCCAGTGAGCCTGGCTCCGAGCTAGAAGTGAAGACTAAGATCTCATCTGGCCATTTCCGAACCGCGTATACCGATTTCTCCGTCACAGCTGGCAATATTCCCGTCATGATGATTTCTGGCGCTGAAATGCGCAAAGTGGGAGGCAGTGCGGAGGATGCGAGCCAAATCACAGCTGAAGAGCAGCGCCCGGTTTGCTTCCAAGTTGAGTGGGGAGCTGACCAGGAATTCCTCCGGGCCGAAGACATAGAAGTGAATCCCACGTTGGAGCAGCTTCTGGGTCATATAGCGTTCAAAACTCCAGGGCTTTCCGTTTTGGACATTGGACCCAGTCGGCGAGCCAATTCAATCTCTGTCGCTGACGTGATCCAGGGACATAGGGGTTCTGTGAGCATTTATGACATGGTGGAGCCCGCCGCTGAACCTCATGGTGTGAATGGTGTCAACGGCCATCGAACTGACATTCTCGAAAGTATCAAGCAGAGCTTGCGATCATCAGCTTATGATTTAATCTTGATCACAGACTCCGGGTGGATACATGCTGCCTCCTCGTTGATCAAGCCCGGTGGCGTCTTAATCTCTACTCTAGAGCTGACTGATGAACTTCCATCTATGAATTCAGTCCCGATGAAGAGCCAGCTTTGTTTTAGGGATAATCATCTAAACCTCTCCATCACGATGCTACGCCCCTCGAGCGAGCAGACCATGGCAAGCTCGAATACAGTTCAAGTCATATGTCATTCGGAAGAGTCTTCCATTTCTCCCTGGGCAAGAAACCTTGTTCACACGCTACCCTCCTACCGTGTCGGGATTGAAGGTGCTCCTACCACGTTGAATAGCATGGCTGTTGCTGCCAGCGCCACATCGGACAAGATTATGCTAGTTATCGAAGATCAGTCTACAGCAATCCTATCAGACGAGAAGTATTTCGAAGCAGGAATATCTCTGTTGAAGCAGCCGGCGAGGGTCGTATGGATAAATTCGGAAAAGGACGTCCGGATGCATCAGATCACCGGTGTGATCAGAACAGCCCATGCAGAGAACGACAACTTACATGCTACTACCATCCACGTGGGCTCGGAGTCACCTTCAGGCTCTCGATTCCATGAATTGGTTGCCTTCGCCGTTTCCAAGGTGGGTGACAGCAATAGAGAGCGAGAATACCGTGTGCTAGACAATGGCACGATTATGGTGCCTCGCCTTCGCACACACGATGGATATACGAACGCTATTCGAGCCGAGCTGAGCGACACTTGTGAAATCATGGAACGCCCTATTACCGATATATCTCGGCCCGTCAGACTTCATGTCAGTGATGATCGAGAAATCAACGATCCTTGCTTTTCTGAAGAACAACCACCATCCGCCAGGGCATTGGCCCCGGACGAGGTTCAGTTGGCTGTGGAATACATGTCGTTGGCAAAATCCTACGGTTCAATCCAACTGTGTGAATATGTTGGCACCGTCGCTAGGATTGGTTCATCGGTCAACCATTTCACCATCGGTGATACCGTGGTTGCTTTGGGATCTTCAGTGGGTTCAAGTCATCCCTACATGCCCCGAGCCCACGTGGCTCGTTTACCCATGGGAGTACCTCCAGCAAAAGCTTCGGCTCTCTTGTTAAATGCAATGGCTGCCACTTACTCGTTACGAGAACTGGCCAAGTTGAGCCTAGGAGACGCAGTCCTGATCCATGGAGCAGCCACAGCGGCGGGCCGAGCGGCCATCTCGGCGGCCAAGGCCATTGGATTGCGCATCATTTGTACTGCAGCTGACTCTGTTGATGCCAAATGTCTTCAGGAAAGAGAAGGATTCTTAGCCGGTGACATTTTCGTTACTCGGCCCTCCTTCAGTCGCCTCTCTGCCGAGCAAGTGTTTAGCGTCGCTGTAGACGCCGTTATTATTGCAACTGAAGCTTCACTTCCGGTCGAAATCATGAGACATTTGCGTCCGGGTGGGTCTGTGATCCTCACAGACTCTTTCAGTCACCAAAAGTCTATGACCACACTGCCAGGCAAGTTGTCGGCAAATGCCACTTTATACCACTGCAACATCGATGAGCTATTGGCAGCATGTCCCCAAATGATCTCCTCTCTTCTTCCTGATGCTGTTGCTACACTGAGTAGCGTCTCCCTCGATGGCCTAGACATTCTAGTCAATGACGTCTCCAAGACTGCTGAGGTACTGAAACTCCTCGACAGCAACATGTATTCCAAAGCGGTCATCCAAGTCAATGCCGACTCCAAGACATCAGTCAGAGCTATGAAGAGTTTCATGTGGCAGGGTCAAGAGGTGACTTTTGTTGTTTCGGGAGGATTAGGCGATTTAGGGCAACGGTGTCTAAAGATCTTAGCAAGTCGTGGCGCAAGGTCACTCGTTACTTTGTCAAGAAGCTTCCTTACTCCCGAAAAGCTACAAAGCCTTGAGAGAGCTCTGGAGGATATTCAACCAGGCTGCCGCCTATATTGTATTGAATGTGACATCTCAATCGAGAGCAATGTCAAGGAGGCAGCTCAGAAGATCAAGGATCTAGGACTTCCACCAGTTTGTGGAATTATACAGTCTTCTACGGTACTCCGAGTAAGTGTACCCCAGGGTTATGGCTCACCATCTTCTCTGTTAATAAGAAATACGCCCAAGAGGCTTGTTACATCAGTGCTAACCTACTTCCAGGACAGCACACTTGAGACCATTAGTTTTGCAGACTACCAGTTGACATCACGTATCAAGGTGGATGGCTCCATGCATCTTTACAACGCAATGTCATCTCCCAGCTTAAAGTTCTTCATATCGATGTCTTCCGTTGTCGCTGTAGTCGGTACCAGCGGTCAGGCCAACTACAGTGCTGGCAATGCGGCCCAGGACATCATGTCACAAATACACAGAGGAGATTCCTGCCATTTTACCTCTCTCAACATTGGGTGGGTTGAAGACTCTCATCTAACGTCAGACTTTGATGTCCGCAAGAATGCCATCCTTCGCGCTGGGCTTACCCCAGTAGGACCAGAGTCTCTTTACAAATATCTCGACTACTCCTTTGCATCCTCGGCCACTGAAGACCATGTGTCCCAAATCGCAATTGGGATTGAACCAAGGGTCATTGCCCAGTCTATTGCCACCAACGGCACTGTGTATTCCCCAATGTTCAGTCATGTTTTACATGGTATCACAGATAGCACAGAGCCAAAACGCGAGACTACCGCCCAGAACTTTGCGCAGGTTGCTGCCTCTGGCGACATTGACATAATTATCGACTTTATAGCTACGAGATTTACTATCCAACTAGCTAAGCTTATCTACGCCGACCCTTCAACAATTGATCGTTACCGTACATCTCTGTTGGCCCTGGGACTGGATTCTCTGATTGCAATAGAGCTCCGAAACTGGATTCAGAGAGAATTTGACACGCGCCTGCAGTCATCTGAGATTTTCGCCCAGCAGGATGTTTATACTCTTGCGGAGAAGATTGCCGCACGCTCTCAGGTTGTTTCCGGACTTGAATTTGAGGTATAAAACATACTTGAGAATATAGTTAAATTTATATCTTTGAAAAAAAAAAAAGGAATAGATAGTATAAGTTTCACTAGTATACTAAAGATTAAAGAGCTTTTAGAGCTAAACTTTAAATAGATAATTAATCTCTTTAAATTAGAAAGTAAGATATTTAGTATAAAAATAACTTCTTTAAAAAAAAGTATTTTAAACTAGGAACCAACTAGATAATAAATATAACTATTACTTAGTTTATCTGATTAAAAATATAACTAATTATAAAGTAATAATTATAAATACTACTATATCTAGCTACTTTACTAGAAGATTAAGGAATCAGCTTTATAAAGATAGCTTTTAAGGGTATCTAGGTTAATAGAAATATAACTGGGGAGGGGAGGAGGAAGGAAGGAAGTCGGAGATGTCGCATCACGGACTCGCAGTTCGGCGTCACGAGGAGCGAGCTTCCATTGCAGTTTATGGCGACGGTGTCCATTCTTGCACCCCAAGTATACGATAACGCCTCATATATGTAAACTGGCTTCTTTCCGCGACAGTCATCTAGATAGACCTGTTTCAGATGACAGTGGATTGGCTGCGACAGGGTCAAAGCAGGGTCAAGCCTCACGAGCCTTATCGGCTGGTTTCCTGTGAGTGACGGGTAGACAAACGACTGGATATGTGCGTTGGTGGCTTTCTTTCCCAAAAATTGGCTGATTGTGATCCAGATCTGTTGCGTGTTTCTGTGTGGGGGAAGGAATTCTACAGCATGTCAGTAGCCAACCAGTTTCTGTCCTACCCTATACTTAGTCACATCATACCGTGGTACGGCTCAGCCAGCAACAGACCAGGTATGCAGAATATCAAATAGGAGGGACGCAGGATTTTTTCGGTTCACGAGAGGAGCCATGGTGACGAAAAGAATTATCGTATTAAGCATCAGTTGTTGTTGCTGGGAGTAAGCCATGTTATGCGATGACAGTCGGCCTTTTGACAAGGTGATTTGATGATTCTACCTACTTACTTTGAGTACTTCAAAACTTCTTTTTACTTTTGGCCACTTTTATTCATGGGCCAAGAGCCCCCTCCCTGACTCTATTGTTAAGCTAGCTGCTTAGGAATGTAATGTTTCGAACAACACCGTACGCGCGTTCAAAGAATCTTGTTTTCGGCTGCAGTGTCAACAAATTTAAGAACCCCTGGTTTAATTCCCCTACTTGCAGGGACGTGCGGGACTTAGCATGGAGTGGCGAGGCTTTTTCTTTACCCCTTTTCCCTGCTCCGACTCACCCTGGAAAATAGACGGGGCTTTCTCCGCCTACGGTCGCAAAAGCTTTTCGTAGGTAGGTTGTAGTTGGTTATAGTTGAAATCTCTCAAGCTCGAAGATTCATAGACTGAAAGGGATTGGCTGACAAACGATACATAAGTATTGTGGATTTTACAACTCTGGAAATTGAACGAGCCTCAATGTATGTCTTGTTTGTCTCACCTCCTACCGGTAATATAGTAAAATCTGTCGAATAAGCATTCTACACCCCCTCTCCTTCATATATACATAAAGGGCACACAAACTTTATGGCCCGCCCCGGTAAGCGTTCAAAATCGCATCGCCATATTTGTGATTGTCTGGAAGTGGGGTTGATTGCGTTGAACCCTGGTTTGACCACGGTTTTACATCTGCTACGTCTGCTTGCAGGAGAGCATGTCATTAGTTTTAAACCACGATATCCTGGCGAGCAATAGGAGCTTCGAGTATTACGTACTACCCGCCGAGAAAAGATTTTGCCGTTCACCGTCCTCCGAGTTATCAACTCGGGGGCATTTACTCTTGAGAAGAGGACAAGGGTCCAACTCCTATAAATCAAAGAACACATTTCTTTCTACACTCGCACGGACCCTACCAGGTATGAAACGGGGCAATCTTCTGGGCGAGATCCGCAGATCTGACACACTCTGTTCGGGCCCGGCCTAGAAAACGTTTGTTCGAATCTAATACCTAGGATACACCGCCTTGGATGCCCAATTTTCGATGGTCCATGCATCTGCCCATACAGAGTTTGAACTTTCAACATCTTAATTGCTACAAGATATAGTTATGTTGGTAAGATACTTGTATGCTGGGACAACACTTGACCCACGTTCGCCGTTGTCGAATCAGGCCCAATCCCCGAGAGATATGCTACCTAACGAGGATATACAAATATCTCATGCTACGACAGGGGCAGGTCCTTCCACTTCGAGACATGCCACCGCTGGACGCTGTATAAAACTTTTCTCCAAGCCGGCGTAGAATGTGTTGCTTGTATATGTTGGGATCGCATCAGTTCGCAAAGTAGAATCTTTCTGGAATGCTTTAAGCTACGTACGAACAAACCTTCATAATGGTCCGCCTCCTTCCTGGCCTTATTTTGGTCCTAGCAGCCGAGGCCTCAGCCGCTTGGAATGGCACATGCCATCAGAAATCGCGGCGCAAAGCATGGTAAGGCAAGCTTATACAAAATATTTCCCTTTGCAAGCTGACACAGGATCGAAGGCACAGGATGTCGGTGGATGAGAGAAAGGAATACATTGATGCCGAGCTTTGTTTGATGGAGCGTCCCCCGATTGCTGGGATTGAAGGCGCCAAGAATCTCTGGGACGAGCTTCAATTTGCTCATATAACCCAGTCAAACATCATTCATAACGTAGTAAGTAGTGGGCCTGTTATTGGAAACGGAAACAAGAAATTTACGACATTAACTGATTAAATTAGGGGGCTTTTTTACCTTGGCATCGATATTATATGCATGTTTATGAATATCTGTTGCAAACTGAGTGCGGCTACAAAGGTGGCTAGCCTTACTGGGCACAAGTTCGTGACGTTGATAACTTTGCTGGATCTGTCATTTTTGATCCTGTCACTGGGTTCGGTGGCGAAGGCAGCGAGTGTGTTTCTGATGGCCCCTTTACGAACTTGAGGATGCATATCAACGGCACTTCAACATCTGCCAATTACTGCCTGTCACGCGCATTCAACGCTACCGCATTTACGAATGCAAAGCAGGAAAATATTGATGAATGCTTCAACCTCGAGAAGTATGAGGACTCCTATTCTTGCTACCAGGCACTACCACATACGGCAGGTCATTTTGGTGTTGGTGGTACAGTAGGTCACCTCTGATTTCCCAAACTGAGTTTATGAATACTAAACAATCTAGATGTATGATCCCGCCGCAAGCCCCGGCGAACCACTCTTCTACCTTCATCATACCAACCTAGACCGCCTCTGGTGGGAATGGCAACAGGATAACCTTACATTCCGACTGACGGATATGGGAGGACAGAACATGCCCTCGGAGGAATTCCTGAGAGAAAATGGTTTCCCTGATCCCACCCCGGGCGTCATCGATTATTTTGGCGATGGTGGTGGCATTGTGACTACTCTGAACCATAACTTGTGGATGGTAGGCGTTGCGTCGAAGGTGACAGTACGAGAAGTTATGGATATTGGAGGGCCATTAAACTGTGCAGAGTATGTGTGAGAAAGTCTGGGCCTATAGATCATCGCACTAGATTCGGCTTGTTTTCGATATTTGTCAAAGCCCCAAAGACTTTTCGGAGAATACGAAGTGTGGTGGGCGCTAGCAACGGAAATGTTTAATTATATATTAGCTACCTGCTCGGAAGCTATCGCACCAATTTTTGAAAGCTAGGTTGATATTGGGTTTCAAATGATTGGCTAGAGAGAGGCAGGCATATCTGAAAGTTTTATAGTCTGAAGCGCCCAAAAGGATATGCAAGGTGTTGAAGGAAGTTCGTCTATTTTTCTCAATTCTACCGTTTCTATTCCATCTAAAAATTGGCATTTAGATTCTATCTCCATTCGGAACAAGATATCGGGTTTCAATCTTGGTCTAAGAAAGACCTTCAATGTGGCCGATTAAAGGACGTATCGGCTGTTCTCAATTAGCAAATGTTTTGCAACAAGGGCTCTTGTAATCACATACAATTTCAAGTTCTCTCTATCTGTCAAGTCTAGTTGAGTGTTGTCGACGACATGTGCTGTACGTGTGCCGTCCGCGTCAACAGTCTCAACAACTCCTGTATCGTTGACTTGATTATCCCTCTCAAGTTGATCTCTTCGTTTGTTCTCTTTATTGAGATAGACCCATAGTGTGACAATAGTCATGGCGGGGAGAATAGCGGCGACCTGGTAATGATGCTTAGCACTGGAGTCTGTCACCTCTGTAGGTGTAAGTAATGTACGCACAACAAGCAAAATAATCCAAGTTGGGCGATATCGTGGCTGGCAAGATTGTTAGCTTGGTAACATTCGAATTGTAGAATAGCGTTTAATAACCTTCCACTGCGGCTGAAACAATTGCGGCGATATGATGTTGCCTAACCCATATCCAATGTGATATAGCGCAATGACAGTCGTCTTTTTGGTGTGTCCCGCAGATGCGTTTGCTGCCCAGATCATAACAACGGCGTATGGAACTCCGACAGCAGACCGAATCCAAATTCCAGTCACAAGCCCCCACCTGTTGGACCATGGAAGAGCTTCGCTTGATTAGAAGATGAAAATACCGTCGTGCTTCGGTTAGACTTACCAAGTAGTAAGATACTTGAAAGAGCTCCTGGAATGTAGGCCACTAGTGAGATCCAAGCTCGACAGTTCTGCGATTTATTTAGCTATTTTCCAATCATGCATCTCTTAAACATTTCTAACCTTGGTATTGTATAATGCAATTGCAGCCAGAGAAAGAGAAACGAACCCAACGAGGCCAGTAACCATACCGAGGAGGGTTGTTTGTAAAACTGTGAACCCAAAGGAGTTGATGATCAATGAATACTGGTTTGTCACACCATTTGCCATCTCCTGGGACCAGGCATGGAGGAAGAAGAGCCATGTCTTTGGATCGCTGATGGCCTCTATGAACCTTCGTTGCGTTAGCCTATGCTCTATACCCTAAGATAAACCATGACATACTGATATTTCTTGAACCGCTTTTGCTCAATACCAGATTGATTTTCTTTGATCCGAACGATGACCTGAGCTCGCTCTTCTAGAGTAAGAAAGCGTGCATGCACGGGACTGTCCGGGAAGTACAAATAGACACAAGCCCCAAAAATGACTGTCACAACACCGGTGATGACTGGTGGCACAATGTCAACATTAGTTGGAACATTGCTTAGAAAGGCGCACTTACCCATGAACCATCTCCAAGGTGCAAATCCTGGGGTATCGATCCATAAGACACCATATGATAGAAGACCAGAAGTAATAGGGCTGGAGTTTCCAATAGACCACATAACTGGCATAATAACAGCTTGTTCGTGATAGGTGAAGAACATGGACATGATGAGTAGAAATGCTGGAACAATGCAAGCTTCCGCCAGCCCAAGTAAAAATCGTACGGCAAATAGTGACCCAAAGCTTTTGCATGGGATATGGAGAAGAATGATTCCGCCCCTGTTCTTAATTTTAGCGCTCTTGAGGAAATCGAATAAGCAATCACTTATACATACCAAATGACCAGATTTAATGAAAGCCATTTTGCTACTGGAAACCTCTGCAAAGCCCAATTCTGAGGCCACTCAGCGAGCAAATATCCAAAATAGAAAATGGACGAGAGCCAATTATACTCGTTTGAGCTTAGGTTGTTGTCTTCCATAATACCCAGAATGGCAGAACTTCCCAACTATACCGAAATTCATGATTAGCGTAGGCGAAAAGAGCTTGGGCGATAACAAAGACATACCGTCTGCTTATCGACATACATCAAATGGTACCCCAGACAAAGAAAGGGAATAACACGCCATAGGCATTTGTTCCTCAACTTCTTAGCTTCGTCTGGTGAAAGTTCTGTTGCGTTGACCTTTGAAAAGAGTTTGTAGCTCTCGTCAGCAAATTGTTCATCAACAGCCGCGCCTCGTCTGCTTTCGGCCAGTCCCTCGCCCGCGTCATCGCTCTCGTCTTCTGGCTGGCTGCTATAGGCTTTACCATCCTTAGGGATGCTGGAAGGCATGGTGGCTTAGGGAGCTGCGCGAAGTTGCTACTGTGAATCTGAGTATGCTGATAATTGAATCATCCGATCCAGATTCCGCCGGAAATGTAGTTTCGATAATCGTAAAAGCAGGTTAAGCTTGATTATTATTCAATATTATTTGTCTGGACATCCGATGTATTGCGTGATCAGTGTTCCATTGGACGTGATTATACGATGCCCGACTTTCATTATAAAGCTCCCCTATTGCGTGATTCGAACCCGGCTGATCGGCACTCTACTGTGAAAATTGCTTGTTATACCAAATCATATCGCATATAAAATGGAACTATGGATATGTAAATGCCTATTTATTGCGCATTAAAGATGGGAATCATGTGTTTCCATTTGCAAATGGGATTTTGCTATGCGTTCTATGAGGTACTATTTCCCAGGCCCAGAAGACCGACATCGGTCTCATGAGCACTGTAGCTATCATGACTATCTATAGTGGCTAGACCACCTCTGAATATAGTGGCTACGGCTTGATCAATACACTGACTACGGCTTGACCTACAAACCTGTTTCTGTCTTGCGACAGGCTGAGAGATCGCCACAAACCCGACCTGACCTCGCTGTGTATGATAGAGAACGGTCGATTCAGACCTAAAGCAGGCGCCATCTCTTCATTGGATTTACGGTGTCGACATTCATTTGTGGGACCCCTACAAATGTGTATGTCATGTACAAGCCTAATGTGCCGGTATCCGCGGGATCATCCCGACGCCGCTTGGCACCTCTTCTTGCATCGGTGGGCATCAGATTTCACCGTGCTGTTTATCTCAAAGTAGATGAAGTAAGCTGTGATTTCGGCTTACATGGCAACATCCCCACCACCCCATGAATAGGGCCCCTCTCGAATTCTTTTTGACACGTTGAGATCGTAACCGTGTGCCGGTAATTATCACTTTCCCTTTGGGGCAAATTTCTTTTTCTACACAAAGTGGTCGTCAATTTTAGCATATTGTGCATTAGGTCTGGATGACGCGGAAAGTGCAAGTATACTAGGGTATGGTGTGAAAAGACCTAAGCGCGATGTCGATAATTGCGCTGATAGCTCCCAAGTGTATATCTTTACATTAGTTTAACTAGATTGATGCTATCGGATATTCAGATTAAGCCAATATAAATGAAAGCAGAAGAAAACAGAAGATCATCACTAGATCTGAACACCAGTTCTCATACCTTCACACTGTCGAGTACTTCAGCTGTCCATTCCCAAAGCTTCTTTGCACCGTCCTCACTCAAAGCATCTTTGTCTTTCTCGTGATCTTTTAACACCCCGACAGGGTAGTAAAGGCCACCATTGACGAGCTGACTTTTCTCTGCGCCAGCTGCGACCCAGAGTTGACTCAAACGCCCTTGCTCAGGCTCGAGGAGCGTGACTCCCATAAAGTAATTGGACACATGCACCAAAGCCTTGTTTGCCCAGCCGAGACTATTGACAAGGTCTGTCTTGACAACGCCCGGATGGACAGACACTGAGGTAATCTTTGGATAGCGACGGGCGATCTCGGCAGCGTAAATAACATTGGCAAATTTACTCTGTCTGTAAATGCAATTGATCTTTTAGATCCAAGTGACGGAAAGGTAAGGGGTGAAGGAGGATACCTACCCATATCGGAACAGCCACGAGACTAAGCCTCCTGTGTCGGTTCTTACTTTATCGTACCGCACTCCTCCACTCGGATGACCCTTCCAGCCCTCTGAGGTTAAGGATACCACACGCACGTCGGAGCCTGGAATCTCTGCGGTCCGGACTAAGACAGGAAGTAGTTCACGGATAATCATGGCGTGTGCGAGATGATTGATGGCGAAATGAACCTCGAAACCATCCTTGCTGACTGCTGCTGGCACTGCCATGACGCCGGCATTGCAAATGAGTATGTCAAGCCTATCATGACTGAACTTGCTGACGCCGGCTTTGACAGATGCCAATGAAGTAAAGTCCATTTCTAGAAACGTAATAGAGGCACCGGGAGTTGCTGATTTTATTTCGTTGATTACCGATTCGGCTGATTTGCGACTGCGACCAGTAAAGTATATGTGCTGAGGATCATGTTTGGCAAGAGCTTGGATTGACTGTTTGCCCAAACCGGCGGTACCTAGGGAACGTATTAGGGGCGGAGTGTTCAGAATGAAACTGAAAGGGGATGTGCGGATGAGTAAGAGAGGAACTACCTCCGGTGACAAAGACGACTTTTCCTTCAAGGGAAGGGATTTCTTCTTCAGGATTGAAGTCAACGAAGCCAGCAAGGCGTACCATTATGGGCCAGGGTGATAGTTGAATCGTGGGATTTGAGAATTACGAGTGAGGGAAGAGAGTGAGCAAGGTGTGGTTGAAAAAAGGAAGTGGAGAGGATAGAATCTCATAATTCATCAGGGCAGCAAGTGCACATTAAATAGAAAGCCATATTCCGTCCGCAGGCCTCTTCTGATGGTCTTGAAGTACGGCAGCCAGAAACCTTATGTGATATCAAATGTAAGCAGCTTGCATTAGACCAAGTTAGTTCCGTAGCCGAGAACATCGAAATCTGTGACCAATCAAACGAGGCCTGCTCAGAGTAAGAAATCCTGATTAGTTCTTAGCGCGTAACGATCTTGCATAAGTGGGGATCACTTTGCCTGCCGGCTTAGACGATGCCATCATCCATTCTGCGGATTTAGGGGTTAATGTATAAGTTATCCCTGAATCCCGGATATTTGATTCAACCTAGTATTCAAGCCATTGATAATGATTACCTTAGCCTCTTATTCCTGTCTGCCTGCATGGAAGAGAAGCTCGCTGGACCAATCAAGGTGGAAAGTATGATGGGCATCCAGCGCTCCCGCTCCCCCCAGACAAACATTTCGCTCCATGCTTGACGACCAGCACTTCATTCACAAGATTTAATACATGAAGGTTATTGAACTGCAACAGCCTATCGCCATTAGAGATTAATGAAACGCAACACCTATACGAGAGAGCTAAGCATGGTTAGGCTAATAGATAGCGAAAGCGTGTTGTCATGGTAAGAGCCACAGACTACTGACAGATGCGGAAAAGAAAATGGTACGTGGCCGGTCTTCACTAGATAAGAGTCTTGGTTGCTGTCTGATATGACCACTTTTTGTGTCCTGGTGAGAATTCATGGTGGCAAATGCTAATACATGCACGTGAAGTGCGACCAGTTCTTACAAATATTGAACATTGATGTTCCAACCATTCATGCCCTTTTAGCTACACCAACACTTCTCGACATCGGAACTACCCTTCAACGCGAATCTATATCCAACTGACCTACACCAAACCTTGTTCTCAACCAGTTGAATGGTTACTTCTTTCCATAATGAGATTTATTGAATCCCTTTTCAACTGCTGCGATTTGCAGCGCAAGGGCCAGCGAGTACTGGCGGCACCACATGAAGCTTCCTGTCATGAACCAAAAGCCTGGCTGCCCCGTCGGACGCCACCACTGTAAGGTAGATATTAGCACTAAAGTCGTATCGTATACATGGAGTTCGAAAGAGACGATGGCGTGACATAAACATGACCCAAGAAATGGGGGCGGTGGGCATCTGTACTTACACCTGCTCTTTCATTCTCAGTATCCATGCGGCCGAAATTCGAGTCGAGTTTCTGGGCAACTTCGGAACCCAGTATCTTCTCGACTGTTTCCACATTGCTATGATAACCAGTGGCCAACACGATGATATCGGCCTTGACCTGGGAGCCATTTTCCAATATAATGGCATCTTGCTGGATTTCCTTTACACCCTTTTCACAGTTGTGGATTTTAATTCGCCCATCCATAACCATTTCGCTCGCCCCTTGATCCAGATAATATCTTCCTCCTGTTTAACTGCAGCGTTAGAATGCGATGTCTTTTCTCATCCGAGGTAGACAAGTCCTTACCGTAGATAAGCTGGTAATCGGCGAGCCCGTAGCCATCTTCACCCGTGTTTAGTACCATCCCCGCCTTCTTTAGGCCTTCTATCGTGTCCTTGTCCATCTCAGCCATTGCTTTCGTCATTCCGATACTCATGGTACGGATAACAGCTAGAGGAGTCGAGTTGCCGATCAGGTCAGCCTCCTCGGTTGTGAGTCCCTCCATTTTCCAAAGGAACAGCTGGATAGCTTCACATGACTCTGCGGAGAGGAAAAAGATAGGGTTGCGCTGGATCAAAGACACCGCCTTCGCTCCGTGGTTGACGAAGTCTTGTGCCACATCATGACCACTTGTACCCGGGCCAATGACTACCACGTTCTTCTGGTGCAGGTCTTGTACTGACTGAGCTGTACTATGTTGGCTCGAGTGATAGATCCGGCCTTGGAATTGCTCTTGGCCTGGGAAGCTTGGAACGATGGGCCTGTCACTGAAGACACCTGTAGCAAGGACCACATGGCGAGGGTGTAGAGTCATGGTCCAACCATCGCGCTGGATAATGACCTTGTATCTTCTCTCTGATTCGCTGTATACTGCGCTGACCACATTCGCACTCGTTAGAACGTCAAGGCCCATCATCTCCTGGTAGTGTTCCCAGAAGCTGGCCACTTGGGCACCAGACAGCCAACGAGGCCAGGTTTCAGGAATCTTCATGAATGGCGGATGGTCTGTGTACGTAGGCGTGTTCAGTCTGACCGAGAGATACCGCTTTCTCCAGACATCGCCCACGCGAGCATGCCTCTCCGCGATGACCGTTTTGATGCCCATATGATGAAGGCGAGCACCGAGGGAAAGTCCTGCTTGACCCGCCCCGACGATCAAAACCTGCAGATCCTCGCGTGAAGCTGAAGACTCCTGGGTTCCTGGACCATTGGGCAAAGAATTGTTCTTGCTTCGTGAAGCGGGATGCTGTTGTCGCTTTACTTCGATTTCCTTCTGGAAGTCCAGCTTCTCCAGCTGTGTGAAAACGGTCCATGCTTTCCACTCATTTCCTTCAACATTCAACAACTTGACTAAGCCTGTCCCTGAACCGAAAGATGTTTTGAAATTGAAGGCACTTTGGACCCATATCATCCCAGGAACTTCAATCATAAAAGGCTTGATTCCGCCGGACCGCGAGGTTTTGATTTCGGATAGTGTGTTGGGTGCTGAAGATAAATATTCTGCAATGCTTTCTTTGCCGCGCTTGGAGGAGAAATTCCAATGGAGGCCGACAATATCCCTCCACCAGCAATCATCGATGAAAAGGTGGTCAAGATTGCCGGTGAAGGATCTGGACTCAAACACTTGGTTGAGCTTAGAAAGCCAGCCCTCTATTATCGCCTCGGCATCGATATCTTCCTTTTTCACACCAGGCTGGAGGATGTGAGGGGGAATCTCTGGGAGAGTGAAGCCATCCATGATGTTTGGAATAGAGGAAATCGGGTGATGATCATTTGGTACAAATTTTTCTGTGTAGGTAACATTGTGCGCTACTTTATATATGTAACAGCAGGTTTCTTTCCATGCGTCGGCAATGCGCGCTTTTCCCTACTGCTCAATCCCTGATTGTGTCCAACTACGCCGGCTGCATGTGCTTGACCAGTAGAATGCCGAGATCGTCCGTATTGCAAGACTATCATCACCATCTTTGGGCTTACCCGCATTGAATGTGACAGACTATCCCTGCCCTATGTCAATCAAGCAGTCACTGCCGTCATGGTCCATACTACTAACTTCTCTTTTGGATTAAACTGGCTCCGTTTCACACTCCAGCCGACGAATCATGCTGTTCAAATGCGGTCAGCTTGAAAATTCATTATCAATCTAATCTGATCCGTCAGGATCATCCACCAGCTCCACGCCCCTTGCTCCTTGCAGTAAGCTTCTGTTTAGGCTCAAGCGCTTTTTTATTACTGTTCTCCTCGTGCCGTCACATAAAGAAAAGGCCTGAATTAATATTTTTACTTCTCTGCCGGTTTGGGAAAATAGTCACAATAATCTTGACACACGGTCTCGGTGATTCATCTTCGTGATGCTGGTGATTTCTCATTCACCTTGTTAGGACTTCTATCACGTCCTGTGCCCTCCGAAGAGAGACAAAGCCCTCGGCTCATTTCCCCCTTCGTCATCGTGCATCCGTAGGCACTGAGGCTAGCGCCACCAAACTACATACTCGATGTAACACAGGAGCTAGGGCTGTTTGCGGGTATTTCCAACTTGCGTGATATTTGTTTGGTGTCGTTGGTAATATTGGGACTTTGGGTCTGGCTATTCCTGTGATTTCTGGCCCTCGTCATAGTGGCCAACGGTCCGCCTTAAGCTCGTGGAATCGAGAAATGAGAAGCATATGCATTTGTGAGCCAAATAACAAACTTTCCATCAAGGGCAAGACACAGAAGACTCGCGTCGATGCCGCGGGAAGCATGATCATCTGAACTCGTGTTGAACATCCGCGACGGGTGTCAGCCCATCAGTTCGGAGCCAGAAAAGGAAGGTTACTTCGCCGAGGAGGGTATTCGGAGCCTATCGGATACTATCATCATTCCAAACTGTTCCTCAAAATATTAAAGCCCTGAGCAGGGGATATAGCAAGAAGACGACAGTACTCCAACCATTGTTTTGATCTTGGCAGGGAAATGACTGCTACATATAACTTACACTATGATTATTATTAAAGCCACCTTCGGCGATAGGGAAAATTGTTGTTGACTCCCATTCTTCTGTCATACAGAGAGTATAATCTACGGTTTGGATCTAGTTAAGACGAATTAATGGTAGGATCTTTGGTTTGGACAAGTTTACCTATCGACGACCAATCTGTTTACGAAGCTGTAGAATGCAGACGATGACGAGCCCTGACAAATGTTTTACTACAGACGAAGGGCATTTTTAACATCAAATTAATTAAGGAGCAGGGCACGTATCTTCCCATCATCCTCTGAGCGGGAGCAATTAGTAGCTGTGGATAGAAATCCTATTGCACAACAGACGAATGTTATGGTACACATTGGAAATGGTGACAGGGATGGCCAACCCCTTACCTGCTGCCCTGGACATACCGTTGAATATCAACATCGGTAGGACTAGTTGAGGTTGCACCCCCTTCACCTGAAGCCTAACTTGTTCCCTTTGCTGTCTGAGACATTCTTTTGTTTCTGATTTGAATATCACAAGTAGCGCCGAAATAAGGAGGTCAAACCACTCGATAAGAGGGAGTCCAGCAAGTGGACGACATTGAAATTGAGACACAGTAACAACATAGCAAGCTGCTTGCCTTCGAGCCTGCGACCGGTGCTATCAGATTATCAAATGCATTATTCTTTCCCTGAGCAGATTGATCAGTGGATTGAAGCCTCCAGAAACTATAGAATCAAAGTTTCAACTAACCTAGAGTGGGGCTTCTTCATAACACGAAAAAAACCGCCAACCGCCAACTTTCAATTCCGAGTCTTGCAATCATATCTGCTTAGACCTCAATCGATCAAATAAGAGCGACTACTATCCTCATGCTCCTATGATGGACTGGGCCCCTTGCTCCCGATGCGATCGGTACTTCAACTCTCCATCGGCGATGGAGCAACACATCCGGGACTCGCCCAAGCACAACCTCTGTGGCGCCTGCAATGACGACTTCGAACTGAGGGAAGACCTGGAAGAACACTGCGAATATTGGCATGATTACTGTAGAGATGACAACCGATTCTTTGACAGTGCCGAAGACCTCGATCAGCATGACGTATTACAGCACGGCATGTGCATCATCTGTGGAAGATATTTCTTTTGATGTTGCAAGATTGACTAAGAGAAAATCATTAACATAAACTGACGCACATGGATAAAACAATTGGCTGCCGTGGCTGCGAACGCGACTTCGTAACGCACTTTGCCATGCTTCTGCATTTGGAGGAGGGCACTTGTATCTCCGGCGTCGATCAAGGGAGGGTTACCGAGCTCGCGTTTCAGTGTCGTCTCTCACAGTACTATGCAAGTAGCAAGCATGGCTTTGATTTTGAATGCCCGAGCTGTAATGTGCCGTTTTCCTATATGAGTGGCCTTTTCCAACACGTACAAAGCGAAGCATGTGACGAAGAATCGGATAAACACAGCCCTTTAAGAGCCTTTCTTCGATTCCTTAGACGGCGTGTATAATCCGGAGGTTATCCTGTGATGGGAGCTGATCCAAACCTAGGACCATGATTTGGGATGTACCTATATAAAGGTGACTGGCCGCTCATGGTTTGCGACGTCAAACGATCTCTAGCATTTCTGATATCGGTAACAAAACTACCTATTTCTTCACCAATGACAGCACGTACACAAAATTTATTTGATTCAAACTTAGATGTCAGCTAGCAGATAGAAATAAAATAATAACCGGCGACATAAGTTCCTAGTACCTATAGCTGAAATGGCTCCCGACTGCTCTGCATTAGTTTAGCCAGGACTCGTGAGAGTGAGCTCGAGCAGCCTCATTTGCTCTCTTCTTAATCTCAGTGAGCATGCTACGTTTCTGAACCCACTCGGTTCCATTGGAACGGAGCTTTTGTGTGGCCGCTGTCAGATCGAGACCGAGAGACTTGGCCACGTACTGAGGAAGCTCGGTATTGTCACGGAATCCACCAATCTCCTTGCGCAGCTCTGCTTGGGATTCACCTGCATACCCGTGAAGGACAACGTCGGCAGCAGAATGCCCACCAGTAGACCAGTTGATGCCGGCCTCGGCCGCGAAGCGTTCGACCAAGTCTCTTCCCACGGCCTCTGAGCCACTGGAGGCATGCTTCCTGACCAAACTTTCGACAGTCTCGTCGGTATACTTGGAAAGACCCATCCCGGGGAGGATTGTATCACGGAGAAGGCTAGCAGGATCATTTCCGTTGTATGCTTCCAAAGCGCGGGCAGCCCTCTCACCAGAAGACTGCCCCTTTGCCAAGGATGTGGGGTCGTAGCCATCAATGAGGGTCAAGCCACCGCACTCGTGATCGGCGGCAGAAAGGATCTGCGTATCGGGATGCGCATCAACGTATTCCTTGAGGTAATGCATCACCTCGTTGAAAACAAGAATCTCGTGCAGGTGGCTGGTGGCATCATTAGAATGAGCCGCATGATCGATACGAGAGGCCTCGACCATGAGAAAGTATCCCTTGTCAGAGTCCTTCACAGCATCCTCGAGAGTATCGACGGCCGCCTTTGTGGTCTCGAGCAGGGACGGTTCCTTTTCGATGTCACGATCGACTTCGTAGGTCAGGTGGCTGGATGTGAAGAGGCCTAGGAATGGCAGAGGCAGCTTTCCCTCCGTTTGCACCTCGGTAAAATCCGATTTATCGGCGGCGTAGGTGTATCCCTTCTCAATAGCCCAATTAATGAGATTCACACCGTCTTCACGTGCACCACCCTCAGAAGTGGGCAGGTATTGCTGGCGACCGCCGCCAATGAGGATATCTACGAAGCGACCAAATGGGTGCGCCTTTCCAATCTGCTGCGCGGCAATCTCATTCTCAGAGTCTCGGTGAAGGACATGCGCAGAGTACACAGCTGGAGTAGCATGAGTGATGCGAGATGTAACAACAAGGCCGGTCTTCAATCCATCCAGATAGGCTGCTTCAAGGACAGACGCCACCGGCAGACCATCGTCATTTACAGAAATGGCTGTTTAGATAGATTAGCGGACCATTTTGACCAGTTTGAAAATAACTCAAAGTAGAATTTATCACGAACCTCCATTGTAGGTCTTGATACCGGCGGCAAATGCAGTACCGGATGCAGCCGAATCTGTAACAAGGTTGTCAGAAGCCTGCGTCTTGACCGACCCAATGACCTACTCAACCAGTCTGAATTAGCAAGCAAAGTTTTTTGACAGGGGATACTCCCCCGCAGGAGAATAATGCTTCTTTTCGTACAATGTTGTCTACGCCGAGAGCTGCAGTGTTTGGTCGAGCAACTGTGCCTTCTCCGTTGGTAATACTGTAGAAATCGCGGGCAAGAACTTGTGAGGAGATGCCGTATCCATCAGGCACGATATAGATGAAGTTCTTCGTCTTCACCGCGGCGGCGGTCTTGACCAACGCGCAAGCAAAGGCTAGAGCAAAACCTTGGCAATACATCTTCGGCCACAGATGATGACAAAACACACTTCTCACACCGGTAAAGAAGATGGTTCGAGTCAAGAGAAATAAGAAGGCCGCGGTTCGTGCACGAGATATATAGGCTGCTTACCCCCGCAGGGATCGTCAAGCTTACAAGGAAACTTAACTTTGAGCTGCCAAAAGGAGTAGGAGCTTGCGTAGTTGTACTGTAGGTAGCCAAGGTCCATGCATTAGAGACATCTCACCTTCCTCTCTAGATCATAGTACTTTGTGCTCAGAAGGTGAGAACATCCACAGCCCGATTTTCAGTGTCGCACCGCATTGTTTAATAACTGAGACCCTTGACTCCCCATTTTTTTATGTTGCGGGCACGAATGGATGCCGATTGCATATGGCCATTATCCCTCAGGTATTTCACATGCCTGCACGGCAGATGAGGTAAAGTTCTTTCTTCGTCTGTTACGTAGCCATACGCGACAGCACGTGTCATATTCCATCGCCGTCAGCTACTCAGGTCAAAGGAGAGTTATGGTACCTTGCATGCTAATGAAGCGACCACGGCCAGGGGTTAATAGGGAGGCTCGCCAGTTTCTAGTTCATGTTCTCGGCTTAAAGCTATGCCAATTTTTGTGATGGCCATTTGGTGTACCGAAACCCAAATGCTCCTCACGCTATATCGTTTTGATTGCACGGGGAGACCATCCAATCTTCTGTCCTTTTTGGACTTTCTCTTGTGACTTCCCCGCCTAACCGTATGACCCCTCATCTTTGAGCCAATTGTAGTATATCAATAAATAGGCGCGACCAAATGGACTAACAAGGCGGGTTCATGGTCGAAGCTGTCAATACTCACGAATGAATTGGCGTAGCAGTCTGAAGATCTGTATAAAACAGCCACAGCAGATTTGAGTAGTGTAGTGCAGAACGTATTCAACGTTGTTCCAGCAGCACTATCACTGATAATCGCGGCACTGCCTCTTGATCTTGATTTTTCCATGGCCTAGGAATATTGGCAGACTATTCTGCTCAAATATGTTCCACCTCGCTGAAAAAATGGCACGGATAGTTTGGTCATACATTTCCGGCACAATCGCCGGAAACGGCGGGAACTACTCATTACGTGATATCTTCCCGGTGGAAGATGAGCTTACTTCCAATTGCGAGATCGGAAGTATCAGCCGATACTCGCACCGACAGAATAATGAGGGTGTATTTAATCTTGATCTCATGTGCGTATTTGCTTCGTCTCGAGGAACGTAATTCGACGCTCTAGAATTGGGCAATCCTATCCAATAACTAGTTCAACTTCATGACAAGAGTTCATCATGGCACCACCACTCTCCCAACGGTTACATCTTTTTCTACATCCTAGAAACAATTCAAATCTTTTAAGCCGCCCGTCACGCACTCTACGGTCGCTTGAGAGATCAATTGATGGGCTTTCTCCCTGGTATCAGGTTATTGTTGGATTCTTCGTCAACTTTATGACATGGGGTATGCCCAACGCGTACGGCGTATTCCAACTGTATTACTCTCAGACCACGGGCTGGTCTTCGTCTCAGATCTCGTGGGTGGGCTCGATCCAGCTATTCCTGGCTTTTGTTGGCGGCTCCGTGTCCGGAAGGTTGGCAGATGCTGGGTATGCTCGGCATTGCATCTTGCTCGGATCTACTCTGAACATCATAGGAATCATGACAGCGAGTGTTGCTTCCGCCTACTGGCAAGTGATCTTATCACTCGGTGTCTGTGTCGGTCTAGGCGGCGGTATGATGGCCCTGCCTGCTGCCGCTGCTATCGGATCTCGCCTGCGACATAGACGAGCGCTGGCCATGAGCTTGTCGGGATGTGGTGCAAGTATCGGTGCCATCTCTTATGCTGCGACTGTTCAGTATCTAATCCCTGTTATTGGCTTTCCCTGGGCTGTTCGATGCTGCGGGCTTCTTTCCATCATAGCCTCGATCACGGCAAATGCGCTTGCTCGGCCACCATTGTATACCAGGAAATCCGGCGGCCTAATTGACTGGTCTGCATTTGAGAGTGGCTTTTTTGGGATGTTCTGTCTTGGCGGTTTCTTGGTGTATTTCTCTCTCTTTGCAGCTACCATCTACGTAAGTGTCCTGACCCAGTGCATCACGAAAACATAACGCGAGTGCTATCTACTGATACGTCCGAAGATTAACTCATTTGCCTCAAACACACTCGGGTTTGAGGCCAGCAAGTCAATTCAATTCTTGCTTATCTCCAACGCTGCCTCCATTCTCGCCCGGCCGATGTCGGGGATGATTGCCGATCATGTTTTCGGGGAAGTGAACACCTGGAACCTGGTTTGTTTCCTCCTGTCAGGCATGCTATTTGCGTGGATCGGCGTCCGTACCCAACCTGCCATGTACGCGTACTCCGTTTTGATGGGGTTTTTGAACGGGGCAGCGCAAGGTATCTTCCCGAGCGCTGTCAATAGTCTCAGTATCGGCACAGACAAGCTGGGCACCCGCCTGGGCATGGTTTTTGGTCTTTGCGGGGTGGCCAGTCTGGCAGGGCCCCCGACGATGGGTGCTATAATTGATGCTAATAAAGGACAGTATTTATGGGCACAGGTCTGCGGAGGGACATTGATGTGTGTTGGATGCTTGACCGTTGGTAGTGCAAGATTGTTTTTCGCCCGAACGCGTCTGAGAGATGAGATCGGTCTCTAGATTCCCCCTAGTCTCAGCTCATCCCAGAGACTTGCAGCGGAATCAACATCCCAGAATTATGCAGGTTCAGCCACAGCCACTCCCGCAGCAAAGTAGTGGCCGTTCAGAAAGTCATGTTCGGAATTACGTTCCCGTCGCCTCTTACACCTTGCTGAGCACCTCAAGCACAAAATATATCAAAACATGATTTCACAGACCCACTTGCAGGGATTTATGGCTATGTAGTCGTCTTTTCTCCATCCGATAGTGCTCATTGTGGTTATAGACAAGAAGGAGGATGGTGTCTTCCAAACAGTTCTTCAGAAGTATAAATCCCGAGACCCTTCTACCTATAAGGTCTGGGATGGAGTTTGTGAAGTTTCATTCTTCAGTCAACCAATTTATCGTTTTCCGATGACAATCGTTAACGAATACAAGACTGCCCGGGTCCTATAGGCCGGCTTTCAAATTGCCAAAGGTAATGCTCTTCGTAATCTGATATTCTTCCAGTCCATATAAACTGCCTTCCTTTCCATACCCACTCTCCTTGACACCACCAAAAGGTGCCTCGGCTGCGCTGATTTTGCCCGTGTTAACGCCCACCATGCCAACCTGCAGCTTGTGCGCTACCCGCATTGCGCGACTAACATCGCGAGAAAAGAAGTATCCGGCAAGGCCAAACTCGGTGTCATTCGAGAGTGTGACAGCATCATCTTCTGTGTCGAACTCAAAGATGGGGGCCAAGGGGCCGAACGTCTCATCTCGAGCGACAGCCATATCTTTAGTGACACCTGAGAGGATCGTGGGTTGAAAGAAGTAACCATTCGAGTCTTGTCGGGCACTTCCTCCCAGCTCTACCTTGGCACCTTTGCTGACCGCGTCATCAACGTGTTCTTGTACCTTTTTGACCGCAGCCTTGTTCACGAGAGGACCTTGTGTAGACGAATCATCAAGGCCAGGGCCCATTTTCAGCGCTGATACTTTCTCTATCAGCTTGGTGGTGAATTCCTTGGCGACATTTCTCTGTACGTAGATTCGGTTGGCGCAGACACAAGTCTGCCCTGAGCAGCGGAACTTGCAGAACATGGCACCTTCCACCGCTAGGTCGAGATCTGCATCATCAAAGACAATGAATGGGGCATTGCCACCTAGTTCCAGGCTCACCTTTTTCAGCGTGCCAGATGCTAGCCGAGCGAGCATTTTCCCGACCCCTGTCGAGCCAGTAAACGAAATCTTTTTAACAAGCGGATTTGTAGCTAACTCCGTTGCTGCGTCACGATCTTTAGTAGGACAAACTTGTATGAGCTCCGGTGCAAAACCAGCTTCAACAGCTAGCTTGGTCAAGGCAAGACAAGTATAAGGAGTCTCGCTAGGGGGCTTGATGACAACGGAACACCCAGCAGCAAGCGCGGGCGCAACCTTCCTGGTGATCATGGCCGCGGGGAAATTCCACGGAGTAATGATGCCACAAACTCCAACAGGCTCTCGAACCGTAAGTAAGGTAGTATCCGGTGTTGAGGATGGAATGGTAACACCGTACGACCTTGTGGCCTCCTCAGCGAACCAGGCGATGAAGCTTGCGGCGTACACAACTTCGCCTTTAGCTTCAGAAAACGTCTTGCCATTTTCCAGTGATAAGATGGTTCCAACTGTTTGTCTTTAGTTCCTGAGGACTTCTTACACGATGGAACGGTTACCTACTGTCTTCTGCATTGGCCATGATCAAGTCGTGCCACTTCCTTAACAGAGCGCCTCGGCTTTTCCCTGTGGTATTCTGGAAGTAGGTTGGCTGTGCCTTTGCAGCACTTTCAACCGCTTTTTGAATATCTTCTCGATTACAGTTTGCCACACGGCCAAGAACGGTCGAAGTAGATGGCTCTTTTTGTAGTTAGTACCTGTAACGCACGTCTCAACTCCTGCAAAACACACCGTAGACATCAAATGTGGCATCCTTGGCTGTCCACTTCCCCTCTATAAAAGCATCTTTGATGAAGAGATTGCCGTCGCGAAGCTACAATTTGTTAGAGATCAACGATGAAAAGAGCCACAAATTGGTATTTCACGCTCACACTTGCGACGGCAGTTTGGTGGTACGATTCGGACATATTAGAGATGAAAATTGTAGAATAAACGGCTGTATAGAAACTCAGAAAGTGTCTTTTCTCGACTAATCTGCGTCATCATTAACTTGATAAGAAAGAGCCTATATGCTAGTAATGTCGGATTTCCAAAGCCGGAGCTGTGGGTTCGGCCCCCGGATTTTAGGACCGGGGGAAATCACGGATTTGAAGTCATGAATCGTTGTTTGGAGGCGGAATATCATTGCCTACATCGATTTTTCATGTAATTAGTAATATGGGATTTTATTCCAAGCTCCACATTCATTGAAGCCGCTCAGCACCACCGGTAACCAGCGGTGTCGCACACCAACGGAGCAACCCCCGATACTGACTTTCCCGACGCCCACTGTCAAGGTCATCGAGAATAAGCCACTACGAATTGTAACGGCCGGGTCACTTGTACGTAATATTGGTTATATCATGATGGAACTATCTAGGTATCTGAACTGGTTGCAACTACTGAGTCGAGTCGTTAATGTCGATGTACCGCAAAGAAGGGCTGTTGATGAAATCTAATGTGGCCAAAAGGATCGGAATCATCATTTTCACACAAGCACAATACTGTTAAATGTAGCAAGCAAGCCTTTGGTAACTTAAGAATAAAAGAGACGAATTCAATTTAGAATGTGCAACTTAGTTCCATTATCAATAATACAAATTCTCCCCATCAAATAATGATCATATTTGTCCAAGTCAAAACTTCAGAGCCACACGTATTTCACAAAGCTGATTTTTTGAATGTCAGCTAGACGGACAGAGTCTTTCTCGCTATATCCACCACATTGGAAGCATGCTCGATAAGAGACGTGGCCGAGAGATGTTTAGAATACCAAGCAAAAGCTACAAACCCTGCAAGAGCTAGTTTGGTGGTGGTAGAAGCATTCCTTAGGTTTCGCAACATGGTGTATATCGGCCAGAAGGGATTTTTACCCGACATGTGGAATGCTGACCAGTCAGGGAAGAGTGTTGCCATCCAGTATGTAGCGGCCTTGCCTGGCCAAGAAGCAGCGTTGCGGCCGAATTTACCAATATACCAGTTAGAGCAGTCGCCAGCGAAGACTGTGGCTCCAAGCTGCTCATGGATGGCATTGGTGGTGCGATCCTCTGCAGACTGTTTGACTTCAATCACAGTTGCGCGATGATCGATGAGAGGCTCAAACAGGGACTTTATAGTATAGTTAACCTGGGTCTCGCAAGCAAACAAAGCGGAATTGTTGGCTGGGAATACATTTGGGCCGAAAATGATTGCCATGTTGGGGAAGTTGTGAACGTGTGTGCCGAGATAAGCCTGAGCTCCACGGCATTCCTTCCATTGTTCATGAAGACTAACGCCCGTAGAGCCGACAATCTCCATGGAGCTGAGGAACTCCGACACCTTGAAACCAGTGGCGAGGACGATGATATCATAGTCGTCCTTAACGCCGGAACTGCTAATGATCCCAGTCTCTGTCATCTCCTGGATACCCTCAGGCAACAGCTGAACATTGGGCAAATTCAGACTATCGAGATATCCCGGGTCAAAAACTCGGCGTTTGCATCCCAATGGGAAATTAGGGATGAGGGCCTTGCTGTACTTCTCGGACACCTTTGACCGAATGTACTTCTTGGACTCGGCCTCAACTCGAGCCCTCTCTTTGAGTCCCTCCGGAGTGGAGAAGTATGTCTTGGTCTCCTCATCTGCATCAAGAAAGATCTTTAGTCGAACATAACGCTGATAGAGCGGAATCCAGCGAAACGCAAACTTGTCCAAAGCATTGTAGTTCCGATTGGGCCGGTCGTGAAACCACTGACCGCTGCGCGCATACTGTTTGATAAATGCGGCATCCTTAGCCATGGCTGGAACCACTTGAGCTGCACTGCACCCGTTGCCAATGATGGCGACGCGCTTGCCTTTCCATGAGACGCTGTGGTCCCATCGAGCAGTGTGGATGATGGGACCATGGAAAAGCTCCATTCCGGGAAATGTTACATCTCGAGGGGCAGAGAAAGCGCCAACCGCCGAGACAAAGACGGAAGCTAGGCGAGTATATTCAATCCCAGTTTTGAGGTCTTTCAGTTTCACTTCCCACTTTGCCAGATCTGGCTTCCAAGTGGCACCATAGCAGTCAATGGATGTATGAATGTGTTGGCGTAGGTCAAATTTGTCTACTGTGTCTTCCATGTCTAAATTTTGTCAGTAATAGTTCAAAGGTATGCTGAAATCAATGCGCTTGGATGAAGCCGGCGAGACTGCTTACATTGTAAAATCTCAGGTTGCTCGCAAAGTTCCTTTGACCAGTCGGGGTTCTGATTGAAACTGAAGGAATAAAGGTGGGATTTGAGATCACAACCACTGTGAATATGTAAGTATCAAAACGATCCCTAATTAACGTATCACGCCGACAAACTTACCATCCTGGATAGGAATTGACCCTCCAAGTACCTCCAGGGCCTTCCATCCGATCGTAAATCGTGAAATCGTGAAACCCAAGATCATGCTTCAAGCGATAGGCCATAGCAATGCCTGCTGGGCCGGCGCCGATGATGATCGCATTGAGTTCCTTGGTATATTCGGTCATTTTTCTTGCCGTATACTTGGTTATTGATGGCAATGATACAATATCTCGGAGATGTGCAGAAGGTTCAGATATTGTATACCATCCGCAATATGGCCCATTTAGTTCTTAAACATAAGGAGATTACCTGTATCTAAGGTTTCTCGAATTTAGTATCCGCGAGAGCAATTTGACCGAACTTCCATAATTCCGTGAGTATTCCCACCTTTTCCAGTCTCTTTCTCTACCATGGTACCCCTCGAATCCGATGACCATGGAACTCTCGGTCCCACGTATCGGACAGAGAAGATTCGGAAACAAATTCCGGCATTCAGTATCCGCATCAGCGAAACCGCTCGTACCCACAATACATTCCTGCTTTTTGCTTCCAAGTCATATGGGAGGTTTTTATTGAAGCTGGTTCTGATTTCATCGGAGTTTGAGAGAGTTCTAGGAGCAATTACGATGGTGATCCGGGCCAACTTTTGTATAAGATGGTATTACGTTACTGCGCCTAGCCATCGCATTCCAAAATTGCTTCCACCGTGCACTGTAAAGATTAAAGATTTCCCCTCCAATTTTTCATCTTTATGTGCTCCAATTTTGCAAAAGGTATTCACTCTCGGCTTTTCGTGGCTTGTTCACATAGAGAAAAGGTCCAGACAGCAGCAAAGGGCAAGGATGACGAGGGAGCGTTGGTTATAAAGAGCGTGGTACCTTTTCGTACTAAGATTTCAAGATAATTTTCAACGCATATTAGCGCTACAATTCCAAGAAACGCGGTCCAAAGGTTAACTGCGAATATCCGCTGTCGTATGTCTGTTTTGGTTGGAATGCTGTATATTTTCATCATTTTGTGTTGTGGAGATTAGGGTATATAGGTCCCACAATAGCCTCAACCATCACATACGACCATACCCATTCGAAAACACGCGATCCCGTCCGCTCTCGCCTAGTTAAACGGATGAGGGGCGGATTAGTAGTTGGGTCGGTGACGACCAGCGAATACCTGCTGTTGTATGTTTTTCTTTTTAGCTTTTTTGTCCTCTATTTTAGGTGCTGCGGCAATGGACACTAATTTGAGATAACTATGTTACTATTGAAATAAATTTTTTTCCTAGCATATCTCGCTGAGACACTAAGTCTAGTTACTATCTAGTAGTAGATCTTTTCCTAGCTTCAATTCATGATTTAGAGGGACTTCAAGTACATTAGAAACTAGGAAACTACATCTAGATTGCTATGTAATATTTAGGTGCATCCTGAGGCAACATTACTATATTACAATGGCCAAGAAAAAGTGCACAACAAACCCAAAAGCAACTTTCCTCGAACAAAACTAAGTTGTTTTCACTTGGTAGTATTTTACAATCAAGTGAGATTTCTAGATTTGCCTCCATCCATCAGTGCGAGCATTTTCGCCATTCAGACTCTTCAAATAGGCACGCACTCGACTCTCAATGCCCTTCTCATCAAGGCCGAATCGATCATAGTTGCTGGCGTTAGATGCCGAGTAGCCGTAACCTGTCATACCAGCACTTGCCGTGACGTACTTGGCCCATGTGGACGCCACATACTCCTCCACGCTCACAATCGGCGTGCCATCTCGAGGAAAGATACTCTTCTTGTATGCCTCGTCCTGTCTATCAAAGTGTTCAAAGCTGGGACAGCTGATGACTCTTGTAGGTATGCCAGACGCCGTCAGAGACTCAGCAGCTCTGACCGCGTAGTGAAGATTAGTGCCACAGCTAGCCAGCGTAAGCTTCGGGTCTTTCTCGTCCTTGACGATATATGCACCTTTAGCGACGCTGAAGCGATCAGTCCCCACTACCGTGGTTGTAGGGTCTCGGCCTAGCGACAACATAGTTGGGCCATCTTTTTTAGCCATGGCAAGCAGCCAAGCCCCAATGACCTCCTCGCCGTCACAGGGTCGGATAAATGTCAAGTTGGGCATAGAACGGTACAGTGAATCCACCTCGACAGGCTGGTGAGTTGGTCCGTTTTGTCCTTCGGCAAAGGAGTCATGAGTTGCAATGTGTATTGTAGGAAGTTGGCTCAAGGCTCCCATTCGAACCCCAGGCGCAGCCTGACAAAAGAGTCGTTAGCTACAAATGGACAGTGATGCGAATTCTTGAGCATACTTACGTAAAGAAAGAAAATCAAGAAAGTAGCCGTGATTGGAAGAAATGTGCCGGGGTTATAAGCAGCAATACCGTTAGATATCGATGCCATGGCGTGCTCCCGGATGCCATAACGAATATATCGCCCTTTGTAACTGACGCTTGGGTGGAAGACATCGGAGTCTGAATAGGCCACCTTATTAGAGTTAATAAGATCCGCCCCGCCCCCTACCAATCCTCCGTACGCCTCCCAGAGTTTTGATAAGATGGTGCCGTTGGCGTCCCGTGTTGCTTGGCCGTGGAACTGCTGGCTGTCCAGATTGTCCAGAATCTCTTTCCATTGAGAGCCATAATCACCAGCACGTGTCCTTGCAAAGTCAATGGCTAAGTCTGGGAAGCTCTTTGCATAGGAACCCAATAAAGCGTTCCACTTCCTTTCAAGTTGTTCTCCATGTACCTTTCGCTCGCGAAAGTAGGCCAGGACATCGTTAGGCACCTCATGCGTCACATCCGGGTCTTGACCAGCCAAGATCTTTGACCTCCGAACACTTTCCTTGTCAAATGCCCCATGGTGAGCCTTGTGACTGCCTGCAATCTGAGTACCGAGGCCAATTACTGTTCGGATATTGATAAATGTCGGCCTGTCCTTGATGTTTTTAGCCATGTTGAGGGCCGAAACAACACTTTGCACATCGTAACTCCCGTCAGGGATTTCGAGCACGTGCCAGCCCGATGCTCTCATCTTTGTGTTCACATCTTCCGTGTTGATCCAGTCAAGGGGCCCGTCACAGGTAATTTGGTTGTTGTCGTAGAGCAAGACGAGATTGTCGAGTTTCAAGCTTCCTGCTAGAGAAATAGCCTCAAGAGCGACCCCTTCCATCAGGCAGCCATCGCCTGAAATACAGTAAATACGAGATTGAACTAATTCCTGCCCCCCACGGTTGTAGCGGGCAGCAAGATTCTTAGACGCGATGGCAAGACCAACGGCATTAGCAATGCCTTGACCCAGCGGCCCTGTCGTGACTTCAATGCCAGGATCCTCACGCTCTGGGTGGGCATGCGCCAGAGTTGTAAAACCATTGAGCTTTGGGCTTCCGTATCCTTTGATCTCGTCCATTGACCATGCGTCAAACCCAGTCAGGTGGTTCAGGGCATATAAGAACATTGCAGCATGGCCTTTTAAACAAGTCAGTTTTTCGATTACGGATCAAATTATTTGCTATTTCCCATCTTGGAAATGTAATTTTTGAGACAGTGTGCAAGAACTGACCGTTGGATAGAACGAACCGATCCCGATCAAACCAGTCGGGGTTTGACGGATTATATCGCATCGCATACTTGTATATAGCCACTCCGATGGCAGCCATGCCAATGGCAGAACCTCCATGGCCCCCTCCATTTTGCGCGCAGATATCAAACAATAGATTTCGAAGAGCTAGCACCGCGCGGTCATCAGAGCTCAGCTTAGAAGCACCATTGGTTACTGCACACTCCATCGTCGTCATGATCGTCAATCCTAGGCTTATCGGTAATAATGAAGATTGAATTGACTGAAAGTGTTTGGGACTTCTAGCTATATTTACAGAAGACTGATTCTCCATTTGGACCTCCGATCCCTCCGAAGCCCGAGGTCACTCTAATAAGCCCGCTATGAAACCTATTCGAATAACGTATGAAATCCGAAGCCCAACTTTTCGCCCAATTTGTGTGTCATGATGCTAAGGAGACTCTCCACGTGACTTCAAGAGATCGTCCCGCAGCCACCCAGGTCGAGGAACTACGGGATTACAATTCCGTGAAGCTCCACCCTGAATCATTGCAATGGATACTTCCGGCTGGTAGACCAAAGCAAGTCAACCCACAGTTCCACGCATCGTCCCAGATTCAGTGGTCGCAAATGCTGGGCGTAGAGGAAATCGAAGCTTTCTGTCCGAAGGTTGAGGGAGTTGCTCCGAAGCGGAGAGGGTTAGAAGAGCAATGCGATGGGGGTAATATCAAATACGTTCTGCTCTACTTGTATCTATATATCTGTGTATATGTATCTACCTTTTTTAATACATTTCGCAAATTTCAAGCTTCAAACTCTGTCCTTGCATCATCAATCTCTCTCCTTGCATCCAGCATCAAGAGAATAAGAGTGTCACCCATAGCCATGGCCACACCCACCAACCCTAACCGCTACCTTGAGCACTCCGTGCAAGATCTGCTCTCCCTGAAAGGGCGCACCATCGTCATCACCGGTGGGGCTCGGGGCCTCGGTCTTGCGTTCGCCCTTGCTGTCGCTGAGACCGGGGGAGACGTCGCCGTACTTGATGCGGCCGAGAAGCCACATGAACATTTCGCACTAATACAGCAGCGTTTTCCAAAGCAAAAATTTGCCTACTTCAGGTGAGATGGCATTCAAAAACATGGAGGTACGCAGGGCTACTTATTAACATTGCGTGATAATAGGACTGATGTTACAAAATATGACCTTCTCAAGAAGTCTTTCGATGAGATAGTCAACGAGTTTGGTCGCATTGATGGCTTGTATGGAATTATCGCCTCGATTTATTTACATCTTCTCTCGATTCTAATACGAATCACAGAATTACTGCTGCTGGAATTTGCCCCGATGAGCCTTTTCTAGAGAGGGCGCCTGCTTCGGTTGCCAAAACCATGGAAATCAATGTTCTCGGCACTTATTACGCCGCCCAACTAGCTGCAGCCCAGATGGTCAAGCAGGAGCCGACTGATTTCAATCCCAAAGGCGGATCTATTGTGATGATTGCTTCTATTGCAGCTTATGTAGCTAGCAAGGGCCAAACCACAAGCGACTACTGTGCTAGCAAGGGTGCGGTCATGTCACTGGCCAAAGCCCTTGGAGTCGAGCTGGCTGCCACTGGCATTCGCGTCAACAGTATCTCGCCAGGGTGAGTTGCCAACCTCGTCAGCCCAACAATCTGAATTTTACTAACCGGCACAGATATATGGTCACTGATATGACTCTTGATCTTTGTCAGAAGTATCCGCACCTCGGAGACATCATGAACAACGAACCCCCTATGCGGCGCATGGGAGATCGGACCGATCTCAAAGTTCCGGTGGTATACCTCTTGTCTCAAGCCAGCGCATATCACACATCAGATGATATCTTAATTACTGGAGGAATCCATGCAGGGAGATTGTTGTAGTTATAAGAGGATCTACTGTATAACAAAATATAGTAAAATAAAATTAATCGAGATGACTTTTGCAAGAACACTCCTCTCCCAGTGACCAACCGGTAAAGTGAGTATCTGGAATGCATCTACATACATCCTTCTAACATTCGACCAAAGCACTGCAATAAAAATCTAAATTGTGTTGAGACGTTGCACTGGGTGCCGCATGCCAGCTTTTTCCATAGGCAGCTCGTGCCCGATCTAACAACATCGCCTTCACCTTACTACCTTGGACCGAACTTTCTGCCAATCCAGTAATCTCCCTGATTGCGTTGGGGAGTCCTTATTTGGTATCAATCTTTATTGGAAAGGCCTCGACGCTCTCCTTGTTCTTTGTGGATCTACCTGTTAAAAGCGATTAAGATCATGAAAATTAAGAACAATGCGGAGGTGGAAGATGCGGGGAGGGAAACGCGGAGAAGGATTGTTAAAAATCTGGGGAAATCTTTAAGTGACAATCATAAGACAAGTTGGCCATTGGGTTGATCATTGGTGAGTTCTCATAACTCTCCCTCCGACAGTTCAGTTGAGGTTGATGTACCCCACTAACGTCGGACGATAGTTCCGTCGCACAAATGAACGGCCTCGATGTTAATATGGTACTTCTGTCAATGTTTACCCCTAGGAGCTTCTGGCCAGGTCAAAGTCACCCGTCATTTGATAAAATTACCAAAAGGCCTTCGAATGATTTATCTAGGCTTTATACTAATTTACAAGGTAATGTTTTATGCTCCCGTCAGGGTTATTGGCTGCTTCTTACGCTTAAGTTCGCTCAAGTTCGCCAGAGGTAGGTGCAGACTCGCCTTCACGCTTCCAAGATTATGTGAACCCTTACTTCTTTTGTACCTTCAACGGCCGCCGGGCTCACAGTAGCCAAAACTAATATTCGCGGGTATTAATTCACTAAGGTCGTGTCATGGAGTGGATGTGTACATCTGAATTCTGACAATGTTGGTGTATACGGCTTGGGGCAATCTTTCGCCAAGCCAAAATATTTCCATGAAAGTATACAGGGAGTCTTTGACTTTCTACTCAAGTGTCATTAACATCAGCACAAGCATCAACACATATTTATGAGATACGTTCAATTATCTTGGATGGAGTCCTGCGAACATCCATCCTATACTCGACCCACCTCAGGGATATGATTTCCGAAGAGTGCCAGAACCGGACTAGAACCAGAATACTGAAAAAGGGATGTAACGATTTTAGCTTGAGCACATGATCGATCAGGCTTGAGAAAGTTTACCCGCCATGTTCCCCAGAGCTCTTTGAATGGGCCATGCGGGGCCATGCGGGGAATTCCTGGCAAGGCGAGGGAAAGCGAATGTTTCTCTCCTACAATCTCCATCCAGAGGCCTACGGCCAGCACCAAAGTCTTGTCTCTGTGCATATACCTAACAGATATACGAAGCCCATTGCGAGATATTGTCACTACCTCGTACATATACAGCAATATCTATGAGTCTCACAATATTGAACCCCCGCGTACGCTACAGAAGATTACATACCACGAGCGACCAATTTCTCAAACATGCCGATCACCGGCGCCGAGCCATCCACAATAAGCACGAAAAAGAGACGTCATGTTACCACAGCCTGCGTTCCGTGTCGCGAAAGTAAAGTAAAAGCAAGTTGAATGGATTCTCTGCGCGATGAGGGCGCGCTACTTTTGCCAATCGCCAGGCTGACCGAATATCGCGTTCTACAGTGCGACGGTGTCACCCCTGAGTGCTCCCACTGCAAACAGAAGGGCAAAAGTTGTCGGTATCATTTCGGCGATGACAAGAGACGGTAGGTTCTCCTAAGGCGAGCCGGCGTTGCCATAGGCTCAGCATACTGATTTTTTGACAGAGTATCTCATCGCGTCGCGGTCGATATACTATTTGAGCGGATCGGACAGCTTCAGGCCTTCATCGCCAAGCACAATCTTGAGCCACCGGAGTGGAATAAGGAGTCGGAATCAGTGCTGAGCAGGCTTGGGTTTGATCATCATTTAGGAAATGAAGGCATTTCGAATTTCGTCAATGCTCAGAGCCACCGAGAACGCACACAAAGCAATTCGCCAGCCACGCCAGAAGATCAGCTCGAGCAATTTGCGCACATATCCCCAAAAGACCAGCACCGTTCTAGGCTTGACGGTGTCTCTATTCATGCATCGGGACCTTCTTCTGGTATCGCCGTCAACGGATCTCCACAGTTTGATGAGACGTTGAACGCCGGCACCTCAACAAACGCCGTTACGAGCCTTGACACTTCACCTCCTGCGATGGCTGTTGAACAGGCGATGGGTGATCTACAATCAAGCGACTGGTGCAGCATAGATGCAGAGACGGCAATAAGCGCTCCAGATCTATTCAACCTCAGCCCGGAAGCATATCTTCAATGTCATAACCCCCTCACCTTGTACGAGCAGTCCACTTTCGTCCCAGATGTCAGTTGTCCCTCATTATCGGACGGGGCCTCGAGCGAGATCGATGCAACGGAGGCCCTTGTAGATCAGCTTTCTGATCGCGTGGGTACTCTACAGATCAGTCCAGATGGACAAACGCGATTCTATGGGCCAACATCAAACTTCAACCTTGTCGATATGCCAGCCCCAGACAACCTCACTGTTCACCGGACTGTACGCTATGACGGTTCTGACTACCTTGAGCGCTTAGGCCTTGAGAAGGAAGTCCCCGCTGAGCTCGAGCGGCACCTTTCGGATTTATATTTCGCTTGGCAGGATCCCTCACTTCACGTAGTCGATCAAGCCATGTACGCTGAAGCGAAGCGACGTTGGAGGGAGGAGGAAGAAGAAACGCCATACTTCTCTGAATCTTTGTGCAATGCAATGTAGGCTCATTTCCTACAGACTTCTTTTTAGCTATTGGCTTTTATCTTCGTATCAATGCTTACCGAAATCTAGCTGTGCATTAGGTGCCGCATTCGAACCCCGCTATCACCCATCATTTGTCACATTCCCAAGATCACTGGCCGACTTTTTTGCTGATAGAGCAAAAACACTGATCGAAATTGAGTTGGACTGTCCCAGTGTTGCTACTGTTCAGGCAATGGTTGTCATCAGCGGTCATGATATCGGGTGCAAGCGAGATGCTCGTGGCTGGCTCTATAGTGGTTTGTGTTTATCTAAACTGTACGTGGACTGAACAACGTTTCTGACTTCAATGCAGGAATGGCAATGCGGCTGGCCTTCCACCTAGCCTTGCATATGGACATGACAGCCTACGTAGAAAGGGGCATTTTGAAACCAGAAGAGGCTGAGATCCGAAGGACCGCGTTCTGGGGTGCTTATATCGCCGACCAGTCAGTCTACTCCACTCTATTTAACAACCAAATGAAATGGTGTTGCTCACACAAAGTCCTTCCAGCTTGTGGGGACTCTTATTAGGTCGACCATTCCGAACGAACATGGAAGATGTCACAGTCGACAAGCCAAAGGAGATCGCCAATATGAGCTCCCCCCAGATCTGGGTTCAGTACTGCTCCGCACAGCCGGGAAACGAGGGCCTTTCCTTGGCTGATTATACTGAAATAATAAGTCGTGAGCGAATATCATTGTGCGAGATTATGGCACCACTGGGATATGCATTGTAAGTTGGAAAGAGTTCTGCCTCCTGAGTAGAGGTTTAACTAAACCATACAGGTATGGATGCCGGACTATACCGCCAACAGTGCTTCAAGAAATGAACATGAAAGCTGTCAATGACCTTCTAAATTGGAAGAACAACCTTCCTCAGGAGCTTCAAGTTGACTTGGAAAACGTGAAGAGGCCATATCTACCACATGTTCTCTTTCTCCAGTAAGGTCCACTCCTACTCCATCTAGTCAGCGTACTCTCTGACACAGGCCGATAGTATGCAATATTACCAAAACATGATCCACGCACATAGGCCGTGGATGTCCAGACTTGGTCAGCCGACCCCTCCAAAAGGCCCCGGTTGCGAGCATGCTCGTATGATGTGCATCGAATCCGCTGCTACTATTGGGAAACTTCTCTACATCTACGAGCTCCAGTACTCGTTTAAGAGGATGAATATCCACGGTGTTGGTATCACTTGTTCTGCGGCCTCCCTTCTCATCTTTGCCTCTATCAGTAACAACACGACACTATCCCCTCACGATACGGCATGCCATCTCAACGCCTGCCTTCGTGCCCTGGATTGTTTCAGCTCGTCATGGGAGACGGCCAAGAAGGCGCGCGATTTCTTGGCCATGCTTCAGCGTAAATGGGGCATACAAGGGCGCGGCGGTACAGCTGGGAAGAAACGGACCAGAGCGCCAAGCTTAACTAGACATCTAGAGAGGCATCAGTCGCTCAAGATGCATCCAACAGGGCACAAAAATACCGTCAGTGCGATGGGCCAGGAGGCAAGCATTGACCTGAGTTGGTTTCTGAACGACGATAGTTATATTGTTTAATTAGAATATAATGCGACTGTATACTAGAATTTTCATTTTCTTCCCAATGATTGGGAGTTGTGAGATGCAGTTTAAAGCACGTGGACACAGCTCAACATTGGTCACTTCTGCCCTAGCTCACATTATTTCGAAAATTTGTCCACATCATAGCTAGTGATAGACCAAAATCGTCACCAAATATTGTGAAACACGATCAACAAGCCCTTCAGCAATACATGTTGGTTTGAATGCATGTCTTCGTACTACGAGGCAAGCGTGCTGTTGCTATAGGGTAAGCAATTTATCTCGGGAGTTGGTGCGGAATGCTCACGTAAGCAAGCGCAAGAGTCCGGTTTCGGATATTGACGAACGTCTTCCAAATGCTTTCACGCGACTCCGTTACAAGGTATTATGTTATCGCATCATGTGACATGTCTTGGTTAGCACATTGAAATGTCTCAGCAGAATGCACTCAACAGCCACTCGAGGTCCATCCCGCCAACTGAAATTGGCAGCTTTGTAGCTCTCGGCGCGTGTCGGAGCGAGTTCATTGGCAGCGCCAGTGGAGTCTTCTTTGCCAACACTGTTTTCAAAGCCTTCTCAGATCTCCCAACATCCCGGGAAGTCGGCGGCAGCAAAGATCTTCCAAACAAACTCCCTGCCCCAGAGCCGGCACATACCTATCTGGCGGGTTCAGAGACAGAGTCGTCCCAGCAAGATGTGACACCCGCTGGCCAGGTTGCCCAGTCCAGTGGGTTTTCGGCCCTGGGAATGCTCCCTACACCCCGCATGTCAAAGGAGCTTACGATGGCTTATTTTCGGCATTGGCACCCTGTATTTCCCTTCCTTCATGGACCTACGTTTCTTGAAGAAGTGAATAAGGCATACGGTGGCGTGGAGGGCGAGTCCGTTTCCTTCTTGTCTAAAGGGCCTCGTCCACAAGAGGACCTTTGCCGGATGGTTACTGTCCAATGTGTCTTTGGTATTGCAGCAACTACACCTGGGCTTCAGCTTGATCACGCTTGTCGCATCCAGTCAACTCAAGGCTTACTGCAGCTTCTTGGCTCTCTCTACAACAGTCCAGATATCCTTAGTCTTCAGGCTCTACTGGCCGCAGAGCTCTACATGATCACCGTCATGTCTCTTCGAGCCGCATCCACGGTGCATGGTGCTCTGACACGGATGATGTATCACGCAGGTATCCACAGGTGCCCCTTCCGTTATCTGCAACTACCAGAACCGGTGAGGGGCATACGGAAGCGCATCTTTTGGTGTGCCTACATCTTCGACAGACATCTTGGACAGGCATTAGGACATCCCCTCAGCTTCAACGACATAGATGTAGATGTTTGCGTGCCCGGCATGCCAGAGCTGCACCGCCCTGTCCCAGTTAACCAGCCGGCGGATACCCCCGGGGACGATAGCCCTGAGCTGGTCTTGGCCCATCTTCCCCAAGGCCAACGACGAGAGCGTGAGCGTCTCACGGGCATGGCTGTTGAATCGCCCTTTGACGGATCTCCGGTCGAGCCGGGGCTTCGTGATTCTTCTGAAGGACAGCCAACATCGGGCGGTGAGAAGCAGGAAACAATCTTGGGGCTAATAGCAACTCACGCACAACTTCTGGGGACAATACTCAATCTCTTTCATAATTCTATCCATACCCGCTCGGTTGATCTGGACAGCGTACAGGAGATTACGTGCCGCGTCCATTCCTGGTGGAACCGACTACCTCTTTCCATTCAAGATAGCCCACCGGGAGGAACAAACGATCTTACATCTCGCTACCACGTCTTTTTCACCACCTTGTATAACCACAGTCTCCTTCTTCTCAACCGCCCCTTCCTCTCACTGCCAAGAGACAGATTCGAATTTAAATGTAGTCTTCAAGCAGCCATCAACGCTAGCCACTCGCTTCTTATGGACGTGAATCAGCACTTGGAAAACGGGTTATTCTTATCCTGGCCCACCTCATTGTCCGCTGTCTGGACCGCTGGCCTCGTGGTATCCTTCGCCACTCTGCTGGATCAATACCCCTTTTCCAAATCTAAGTGGTATAGTACTTTGCATCCTGTGGTATCGAGAGATGCTTTTCTAACTGTCACATACCAGTGAGCTTGACCGGTGCCTTGCCATCTTAGATCGAATGTCAAAGAAATGGTCAAGCGCGCGTCAATGTCACGCTGCCCTCAATCTTCTCTCTCGAAAGCTTATCACCAAGTATGAGATGCCAAACATGTTGCATCCTCAGTCTTCTCCACCACCACGAAGCCCGCGAAACCAAAGTCTAGTTACACCAAGCAGAAGAAGGGATCCTAGCGTCTTGTCGACCCCGAGAGTTTCCAAGAGGCAGCGTGTTGAAGACCCAGGAGAACCTGCTCGACAGCCCCCCCAGCAAGATGCACAGTGGGCGACGAGCATCTACCCGACCGAGCCAACTTTCCAAATATCTCCTAACTCACTTGCAGTACCACAGTACATAGGTCCTGATTTTGGTTTCGACACATCACTGCCTGATGAATTTGGCGAAGGCCAAGATCTGATGAACGAGATCCTTAATCTTGAGTATAGCACGCTATTCAGCAGCTCTGTTTGAATCATTCAACTACTCACTGCCCCGACACAATGCCATTTACTTGCTTGTTTTGTACTGGTATAGCTAATTACTACCACAAAAATTGGCTTTGAAACTCAGCAGGAAGATCTATCTTCCCGCGAACACCAGATCCACCGTCTCTGTCATCTAGAGGTTCGTCTGCAGTCTCTCCCGGATGATCTCTCTTGTCTGATCTAAACGGGGCTGAATTATGCGACGTTGGGACGCCACTTTGTCTCAGTGCGCAGACTTCACCTGGTGTACGAGTTTCGTCCCTGTTTGGATGGCTTACAGTAGCCGGAAGTTGCCCTGGAGCTTGCTCGCCAACAGGTAATTGCTGGCTTTTCCTAAGATCTGTTGAGACATCGGCAGATGTTTCTGGTTCACCATGCCTCATCCCGTTGACCCACTCGTTGATCCCGTCGGCAGTTTTCAGAGATGTATTATCCCACTGTGCCATCAATGATGCCTCAGCCCGTTCGCCCTCAAGACGGCCCTCCCCCGAGTCAGCTTTTGCCTGGCGGTTGGCCCAGATGGATTGTGCCAATTCGAACGTGTCTGGTCCGAAGGCACTTTCAATCGTTTCTGGATTCGAAACGAGTAAGAGTTGTAGCAAAGCCAGCTCTGTGTCCCCTAGTCGACGTTCAAGTGCTTCGGTGTAACCCTTTGCGGGACCACTGACATCAAAGTGTCAAAAATTTACTTTCGCCTTTCGTGTATGGCTTCGACTTACCGTCTGCGGGCTGTGGGCCAGGTGCATTTGATGCCAAGCGCTTGACACCGAGAGCATTCAGGTCTTATCACGTCAATAAGATTTTGGATGGCAGTTACCAGTACATATTATAGTATCTCACCTCTTTTCATTGCACTGCGCGAGTCTTAGTTAGCTCAGTTATGGTGATGAATAAGGGTAATGAAGATTTTCACAGACCTTTTGCTTCCGCGAGCGACAGGCGATACATGCTGCTTTGCCTCGAACTGGAGGCATTCTGTAATCAAAGAAGACGGATCCACTCGGGTATACCTCACTTAGGGACACTGTGAACTGTTAGGCCTGCCGTTGTAAATCGCCCTGGAAAATATCGATATTGAACTGCCATAAGACATATTGATGCCGATGTCGGTAGTTTTTTCCGACGTCACGACTCAGCGGTCAATCTTTCAACCGCAGCGGGGTTTTCACGTGACGACTCACCTCAGCTTGCCATTGTCGAAATGCGCTTATTCCTTTAGCCGATGGTTAACCCGATCACAGCGATCTCGGTGACCCTGCATTTATTTAAGCATAAGGTCACTTTACGGCAGATCTTCCCAAGACTGTTATTCAGTATTATCTTCCTTAACTCATCATTCAATATGTCTTCTAAAACCCTTCGAGTTGCCGTCATCCCGGGTGACGGCATTGGCATCGAGGTCATGCCATGGGGCGTCAAGTGCCTCCAAGCAGCGGCCAAGGTTTTCAAACTCTCTATAGAATTTGAACACTTCGACTTTGCAAGCTGCGAATACTACCAGAAGCACGGAGGTATGATGCCAGCCAACTGGAAAGAACGACTCATCGGCTTTGACGCCATCTACTTTGGCGCCGTCGGAATGCCTAGCCTTGTGCCCGATGACGTGTCACTCTGGGGCAGTCTCCTCAAGTTCAGGCGAGAATTCGATCAATATGTGAACCTCCGACCATGTCGTCTGATGCCCGGGGTCAGGTGCCCTCTCGCCGGCAAGAAGCCCGGCGATATTGACTTCTGGATCGTTCGCGAGAACACAGAAGGTGAATATAGCTCGGTCGGCGGAAAGATGTTTGAGGGAACAGACCGAGAGGTTGTTATCCAGGAGACAGTCATGTCGAGGGTCGGGGTTGACCGCATTCTTCGTTATGCCTTTGAGCTGGCCAAGAGTCGACCGAGGAAAAGGCTGACAAGCGCAACCAAGAGCAACGGAATCAGCATCACCATGCCATACTGGGATGGTAGGGTCAGTGAGATGCATAAGAGCTACCCAGAAATCAACCTGGACAAGTATCATATTGATATTCTCACGGCTCACTTTGTTGGGAGGCCGGAAATCTTCGACGTCATTGTCGGCAGCAATCTCTTTGGCGATATCCTATCCGACCTGGGACCAGCTTGCACTGGTACCATTGCCATTGCACCCTCAGCCAACATCAACCCTGAGGGCAAATTTCCCAGTCTATTTGAGCCCGTGCATGGAAGCGCGCCGGACATTGTAGGCAAGAACTTGGCCAACCCAATTGGAATGATTTGGGCTGGTCAGATGCTTCTCCAGCACTTCGGACATACAGAGGCCGCAGACGCTTTACTGAAGGCTATTGAGAGGATATTGGAGCGTTCTGAAGCCTCGGTTTTGACTCCTGATATGGGTGGCACGGGAACAACTCAGGCGTTGGGAGAGGCAATTGAGCGTGAAATTTTGAGCTTGGCGGGGAATTAAAAATTAAATACAATAGATTAAAAGGAAGTTCAAGTCATACATCATTTTCATTCCTCAGATGGCAAAGAAGAACATCATAATGCGTCCCTAGTAAATACGCAATATGTTGGATACCAAAATACACTTTTCAAGAACCTTTCCCATCAGTCATGACGCTCCAGCTTTGATGCACAACAATTCCGCCATTCTTTGAGCCATCTCCTCCCTCCTCAGTTGATCCCTGGTCGGTCTCTTGGCCAGACTGCTGTCCATTCTCCGCGGCGGCAGCACTCACGTTGGCGCCCGCTACGTGATCGATCATCTGATAGGCATCCTCATCGCTGTCTATCCTGCTGAGACCTGTGTTCCCCCACCATAGCCCGCTGTTATTAGATGCATTTTGCCTGGACCGAAGGACGCGTCCCCCGCTGGAGCCAGTGTTCACACCCGTCGGGTCACTGTTGGGACGTCTGCCAGGCGTATTCTGCCCATTCGGACCGTAAGATAGAGAGAAGAAACGTCCCAGCCCAATTGCCTTGAGAATATGTCGCATACTAGGCAGACAAGAGCAGACGAGCCCTATGTTCACCTCAACGATAGACCACAGCATGAAGTCCTTGAGGTTATATGTAGTATCGTGATCGTCAGTGGAGATTGACATGACTATCGTCAGTCTGATAATGGAGACGATGCAAATGAACAGGCCCAGCAGGAAAAGGCCGGCAAGTATGAGGCGTTGCTGAAGAGCAATGTTTAGCCTCCAGACGTACGGGATAGGCATCAACACAAGGATTAGATCCGTTATAACATTTGGGAGTGATGCGCCGAGATAGATGGACTTTGGTGGCACGCATTTCGCAGTTGCCATTGCCGTTACATCCCATTGCGCGCGGATGGGCAGACAACCGAATGCTCCAAGATAGACCTGGAGAGAACAAATATTAGACATTTGTGCCATATACAACAATGGGGTCGCGCTTACAAAAGCGATGAGCCATGCCACGACAGACGCGGCGAGGATTCGAATCGGCCATCTTGCTGCGACGGAGAAGAGTTTCCAGTAGAACGCCAATATCGTAAGTTTGATGAATACGATGGACACCACGTATGATATCGATGCAACGTATAGACACTTGAGGAAGTATTCCAATTGTTCTGGGTTGACTTCCGATTCGCCGGTTCCAACATGTTTCCCGAGGTAGGGTCGGACACCTAAACAGCTTGAACAATCAATTAAACTGGCCTGCACGAGTCGTGATCTTTAGCTCAAAAAGCAGAAACTTACCAATCATATTATCCCAAAACCAGACATTGACGAAGGCCAAAGTGGCAACGGAGAGCCAGTCGTCCCATCCAATGCTTTTCCAGCCGCTCACCTGCGTTCTACACCAAATCTTCATGGGGACGACTATCATGAGCAAGGCATACGTTGAAATAGCCGCGCCATCGAAGCGGACCCGGAATGCCTCATACGACTCCTGCCCCGCCATCGCGCTGTTGGTCACAGCGAAAAGCAATGTGAGAACTGACGGGGGCGCGGCTGAAGACTTGACACATTTATTAATATATTATGGAGCAGAGGTTTAAAGATCTACTTTTTTTAGCCAAGCAAATTCCCCATCGTTCTTCTCCTAGTTGATTGAGTAAGAGTACGTACATTATTCTTCTCTGAGACTCTGACGGTTCCAAGCTGAGGACCAACAAGGATTTGGCAGTTAGCCTACACTAGACTTCTGGTGCACCGTGAGTAGTGTCAAATACCCCTGATCCGGGAAAATGCGTTGGAATTGTTCCTTGCTTCACGAATCATGGCGCGTTTTGCGTCTCCTTAAACTAACTTCTTTGAGCATAGACGCCTCCTATGATCCTTCGTCCCTATTCGCGTGTTGAAGGATGAGCTGAGAAGAAATCACTGCCAATGCAAACTTACCGTGTACGGAGTAGTGGCGATAGCCGGTATTCATATATTTCGGATCCTCTCATCCTTGCTCCCGGTGGCAAGTCAACCGTAAAGCTAGCTCCAAGCAACTCAACAACGCCTTTACATATGTATCCTCACAGACGAGAATCTGACGGGGCTTCTCATTAGTGCGACCAAAGCCAAATAGGTGAGAGAAAGATCCACGCTCAAACTCACGAAGGAATCTCGATCTTCAAAGTTGCATTACTTTGACAAGCCGTTGTGGCTACACTTGCATTAGCCTAGCTGCCCAACACTTGATCGGCATAATCGGGAATCCCGGTCAATTTCCCCGGTCCCATCTTGGTAGGTGCCTGCGATCCCTGACCTCTCCACAAGCAAAAGGTCCATGATGACAGGTTCAACTTAGCCAATGGCAGCTTCTGAGGTTCAACTGTGTACCAGCCCCATTGTCATGGAGACACCTACCCTATAGTCCTGTACGACATGAATTCCATTCAGCAACAAACAATTGAACCACCTGTTGCAAGCCTCTTCCTTGTCCGTATTGAACATAATACTGTTTTAATTGAAGGTCGGTTAAGCAGATTTTTTTGAAAATAGGGGGTAGCCAGTCCAGCAATTCACATTCTAAAAGAATTGGCAATGGGTCATCATACATGCCGGGATTCACAACTGGCTCTTCGAGCCAACCCCGGAGGCGTGGTCAGTAGAAATACTTTCAATAATGTTGGACATATCTACTTCGCTCTCTGCCCGCAGTAGGGGCAGCTATCCCAAAATATCAAAGTTTATATTGACTGATAATAATCATCCACTCCCCAGATCCAGGTTTTTTATTGTATCTCAATGAGAAAAAGGTAGATAGATTAGTTCGCGCTTTTAGGAGTATATTTGTCCTTGAAAAGAGAATTTCTTCCCCAACTATGTGAGCATGAACAACAGAGGTATAACTTGAGTAGATTCACACGGGATATAACATCGCGGAACTAGTCGCAACTGTGGGATGTATATCTAATATCTAACGACATACGTTATGTGACAACAAGTTATAAGAGATAAGTATGATGGAGGTCAACGACCTTTAAAGCCAAGACCCGCCAAGACTTCATGCCCCATGGTGCCCAAGTCTTGCATCATATACCTCCCGCAGAATACGATCCTTCTTCGCTGTATCATCCACGCCGCTTCGGTCGTTGAAGACTTCATCCATTTGCTCCAAAGTCTTTCCATTAGTCTCTGGGACGCAAAACCAAACCCAGACGAAGGAGAGTAGACAGAACACGGCAAAGAACACATAGGCACCGAAACCTGTCTGCTGAACCAGAGGAGGCGTAATGAGCCCAATGATGAAGTTGTTGATCCAGTCTGAGATGGATGTTAGCAGAAGCTAAAGATAAGACCAGAGAGGCAAAGATGGCCATGGGAACTTACTTGAGCATGTAGAAATCGCAACACCTTTCGCTCGCAAGCTTGAAGGGAAGACCTCGGCAGGCATCGCCCAAGGAACAGGGCCCCATGAAGCACCAAAGGCAAGCATGTAAAAGAGCAAGAAGGCGACGCTCGTCCATCCCTCTGCAGTATGATTGGGCCAATCTTTGGAATACTTTCCTACAAGAATGGCAATAATCAAGTGCGGGACAAACATTAGGAAACTGCCGATGAGCAAAATAGACCTGCGTCCGAATCGATCGAGTGTCCAGAGACTGCTGAACACACCCACCAACTGCGTAACATTAAGTACGCCGGACATGATGAGCTGCATGTTGTAATCGAGACCCATCGTACCGAAGAGAGTGGGTGAATAGTAAATCAGCGCATTGATGCCCACGAATTGCTGAAAGAACATGATCCCTGCTCCGACGAGCGTACGTCGCCAACAGCCAGGCTTCAGACAATCTGTCCAGCTAACAAACTCCAGCTTGATTCTCGCGGTAGCATCAGTCCTGGATGTAAGCTGAGGGTGACGCTCTCGCAGAACGCTGGCCTGGAATCTAGCTTCAGCAATGATGTCCATCCACTCACGTTGGACGCGGCTGTCAGTTTCGGGTAACCCTCGCAGCTTGGCTAGGTTGGATAAAGCTTCTTCCTCACGATCCTTGGAAGCGAGCCACCGAGGAGAATAAGGGAGAAACACAGCGCCGAATCCGAGCAGTAAACCGGGAAGAATTTGCAGGAGAAAAGGGAGCTGCCAGGACCAGTTACTAGGCATGTCTTTGGTGCCATACGTGATCCAGAAAGCCACGACAATCCCGAACACGATGGACAGCTCTTCGAACACAAGCAACGAGCCACGGATCTCTGGGGGCGAAATCTCCGAAATATAAAGCGGCACCACCATCGAAAGCCTGCACATCAACCAACCACCGTCAGTTAAAAACAGTACTCAAGAAGATTGCCGGGAGAGACTCACTGTCCAATGCCGATACCGCCAATAAATCGGCCAACGACAAGCATGGCGTAACTGACAGCAGCGGTCTGAAGGGCAGAGCCGATTACGAACACCACCACAGCAACCATGAGCGATCGTTTCCTGGAAATCCAATCCGCAATCCATCCCTGGTTTATAGCTCCGATGAATGCGCCCAGTGTTATCATAGCCGTCATGAGACCTTTTTTGAAACCTGCACCGGGTGCATTGTCGGAGACTTCGGGGAATCGATCGAGAAAGTGTTCCATCACCAGGGTGACACTGATGACGCCTTGGTCATAGCCAAAGAGAAGTCCGCCGATGGCCGAGAAAGCGGCACACATCGCAACGTAAGGCGAGGAGAACAGCCCACGGAAACCTGACGAGTGAGCTAATTTTCAAGAGCAAGTAGACAGGGGATCAGGAGGCAACTTCATACCGGACGGCCCGTAGGGCTCAATTGGCAGGCTCATACCGGCGTGTTCTTCTGTCTTGACGCCATATTCGTCAAGTTTAGACTCGGCGGCCGGCTCAGCTTTCTTGCCCATGGTGCAAGTGATGATGGCGATGGTAGCTCTGGAAAAACTTCTCGAGGTACTTGGATGAGTGCTGGTGAGAGATGAGGCTGGGAAGAGGAGGCAACGTGAGTCTTATATAGTTCGAGTCTTGAGCCTTGAGCGACAATCGATCACTCCAATTATATGTCTCTTCGCCGACAATGTTTCATTGGGGCCAATAGAGCTCAAGGAATTATTCTGCGTCCTCCCCATATCATGGGGTAGAACGGGGTCTGGGGTACTTCAAGTGACTTAACCGAGTCAGCAAGGTCACACTAATGACATCTACTCCAGTCCGGGGAAGCGAATCAGACGTAGTTTCACAGCTAAAAGTGGAGAGTCACAAGCAGACTTAACCAAGTTGAATCGGGGGTTTTGCCCTTGGCTGGATAAAACCAGAGCGTTGCCCCGAGAGTCGGACCTTTTCCCCTATTCATGCATCAATCACAGCAAATTGGAATACAACCCGGCACAAAACTCCAGTCAAACAAGGCCATAGACGAGGCAGAATGAACAGACCCGGCACGTCGAATGCATGCCTGGTAAGTCCCAGCTAGCCAATATCCCTCACCCGGCTTCCCCTTTCTGACGAGGTTCTAGACCTGCAGAGAGCAGCATCTAAAGTGTGTTTGGAGTCCGGAGAACCTGGAGGGGCGATCCAGAACATGCCTCCGATGTGTTTCCGCAGGAAGGGTTTGCACATTCTCCCCGGCCTTCCGCTTTAAGCATTCAAACGGGTAAGCCTGCTCTGTGCTCAATCAAGAAATTAAGCGGATTAATTTAACTGAGCCCGTGCAATGACGCAGACCATTCGGCAGAGAGCAGTCGTGGGTCCGTTGCCCAAGGCGGTGTGAGTATATCCTGATGGATGTAGATGATTCTCAAATTGGCATGTGTAACTGACGAAGAAGAAGTGCGATTTGTTGACGAAACACCGGATATTGAGAGTCACTATGTCTCAGGGTCCAACACCTTACTTCAAGGCGATTACGAAGAGCCAGACCAGTCCTCCGAAGCAACGATAGAAGTCAACGACGCAGAATCGTTTGAGATAATTTCCGACCGCATAAACAACTCAACACACGACTCTCCCTTGCCTGATTCAACCTCATATGATGCTCTACCACGGACCGAACTTTACAGAGAATATGGTCTTATTCCGCATAACTCATTGCTGGGATTAGCCTCTGAATCTGTCTCAATACCCCTTACAAAGCCGCACGAAGTGCGTTTGATGAAATACTACTTGGAGTACATGTGCACTTGGGTAAGTTTCTTACGGCTAGTTGAATCAACGAACATCAGGTTGAGTGATTTAGTTTGATCTCTGCGATTGCCGTAGCCATTTCGCCAACATTGTGCCCTATAGGGCGGCCAATAGCCCGACACTTCTCAACGCCATCTTCGCCTTGTCATCGAGACATCTTAGTCTAAACGGGGGATATGACCCATATGCATCCGACCGATACCATCAAGAATGCCTCAAACACCTGTCTACCATATCTGGGGACTCGACAGACCTCGCAAACGACGATTTACTAGCTGCGACCATTCTCCTCCGCACGTTAGAGGAACTCGATGTTCCACTCCTTGGTACCGACCTTGAGGGCCATCTTCTTGGGATACAACTGTTCATGAATACACCAAACTCAACCTCGCCTCCAAGCAGCCTTCGGCAGGCGTCATTTTGGATTGGCCTGAGACAAGAAATAACAATGAGTTCCGCTACGCAAAGACCAGTCAAGATCAAGCTTGACCATGCCTTCATCGACCGGTCCTTTTCCCCAGCCGACGACGATACCTGGGCGAACCGCATCATCGTACATTGCGCAGAAGTCATGAATTATTGCTTTGGAAACGGAGATCGCAGCATGGCAGAATATCAAGCGCTCGAGGACTATGACCAAGGCTGGCTAAGGGCTCGGCCGGTGTCATGGCTGCCGATAGCCTACAGCGAACCACTTGAATCGCATCATGAAGTGTTTCCCAACATCTTATATGTTTGCCATGCCGTCGGTAAGTTGGAGAGACTCAAGGTACTGTGGCAATCTTGCTGACTGTTCGGCAGTAATTGGTATTGCTCACGGTATCTATGCGCGTCTGCTACTCATGTGTCATGACGACCGTGGTCCGCGGGTAGGACCATCAGCGCGGATCTCCCGAAAAAGAATTGATGTAAGCCAATACTCCGAGCCAAGTTTCACTTTTCAGCGCTCACACAACTGGCAAAGGATAATATACGGATGCAGTTGCGAGAACTATGCGGAATAGCTCTGTCGAATGTCGCCACGAGACCGGCCATGTTTACAGCTTGCATGGGCGTTACTGCCTGTGGTGATCGGTTTACTGATAAAAAGGATCAAGATGCGCTTCTTAATGTGTTGATACTAACCGAGACGAAGCATTCCTGGCCCACGGCAGCAGCGCAGGCACATTTGAAAAGAGCATGGGGCTGGGAGGAATTATGATATCGAACTCCCGAATATAATTGGCATACATTCAATAAATTCCGAGCGTAACATTATGCGATATCCTACTCTAGTTGAAAATTTAACAAGGCTATGCTCGGATCAGCCACGAAGACTTGGTCGTAGTCGTTCTCTGTTGAGGCCTGAGATGTCATGTATTTTCACCGAGGCACTATAATGCCGAAGGGGGAAAACTATGGAGCTAACTGTAGATTGCTGCCGGGGCAGTAACTTAAAAACAGGGAAAACAGTTCATTCTACTGTTGTTTGGATATATTTTTGGTTAGAGTCTGGAGTATGTCGATGGTAGCATAAGTGTTTTGAGATATAGAATGTCAAAATCATTCAAAGGTTTTCTTTGTTTTTTTCTTTCTTCGCTTTCCCTCCTGTCCGTTTCCCATCCTTTTGTTAGGAAAGGGGGAATTTTACTATTACCATGATGAGATGAGCTGTGCTCATGAAGATCTATCGGAATAATCTTCCGAGTAGGCGCAAAACCAGTGAATCTAAGAGGTTCGGAAAACCCCTCATCTCGCTGTGGAGGTTTTAGTCTCACCATTTATTACGGGGATCTGGCCGGGCGTGCGTCACTGTACATATTCCGCTTTCTGAGCAACTTCTCCGCAACTTTGGTTATTACCCCCTGTATCAAAAAGCGCTGCGATTTGAGGGCTGAGAACCACTCTTCTCCACAACCCCCGGAAATACAGTATACTGAGCCAATCAAAACCTTGCCAATTATTGAGCTTTCAAGACGATTAATCGGGGTGTTTTGCCCCGACAGATTTTGGCAAAAAAATCCCGAATACCTTGGACATGATCGGCACGAATCAGAGCAATGAGATTTTAGTAACATTGTTAGTGAACGGTATTCGCATACGACTCAGTTGTGCACGTTGCACAAATTGGAACATGAGTTGCCATCTATATATTCCTACAAACCCCGTGGGAGAATGTTTCCTGGGGCAGCCATCCATCTTCTTTGCGACACTCTGTTATCATACAATCACCCAACATGGCGGCCGTGAAGCTTCAAATAGGCGTTGCAGGCCTCGGTCGGATGGGCAAAAGGCACGCCCTTAATTTTCTTCAAAACGTCCCACGTGCCTCCTTGGTTGCCGTCAGCACCCCCGACGCCGATGAACGTCAATGGGCAAAGGAAAACCTTGCTCCCCACGGCGTAACTGTGTATGAAAAATATGCAGACCTTTTATCACACCAGGGCCTCATCGCCGTTTGCGTGGCCTCTGCTACTGCAGTACATGCCGAGCAAGCTATTGCTGCCATTGCGGCAGGGAAACATGTACTTTGTGAGAAGCCGCTCGGCATATCAGTCGACATTGTAAGTGTTCAAAAGTCCTCCGAATCTCTCTGGTCAAGAAATATAGCGTCTACTTACACTCCCCAGTCTCAAACCGTCGTCGATGCTGCAGCTGCTCGTCCAGACTTGAAAGTCATGTGTGGCTTTTCCCGTCGCTTTGACGCCTCATATCGAGATGCTTATTCAAAGATGCAATCGGGAATGATTGGGCGACCATCTGTGCTTCGAAGTCAGACCTGTGATGTTCTGGACCCGTCCGGATTTTTCGTTGCATACGCCGAGTTCTCGGGTGGGATTTTCGTCGACTGCAGTATCCACGACATCGACTTAGCGTTGTGGTTCTTTGGGGATGATGCCAAGGTCCGGTCAGTACATGCAGTGGGAATCACAGCGGTAGAGCCGGACCTGCGTAAGTATAACGATCGCGACAATGCGGTTGGTGTCGTAGAGTTTAACGACGGCCGGATCGCTTACCTCTATGCCTCTCGCATGATGGCTGCTGGCCAAGAGGACGCAACAGAGATCATTGGGACCAAGGGTAAACTGACGGTGAACATGGTTCCGACTGAGAACCATGTACGGATCTACCAGCCAGGAGGGATCCGACATGAGCTACCTCAGAACTATTGGGGTAGATTCCGCGCTGCTTTTACTACGGAGGCCATTGAGTTTACAGACTCTGTGTTGAATGATACCCCAGTGCCTGTCAAGTTGGAATCCGCGGTCACAGCTGTACGGATAGGTGCAGCATTGCAAAAGTCGATGATTACAGGGGAAAAGATCGTGTTTGATGAATCTGGCTCAGAAGGTGACAGGGCTCGGCTGTAACTTTAAAATGAAGGTGCATAATGGGATTAGAGTTCTAGAATCGTCAATAGACAATCATATAGCAAAATCAGATCTGAAACAGATCCTTTTATGATGAGAATGTTTGATGTTTTGATTACCACCCCAAGTACACTCGAGGACATGAAGATATGGAGTTTGAACTCGGATCATCGGCAGCTTTGAATCACATCCGGTCACATATTTGGCATTGCATTGGCAAGAGTATTTGTTTCGAGCTGCTGGGATAGGATCGGGTGACTGTGATCATCCCTTTCCACCCAAGTGGCTCAAATCAAACATGGCATACCAAACCCTTTTCACACAACTTAGGGACCTCCTATTTTTCTTGTTAAAGATACGAAGTAGAATAATGAAAAAGCAATAAGCGATTCTCTAGTGTTTAGATTAGTGTTGTGTTCATTACTGGCTTAATTGTTTTGAATGTTGTGCGGAAATTCAGCGCTAGAGGCTTTGGTGTGCCATATTATATCAGTGTCAGTCGCATGTCACCTTTGCCCCTCATTTGGTCACGCATTAGGTAGCATTGACATTCGCAAGAACATATTCTAGTACATTTTGGGAATCCGGAGTCGAGCCTCCATGTAGAACCGCGGTGCGTCTCAATTAATATACGTTTTGGCTTCGAGTTCGCATTCCTGATTGAAGCGGCATGATGCTGTCACCCGATATTCCGCCCTAACCAAGAAGGAAGCTACAATATCACCACACGTTTAGATTTACAATATTGAGACAATTACTCCATCACGTATTGGCGCGGATAATCTTCCAAGGCCATTGCGACCATAGACGGATACAGCGGCAGTTTAGGCCTAGGTTCTGGATAAACTCCCGGCATGGGATGGATAGCAGTATAAGTTCAGAGCAGTCCCAACTCTTTTGCCGAGTAATCATCTTGAAGTTTGAGGACATCTGAGTGAACTTTGCAATTACTATTCAGCAGACAAACGCCATGATTCGACGTGTCCGTGCGATTTTGTTGGCTCTCGTGGTCAGCTCACTGACCGCTGCTGATACCACAACAACAATCGACCCCAAATCCAACTGGGGTACTTGGGAGGGATGGGGAACCTCACTTGCCTGGTGGGCTGCTGCCTTTGGGGCGAGAACCGACCTCGCAGATGTCTTCTTTACTCTGGGCACGACTACGGTCAATGGCCAGTCATTGCCGGGTCTTGGCTTCAACATCGCGCGGTATAATGCCGGAGCCTGCAGCACAAACACCTACAACGGGAGTACCATGGTTGTTTCTCCTAAGATGATTCCGTCGCGTCAAATTCAGGGTTACTGGCTGAACTGGGCCAGCACCGACCCGAGCAGCAGTAGTTGGGACTGGTCTCGGGACTCTAATCAGCGCACGATGCTACGCAACGCCCGTGCCAGAGGTGCCAACATCCTTGAGCTCTTTTCTAATTCGCCCATGTGGTGGATGTGCAAAAACCACAATCCTTCTGGATCAGATGATGGCAGTAGCGACAATCTACAGTCGTGGAACTACCAGCAACACGCTGTCTACATGGCCGCCATTGCCAAGTACGCGAGCCAGAACTGGGGTCTTACATTCCAGTCTGTGGACGCATTCAATGAGCCGTCTGCCAATTGGTGGAATGGAAAAACAGGGACACAGGAAGGTTGCCACTTCAATGTTGCCACGCAGGCAACGGTGCTCGGATACCTTCGAAGCGAGCTCGATAGCCGCGGTCTGACTGGGACTCTTATTTCCGCATCAGATGAAACCTCATATGACGCCGCCGTATCGACATTCAATTCGCTTGGGTCCAGTGCCCTCAGCAAGGTCAACCGCATAAACGTGCATGGGTACCAGTACGGTGACGGAAGGCGAGACACTCTGCATTCACTGGCCTCTTCAGCAGGCAAGAAGCTTTGGAACAGCGAGTACGGCGAGAGCGATGCTACAGGCCAGCGGCTGGTGAGCAATCTCATGTTGGACTTTAGATGGCTAAAGCCCACTGCTTGGGTATATTGGCAGGTCTTGGACGGTGGAGGATGGGGCGTGATCGATGCTGACAACGATGCTCTAACGATTGGATCTGCCAACCAAAAATACTTTGCCTTGGCTCAATTTACTAGACACATTCGTCCTGGAATGGTCATCCTTGACGGCGGCAGTTCGAACACAGTCGCAGCCTACGATTCTTCCGCTAGAAAGCTGGTCATCGTGGCGGTCAATTGGGACAGCGCACAATATCTGAACTTTGATCTTTCCAAGTTCACCCAGCCAGGGGTCAACGGTGCACTCGTACGGCGTTGGAGTACTCAGCTCACAAGCGGGAACCGATACGTTGCCGCCAGTGACACCTACATCAGCGGTACTAAGTTTTGGTCATACTTCAGTACGGGGGCCGTTCAGACTTTTGAAGTAGACAACGTCATTCTATAGCTCTACATGTCGTGTTTAAGTAGAACACTGGATCGTCACTTCAATGAATATTTTGGAGCGGTTGAACCAATATATACTGTTATAAATCTGATCACATCTTGATAGTGTCGCTCAATATCGTATGTATTCAAGACGGTTTTGAGTTGCTAACAACAACACACATGCCATTACCGTGGATCATGTGAGGGGAAAGGTAATTGGATATACAATGGCAAAAACGAAACGCAATGATTGTTTTCTTTATAACATGATGTTGGTCCTCTTCATGACCAGGCCTTTTTCCAGTTTTCGACGCACTTTGCGAGCAGCCCGCTTTTAACAACATCAAATCCACCCCGAATTGCCTGGCTCCTGTCTTCTGTCTTCTGTGTCTCAAACACCAAGCCGCTCCTCCCAGGCTTGTCATTGTCATACTTATCGGCAAAGAAGTCAAGTAACTTCACCGTCGGGTTCAGCGTTGGATCCTGCTCGCCGTCGCGAAGCCGCTGCACCCATTCACGCTGGCCCACAATCTCGAACTCCAGCCCAGCAGCTGCAAGAGCAGGAAGGATGTCCTTTGTCCACTCCGATGTGTGAGGGTTCTGAACGTGATATACAACGTCAGAATCCTCTCGCCGCTGGAAATAGCCCTCTACCTTGCTGCCCCCTTCTGCCAAGTTTGTCAGCTCCAGGACTGCCCGAGCGGACTTATCAACCGGCAGCCACGATGGTGTCTCATCCAGGGCCGGCAATGCGCCCAAAGTGACAGCCGCACGGAACATGAGTGGGATAGCTTCAGTGCTGTTCCAAAGCCCCATAACCGAGTCACCAATGATTTGGCCTGAGCGAAGAACGCGAGCTTCCATCCCGGTAGACGACGCAGCGGCCTTGATGATGTGTTCGGCCACCCATTTGCTACGAGCGTAACCCATGTTCTGCGCGTGAGCTGACTCTCTGACAAATGTCTCTGCAACCCGACCAGGGGATGGTGTTCCCGCTGCGGCAGAAATGGAGGAGATGAAAGAGAGGCGTGCAGGTCTGCTGAATGGCACGGAAAGGCAGAGATCCAGAAGGTGGCGGAGGCCGGCAATATGCTGCGCTTCAAAGCTCCGGACTTTGAGGGTGAAGTTTACAGCCCATGCAGAGTGAATGACGGATGTGACTGTAGTACGTAGAGATTCGTATACTGTTGACCCTAAGCCAAGATCAGGTAGGCTTAGGTCTGCAGGTAGGGCTGTGAATTTGGCTGAGTGTTGGGATGATGGCAGGCCGCCTTCTCTTAAAGAGGCTATGATCCTGGCATGAGCCGAGCTGTGATGAGGTGATAGCCCACGGGTACTCAACGAGTCAAGTACTCGCTCTTGCGCGGCAGTGGGAGAGCTGGCCCTCACAAGGCAGTAGACGTGGGTAATGTGCGGAAGAGAAAGAAGTTGCGAGAGAATGTGTGCTCCCAGTGAACCTGTTGCTCCGGTAAGGAGCTGTGACCATCTTGTTAGCAGGAGTTTGCTTTGCCTGTCCATAGGAATGATTACTTACGACGACTTCCCCTTCAGGGACAGAAGTACCAGCTTTAAATGGCTCGAACTTGCCGTATTTGGCCACAAGTTCCTCCATAATTTCCTCTTCCTTCTTCTCCACGATCGTGGATCCGGTTCTGAGAGACACCAGGTATTCTGTAAGTCGAGTGATGTTTGGGTAATCAAACACCACGTTCTGGCCCAAGACATTGCCACCTAGGTCTAATTCCCGAACAATATGGGAACGGGCATTGATAGCCTGCAAACTGTCTATTCCAGCAGCGAAGAAGTCGGTCTCGTTATCCAAAATTTGCACGCCAACCCGCTCAGTGAAGAGATTTCTCAAATAGTCCCGCAACTCGGGACTCTCTAATGATAGGCGCTCTCCGCCATCTGCTGAAGTCTCAAACTTCTCGTAGACGGATTCAATGAGGTCGTTGAAATGCTGGTAGCATGCAGCACGAATGACTGTGCCCTTGTCTGTTCGAGGGTAGGCGGTGCCAGCCGGTAGGATGGCCACCATCTCGCGAGATATTCTTCCGAATTGTTCTCCCTTTTCGTTGGCATCGTCAATGATCGGCCAGAGTTGGTCCAGAAGCTCTTCAGCTGATGTAGCCGCAGCGTGCTCACTCGGCATGATAAGAAGGCCGGGAAAGGCCTTGCCGACGCCGAAGACGAGACAGTCCTGGACCAGCTCGCTTTGCCGGACACGATGCTCGTACGGGACGGGAAGGACCTTTTCCCCGTTGAAAAGGGTAACGCGATCATCGAGACGACCAAGATATTTCCAGGCGTCAGCGATTGTAGGGTGTTTCACAAAAGTGTCTCGAGTTCGATACGAATTCGGCGGTTCGTCAGAGTTGGAAATAGTCTTAGTGGGTAGCCCGTCAAGTACCACCAGCTCAAAAATTCCAGGAGTAATCTCGTCAAACCAGAGATAGGGCTTGACCTTCTCCAGGGGTCTAACGTAGTTCCAATATTTGTCAGTCTTGGGGTCCCTTTGAGAAGTCATGAGCTGGCCCATTTCAGTTCTATGCAGTGTTAGTTGAAAGACGAACATGAACTATCCTCTGCTTATACTTACGCTCCGTAGTGCGACACAACGTTGACATCGTTTTGAACAAGGAGATCTCCCAGATCATCAGGGCAGCTACTTCCTCCAAACAGAACCAGCCGAGCCTTGGCTAGTTGCCTGATACCCTCCTTGGTTTCAGCCAATACTTTGAGAGCGTAGGGAACGCAGTGGAAGCTTTCAAAGTCAGCGGCCTCCATCGCCGCGACAAGATGACCGTTGGTGAGTGGCAGGTTTGCGTTGTAGATGGCCGTACGCTGCCCGCTGACGAACCCACGGAACATTGTTGACAGCCCGTGGTTGTGAAACAGAGGTAGCGTGACAAATGCACGCATGCCCGTGCCCGTTGCATAATTGCTGAGGCATTGCCTGTGTGTCTGATAGATGGGCTTGGGTAGGCCTGTGCTCCCCGAGGAATGCACGATAAACGCGACAGTATTTTCCTCGTCAATGAGCTCTGTCTCGCGTTGGAACCTTGTCGGAATGTTCGACTTTTGTGACCAGACGGTTTGGTCTGCAAGATCGAAGCTTCGAACAGGATAGCCAGCGTCCTGTATTTTTGTGATGGTGGGCAAAAACTTGGGAGCTGCCACAATCTGGGTGCTCTCTGTCTTTTCAAGCAACGAAACAAAGGCCTCTGTTGGAAGGCGGGTTGATAAAAACATGACAGAAAATCCCATCCTCGATAAGGCAAGAATATGAATAATGTAGTCGAGGTTGGAAGACCCCAACAAGCCCACGACCTCCGCCTTGGTGGACTTTGCCGACTGCCAGGCATGTTAGTAGGAGCATGAACAAAGGATCACTCATCACTTACAGAGGGCTTCAGCCCCTGGCGAGCTAGGTTTTTAGCAGCCTCATCGGCGAATTCATCTAGTTGCCTCGCAGTGTAAGCGACAAAGTCTGCGGCTCCAAGTTCCGTGCCGGGGTACTCCAGCAGAGGAGTATCTGGGATGGTCCGCGCCTGATGGAGAATGAAGTCATTGATGCTATTGATCTGCTCCTCCCTCTGCGTGTATGTCTGGGGCTCTACGATCTCGGTAGCGAATTCAGAAGCCACCTGGCCCAAGGTCGCTACTACTGCCATAATTGCGCTGTTGGTTGTGATATGGCGCTCTGGTGGGATTCAAAGTAGGAGACCAGGGTGAGAAAATGTGCCAGCAAACCAAATAAGAAATCAATTGACCGACACTTTCTCAGCGCGCACGTATTATTGGCGAATCCCCTCCTCTGCGCCTGAGAATGGGCCTTATCATCAATCCGGCCAGCGCGTGCCGTCGGCCACGCGGCCCAAATTCCATGCGTGCTGCAGGTGAGCCGTGGGGGTAGATCGGAAAAGTGCACAGTCTTGGCTGGGAAATGTCGGTAAGCCGTTCGGATATCACGCAGGGATATCACCCACGACACTTTTCCGATGCTGGGGCCGGCTGTATCATAGCCTCGGTCAACCGTGACACGTGAGGCCTTGAGGCCCTAAGTCCGGTTGCTAGGGCAGAATTTGTGCTTGAGTCAGTTCCTCCTCACAGAGGACGGAAATGTGCCAGCTGGATTAGCTGGGCTTCTGGGCTTTTGGGCTTTGGGCATACAGTGTCTGATTGAACAGAGAGTCGTCCAGAGTGAAATAAGCAAATTTCTACTTGGGCTCTATCAATAAAAGTTCTTAGGCGCTAGACTTAATCGGAAATGGGCATAGAGCATTCTCTAGAAATAGGTATATTCTGGTTAATCTCGACATTCTGCACTACTTCGACAAAAAGTCGATCCAAGGCTCAAGGCCTATATCCGTCTCACCAAGATAGGACCTGAAAGACCCAAAGCCACCCGTAACCTATAATAGTATTAGGGCCAGGATTAATAAGAGTACTTCAGAACAAACTTACCAGAGAATCAAACTGGCTCCAACCAGCCATCTGCACGATGGAGCTCCCCGGGCTGCCGTCAACAAACCCAAGTACGTCGTCCCCCAGCCCTAAATGATCCACTGGGCCGATTTCTCTCTCTACGTGATTATTTTCCGATGGCATACTAGGATGTGCGTCTGTTTGTCCCATATCTATACCTACACCGTCTGCGATCGCTCCATCTTGTGATGTGGTGAGTCTCATCAGATGGGTGTTGAGGCGTAGGAGTTCCAGTCGAAGCTCTTGAAGCACCAGACCATATCTATGAGCCAATGATCCGGGCATGGCAATGCTCATAATCTGCGATTGACATTTTGTTGCAACCTGAAAAGCATTCATGTATGATTCGGGAGGGGAGTGTCGCTGCTGAATCGCATAGACATAAACCATGACCACAGCACAGAAGGCGAAATAAAGTGAGAACTTGAAAACTCAAGTGTTAGAAATTGCTTCATGTTTGATTTCACAAGGGAAACTTACCCAGAATGTGTTGTACAGCTGTCCTACAGAGTTGAGCTCGTCAAACTTGGCCATGATGTTCATGGCTGCATTCAAGCAACTCTGGACATGCCAATCGGCAAGCTCTGCATCTCTCTGTGTCTTTCTGTGCTTCGTAGACCCAAGATTCGCCAAGCTGGAAAAGTTGCTCAGTAGAAAAGGACGATGGACAAGAATTTGCGCATGCCAAGATGCCAAACTGAGAACATTTTGTTGACGTCGGAAGATGGGCTGCAGAAGAGATGGATCAATCGCATTTTTGTCCACGAGATAAGATGCTTCAAGACGCCAGGATTCGATTTCTTTGGTGTATTTGGCAGCCAACTTGAATAAATTTTCTGTTGACGGAGGATGAATGTCGTACAAGTCATGGAGGATATTACCGACAATTCGCGACAGTCTGAACACAATTGTTAGTCTGCGAGTCTACTCTTTTAAGTCCTGTCGACTCACTTAATATGCGCAACAGCTCCCGACATAATTGTCAAAGATTGTCCATTCGGAGGGGGCTGAGGCGGTATCCCACCATTGCTCAGTCGGCCATCGTCGACGCACAGGGGCATTTCTTGGTCAATATCTCCCTCACGGAAGGTTCGTGGGCGACCCAAGGACGCACTCAGATATGTATCCAGGTTATATGCACACCAGAAAGTTCGCTTGCGACACTCCACCTCGACATGATCCAGATTCCTATGCGATTTACGATGGATACCCAAGGCGAGCATGAGGTGGGCAGTGGTGCCAAATAAGCTCCAGCAATGATTAATTCTTGAGTGGCAAAGGAGGAAAAAGCACTGCATCAACCTGGCCTGCACGCTCGTTAAGCGGATGGCCCCCTTTTCTGCAGACAGCTGTTCTTCTGCCGCAAAGAAATATCGTGCACTGATTGTGGTTGGTTAGCAACACTCCATGTCTGAACGAGGGACCTGGAACTTTCACACCTCGCTGCGGGATCAACCTTGCCTCCGGAATTGTCCCTGGGGTAACTTTCCGCGCTGGCAAAGACCATGAAGAGCAGAGCTGTCTTGCTCGCTGAGGTCGCTGGATCCCGCATAACCCCATTGGTCTCGTACAGCTCATGGAGCCACTCTTCAACGGTTGGCCGGTGGAGAAAGCGATGGGTAGCTGCACCAAACTCGAAATATCGACGCAGCAAGGCGTCTGCTGTCGTTCGAGGTGGTAGAATGAGGAAACGAGTGGGCGGTTCCTGAAGCGGCAGATCGCCAAATGTGAAAATGGAAGAATCAGATGAGAAGGCAGATGGTTGTTGTTGAAGCTTTCTCTGTATCCTCAACAGGAACGAGGCGCCAGAGGAGGGTCCAACATAGTGCCCCTGTTGGTCTGTCTGCACTGGTTCGGGAGAGTTTCGAGACGACAAGTTGACTGGCACGCTTTGGCCGTTGCTTGTGGACTCTAAGATACCTGTGCTACCCATGGAGAGGGGACTTCGGGGGATATTTTCTGGAACAACTACGTCTGGGCCAACCGCCGGAGGTCTTCGAAACCGCTCTTCGGTCGGCGGTGGACCTGGTGACTCGGACTCTAGACCCCCGGTTTCAGGCTCGATAGAAGGCGGACGTCCGCGACGATACAGTGCCGTGAACTGGAAGACCGGGTCAGTGGCCTGCCATAACTTCGGAGAGCCCAGAACATGTTTCCTACTGTGCAATCCAGGTGGAGTCTCGAGCACAAGGCGCAAGGCCTTTTCCCGGAGCAGCGTGTTTTCCGACTAATTGAGGATGATAAGAGTCAGCTCCAGACTCCGGTAAGACAACATTGGAGATGAATACCCTTTACATCGGTCGCAAGCTCTGCTGGCCCTGCTCCTCTCGTGCGCAGGCTTGCGTCTCCTCCTAGGCCGTTGCTGGCTGCGGTGGTCGTGGCTGTGGCGGCCATCTGGATGGGCAGCCGGCATAAGATCCATCACGAAGTGTCTTGTCAGGAATACGGCGGGCCAAGTGATCGGTCTCCGCTTGATTGTGGGAATCTGGGGAAGGGAAGACGGGAAAGTGCCAGGCTTGATTGAAGAATGTGCAGGTCCGTGGTTTTTTTCCGATCCCGGATGTCGCTTATTATTATCAACATGGCGTGCGGGGTTTGCCATCACCCGCCAACGGATCTGGAATCACTGTTTGCGGGGGCAGCAGGGGGCAATAGGGGATCCAGTAAGCGATGGCTGGTTCTGGAGTTTCTCCGGCATCAACAGCTGTCCTCTTCTCCGTACCCCAAGACAGTACTCCAACAGCCAGCCACTTGAGACTCTACTGTAACCCATCACTTCCAACCGTTAATCGAGTCTTAATGGAGGCATACACAGTGACTAGTCTATTATACGACGCCGATACTTCATCACGTCTTGATATACCACTCGCAACTTAGAACCTAGGCTACGGCTATTGCTTAACGGCTTTCGTATTCACATTATATGGATATTTAAGATGTAAAGAAAACGCAAGGATTGGGGGAAATTCAACGTAGTATCTCATTGACACAGTATGACTAACCTTTGTTCTTTTTTCTCTATCTCACTACGCAATCACCACTCTCGCAACTCGCCTCCGGGCCCAACAAACCCAGGGCTTACCCATGCCTTGGCATCCTTGCTCAGTTCACGGATCTTCGCTTCGTCGACTTCAATTCCAAGACCTGGTCCATCCATGAGCTGGATATAACCATCCTTGATATTACTCCAGATTTCAGGATTCTTGATGTAGCTGAATAGATCATGCCCATCTGTGTTGTAATGAATTCCAAGACTCATCTCCTGGATAGCAAAGTTGGCCGTTACTGCATCGACTTGAATATTCGCTGCTAGAGCAATCGGACCAAGAGGGCAGTGTGGCGCAATGGGGACATCATATGCCTCCGCCATCGTTGCTATCCGTCGCAGCTCCGAGATGCCACCAACATGAGAGATGTCAGGCTGGAGGATATCGACACATGCAGCTTCCAGGAATGGCTTGACATCCCAACGGCTGTGGAGCCGTTCTCCCAAGGCGATTGGGCAGGGCGCTTGAAGTTCTTTGATCCCCTCGATGTGCTCTGACAAAAGGGGCTCCTCGATAAACATGGGGCGAAGGGGCGCCAGAAGAGCGGCAAGCTGCTTTGCCATTGGGCGATGCACACGCCCGTGGAAATCAACACCCACATCCAGACCGGTCGCCTTGACGGTCTTCACACGTTCAACGCAGTTATCAAGCGCTGACGGTGAGTCCAGCCATCCAAGATCCTCCGTTCCATTCATCTTCACTGCAGTAAAGCCCTGCGCCTTTCGAGAGAGCCTGAAATGGTCAGCCATTGGTGCGGGAGCCGGATAGCTTGAAAACTTACGCTTGAGTCTCCACATCAGAAGGCCTGTCACCTCCAATCCATGCGTAAACCTTGATAGTGTCACGGACCTTGCCCCCGAGAAGCTCGTAAATGGGGAGACCGAGCTTCCTTGCTACATGCTAGGATTAGGGCTTGCTTCCTATGACTGCATTGGACAAGTGAAACCTCACCTTTGAGGTCCCAAAGAGCGATATCAATGCCTGATAGGGCACTCATAAACACCGGACCACCGCGATAGAAACCCATTCGCCACGACTTTTGCCAAATTTGTTCGATTTCGCTGTAGCCTGTTAGTAAACAGAGAGTTCATATATTAAGGGGCGGCCTCTGCATACTCAGCCTCCATCCCTGTGTACTGGGAAATCCATGCATCCAAGCATCCCTCCACAGCTTGTGTGTGGCCCTCAAGAGATGCTACATTGCTGTTAGAACTTTAATTGAGACTTGACAACACATAGTATCGTATCAAATGGGTTTACCTTCTCCCCAGCCAACGTTACCGTCCTGGTCGGTGATCTTGACAAAAAGCCATCTAGGCGGTACACGAAAGTACTCGATGTTGGCAATTTTTCCCATTGTAGCTTTTCCCAATGCAATTGAGTCAATCTCAGTCTACCTCAGTCAACTGAGCTTTCTTGCTGACTGAGGTAGACCGAGCTTTCTTGGGAGGTTTTGTTGGAGAGGGCTCTACATAACTCCACATTGCCTGGCGCCGGAAATGCAACTGGTTGGCGGGCCGAAGCTGATTAGAGTGAGATCTGACTGACATTGCCGTCTCCGACTTGCAGTGTCCCTCCTTTTGCCGGTTCAAGAATCCGATTTCGGTGGCTGTCAGTTACTTCGGAGATAATTAGCCCGAAGCCACGATATCCGTCCCAGGCTCCGTCATTTTCTTGGGGTCGTTCGGTCTTTGTCCGTTTTATCCGCTATAGTGGCACTTTCAAAATCCATGTCATCGTTGTTTACCTTGTGTGGAGTTGTTCCCTAGGACGTACTGAGAGTGATGAAATCAGGATCCAGCTCTCAAATGAGCAGAAATGCAATCATTTCCATTAACATTATGGATCGCGAGCAGTATTGATAAATTGATAATTTTTCTAATCAGTTAAGCCCACAATAGGCGATGCAGTGTACGAATCAGTTCAACCATATTCTATAGTTCTAGGTATTTCTATTTACTCGCTTGCGCGGCGATCCAATCTTTCCTGGCCTGCTTTAATTCCTCCTCGGTGTGCTCCCCAAAGACGTTCACACCCAGTCTCTTGGGCATGTTGTATCTGGTGTTGGTGTCCAGCGCATTGATTTTTGCGACGACCTCGGGAGACAGCTCGAAGTCTTCAAAGTTCTCTGCAATTCTCGATGGAGTGACCGATTTGGGGAGGACGGACGTGCCGCGCTGGACAGCCCACTGGATGAGGACCTGTGCAGGTGACTTGCCAATCTCCTTGGCGATCTTGACAACCACCTCGTTGTCAATTGCCTTAGGGAGGTTGTAAATGTTGTTTGCGGACGGGCTATAGGCTGAGGTGTGGATGCCGTGCTGCTTAGACCACTCCAGCAGCTCGGGCTGTTGAAGAAAGGGGTGCGCCTCGATCTGGTTCACGGCTGGCTTGATTTCGGCACTGCAATTCCAGGTTAGCTTTGTAACGGAGGAGGGAAATGACAAACGCACAATTTGAGGATCTCCTCAATCTTCTCCTTGTTGAAATTGCTGACTCCAATCGACTTGACTTTGCCCTTCTTCACCAAGGCCTCCATGGCCTTCCAGGTCTCCTCGACTGGGACATCGACAACAAAGACGCCCTTATCGGCAGGATCGATAGGGAAGCGTTCCTTGGCGCTCGCGGGCTTCTTGAATGAGACTGGCCAGTGAATGAGGTAGAGGTCGACATAGTCGGTTTGGAGGTCCTTGAGGGTCTGGTCCAGGGCCTCCTCCACATCAGCGGCCGCGTGATGAGTGTTCCATAGCTTGGAGGTGATGAAGATTTCATTCCGGGGCACTCCAGAAGCTTTGATACCCACGCCGACCTCTTCCTCGTTGTCGTACACAGCGGCCGCGTCAATATGGCGATATCCGTGCTTCAACGCATACTCGACAGCTCGCGCGACTTCATTCGGACCGGATTGCTAAAATTCAAGGCGTCAGTCGATACTACTCAACCAGTTTGCGTACACTCGAACAAGCTCAATGCACAATGCAGCCGTTCTCAGGTAGGTGCTTCAGAAATGACTTACCCAAGTACCCAATCCCACTGCGGGGATAGAGTGGCCTGTATTCAGCTTAAAGGTGCGCCCTGAAGACATGGTAGCGGAATAATGGCTATGACAAGGATTGTAAGCGCGCGAATGGGCAAGGAGCGGCGAGCGGAATGAGACAAGATGCGAGGGTCAACGAGAAAAGGATAGAAAATGGAAAATTAGCCTGCGCAACGTCTGCATGATAATTATTTTAGGTCGCTCATCACGCAACCCCAAGCTTCTCCGTTCAGTGTAGAAAATTAATTGGGGCATCGGCTTTCTGTGAGTATTATCCGATGTTCGGATGCAAAAGATACCCCTCACGAGCCGTCGGTGGATCTGCCTCTGCCTCCCATCCGGGCATAAAAGATCCATCCGTAACATTTTGCGGGGTCGTTAGATGGGGGAGATAAACAGTTTAGGCGGAGCAGCAGCTTTTGTTTCTCATATCGAAAAGGTTGGGTTTTTTTTCTCTATTAGTTCCTGCAAGTTTGTTTGGAGATTTGACTTTGATTCTAATAGCGCTTCAGTTCCTGCGCAACTCGTAGATAATTCCCGGGCCAAGAGCACACTGAGACATGACTTCAGCAAGCACAAGAAACAGGGTTCGAACCCGGCGAAATTGCAATCGTTGTGGGATTAAAATTTAAAAAAAAAATCAAGGATCTGGACTCAACTTGGATGAGAGAAGGAACAAATAGATCCTAGTTGCAGAGTTGATAACGATACAACCCAGAGTTGCAGAACCCTTCACGAGAAATAACTGATGTGTAGGGTAGCTATATCCTGTGAGATATCTCCAAGGGGGATTAGTCAGGCCTACACCAGCACCATCCTACGTCGCTTAGAATGTCCCTGGTTTCAGGGATAACCCATGCGGGAACTGCCCACCCCAGTAGCCCAGTTCTTCAATCCCACTCTAACGGTGAGGATAATAAGGCCATGGTACGGGGAGAGACAACTGTGCTAGCATCAATTTCATGCGATGTCACGATCTTGTTCCGAAAATCTCACTTCCTCTTATTAAATACATCAGGTGAAGCAACTATACGAACTATACTGATTGACGGACTCGTAACCTCACCGCTGTTGCCGTTGATGATTTTTAATCATTCAATCTTTGCCAAGATACCCTCTTGACATAACGACTTGAGTTTTCTCAGAATGCAAAGTCTCTACTGTCTTGGAGCAAGCGAGAAAGTTTCTGGAATAAATCTATACCAAGACTATTAGTAGGTATCACAATCTATGAATTGGCTAATAATGGACCTTGGATGTGTGGAAGATCTCATGCCAGCTATAAAGCGATTAAGGTTCTGGCTCGGCACGGGATACTACCCGTCACTCTGGATGAACTTCTCTCTCTCTCTTTCTGTTATTAATAAGATTTTACCGTGTATGATAGGCTGAAATAAATCAACCATCACGGGTGGCCGCTTGACCAAATTTATCGCCGTTATTTACAAGTAGTCTGCTTCTATCGGATCTAGGAGGCCTAATGTCTTTTATATGAAAAGGAAGCACAGAAATCTAGCACAGGTTCCCTATAATTGTATTTTAAAAGTCTACAATTAATAGAAGAATCTAAGAGCTATCAATAGAACTTCTACGTCGTCATGAAGGGTCGAAGCGAGAAACAGGCTTTGGCACTTGCTAACCACTGCTTCATAATTCTGATTGATTTGGGATGCTTTGTAAATAATGACCTCTACCCAAGAAGCATTTCAGCTCTATGTTGTTGGCAGTCGCCGTTATCAATAGAGTCATTATGAACGAAAGATTCTAAATAAGGTATACTAGCGATTCTCAACCATCACACCACTATTAACAGTGATTAGACGAACGGCCGACCCGCCAATGAGAAAGTCTCTATTAGCGCATGGGGTCAATATTGGCGGGATACAAGGGCCTTGTTCACGAGGTCACCGGTTAGAGATACGGCAAGCTTGGCATTCCGTAATATCTCGCTTATCAGGGGACAAGTGTCAGGTAAGATTAGACTGGCTAGGAAACATGCTACGAAAGGCCTCGGGTACGGCATGTCGGAAAATGCAGAGGGCCCGTTTTCCTAGCGTTGTTGTTGGTCACTTTTCCGAAACCCTCATCCCATTGGCGCCAACCTCCAAGGATGAGGCGTGGATCCCTATTTCCCCGCCCCCAGATTGCAACCCCATTCTGTTCTTGCCGGAAAATGGACCGTTGAGCTGTGGATCTGACGAACCTGTCCCCGTGGGGAATTCCTCCCTAACGGTCTCTCTATCTTCTGGGCGGCTTGCCATGTTCAGATAAATAACACTCCAAGTTCTGGTCGAACGAGAGAATACTACACCGGTGACAGCAGTTCTGCATTCGACCTCCCGGAACAAAGCATGATGGCGGCAGCAAACGAGAACACTCCAGCACAAGCTCCGGCACAAGTGTCACCCTCTGTCCTGGACAGTGGCAAGAACCAGGTGGCCCACGTCGAAGAGTGCCCAAATGAAGATGAACAGTTTCAGAAATTGCCCAAGATCGAGAAGGTGGATGAGTTTGGCGCTCATACCAAGACAGACCCCAAGGAGATCGCCCTTGTGCGAAAGCTTGACTGGTACATTCTTGTAGGTTGACGCGATTGACACATCCGATTGAATTCTTTGTCTAACTTTTGCAGCCTATCCTCTGGTTGATGTACTTCTTCAACTTCCTCGATCGCAACGCCATGGTCAATGGCAAGCTGAACAACCTGGACAAGGACCTCGGCATGAAGGGAACTCAATACAACACCTGCGTGTCAATTCTCTTTGTCGGCTATCTTTGTGGCCAGGTCCCCTCGAACATGATTCTCAATCGTGTGAGACCTAGCTGTATGTGACGCAGCCTCAACAAAATTGCTAGCAGGAAATGACTGAGATTCTTTAGTTTATATGGCTGGGTTCAGTCTCGCCTGGTCCGTCGTATCTCTTTTGACCTACAAGGCAAGCACGTACGAGCATATGCTGGTGTGTCGCTTCATCCTGGGTATCGTCGAGGCTCCGGTACGTCACACTGAAGAACATTATCATACCCCAGAGACGATAGTTGCTGATCTGCCTGACAATAGTTCTATCCTGGTGCCCTGTACATGATTTCTATGTTTTATACGAGGAAGGAGATGGCAACCAGAATGTCTATTTTCTACACCGGAAACATGTGCGCCAGTGCCTTTTCTGGTCTGATTGCTGCTCCGATCTTTTCTGAGCTGCACAATAGACATGGGCTCGCAGGTTGGCAGTGGTGAGTTAATTGGAACCTTAGAAGGCGCAGGAAAGCTGACGCATTTAGGCTTTTTATCATACAAGGAGCTTTCTCGATTGGAGTTTCGATTATCGCCTTCTTCACCCTCCCAGACAGTCCTCTAAAGACCCGTTGGCTCAGCCCTGAGCAGAGGGAGCTTGCACACAACCGTATCGCTCTGGATACTACCAACCGCCGAGAGAAAACCAGCGTTTGGACTGGCCTGAAGGAGGCAGTTGTTGACTGGCGTGTTTGGTTGTTCTGCTTTATTGACATTTGTCACCTTAGCGCCAATGGCTTTGTGAGCATTTTCAAATTCCCCCAACATCCACGAATTCTGAACTAACGAAAGACAGAAAAACTTCCTTCCCACTGTGATGAAGTCGCTCGGATACAACACCACCATCACTCTCGTCCTCACCTGCCCACCCTACATTTTCGCTGGGTTCTGTTCAGTTGCCGTCGCATGGTCTTCTGGGAGAAACAACGAGAGGACCTGGCACACTACCATCAGCAAGTTGATTGCGATCGCTGGCTTCGTGCTATCTTGTGCCACGTTAAACGTCCCCGCTCGTTTCATCGGCATCATGCTTTTCGTGGGTGCCACATACGGCGTGAACAATATCATCCTCGCATGGGTCGGATCCTGCTGCGGACAGACTGACGAGAAAAAGGCTGTTGCAATTGCCCTCGCTAATACGCTGGGCAACGCAGCCTCTATCTACACCCCATACTTGTGGCCAGATAGGGAATCCCCACGATTCCTGATGCCCATGATGGCTAGTGCTGGCTTCTCTGGAGCCGTCATTATTGGTGCTTGGTTTCTGCGAATATCATTCCAGCGAAAGAACAAGAAGATGAGAGAGGAAAACCCTGGAGAGACCAACTTTTACGTATACTAGACACAATTTTGGGCGATAGAGACGGGGGAAGTTGTTCCATTGTGCGCAACACAACACAGATCAATTCAATCAGGAAGGGGAATATTTGAGAACTTTGAAATAGTTACAACTAGTCTTTGGCAATCCTTAGTAGTTAGTAGACAACAAAGTTTGTCTTAGTATTCCTGACTTCTAGCCCCAAAGCGCTAGAATTGCACATTACAGAATTAGTGACTGCCAAGTTGACATGTAAATGTGCATGTATCCAACTATCTAGACATTCAAATAGAAATTATGACCCTTTTTTACTTTCGCTACCTGTTCTTCTTCTGTTTATTTTTGCTTTTTGGAAATTGCAGAGGTCGGGACAGTTGTCTGTTGCCTTTGTCAAACCTCATCCAAGCCCCTCTGGCTCTTATATATTAGTCAACCACCCTGTGTTTCACCGTTACACAAACCCGATCCATCCACCTTGGGACCTGATGATGGGAAGAGGATCTGCCAATGTCTTGAATCCCAATGACGCTTCCACACAAGCGGATAGAGGGTACTTTTGATCCAGATTCACTTGCTCGCGAGATCTCTATGCTTACATCGTTTCCTATCAAAAACAAACTGTCATAATATGTGCGTGATTTGCAATTTGAACGGTCTCGCAGAACGTGGATCAGTAGTATTCTAAACCTAGCCTTAAATCCCACTTCATTTAGAATCCGAAAGTTCTTGGTGCCATGCAGCGTTTGCTGGCATTCAGTTGGCTTATAGCTACATCGCCATGCTTTTTCAGATGCACTACCAACCTCACGCTCTTTGCGGACTCAGATGGGAGTCTAACCACACGACTTATAACAAGCATTTGATAACCGCCATTATTGAACTGGGTACACTCAAAGCCGAACCGGGAGCAGGGCCACGGTGTGGATTTCTCTCGCGTTATGCCCGGTGGATAGAAAATCTCTCCGTTGTCCTTTAAATCAAAAATAAGTGGGAGAGCTATGCAGTTATGCGGCAGCTACTGAGAAAAAAAGGGGGAATTCCCAAGCACCAAGAATTTAACAACTTGACACCATACTGAGTATCACAACACATTAAACTTCAGCCTTTTTGCCCGGCTACGAGGGGTTCAACACCAACAATGGCTGTGCCCGGCAATGACTCTTTTGTGTCCTTTTAATCTATCGGTCAATAATGTCCTGAACCGTTTGGTTATTAATGCAATTCCAAAGTGACTACATGAAAACGTTGTAAATATAGCTGAGAAGTTAGTCACCCTTGGGAACTTGCTCTTATCACCTTCCTCCTAGGCCTAGAAAACCATTTAACCCCCCCCCCCCAGGTATCCGACATCGGAGAAGACAGATAAGAAATAAAAGTAAGATGGTATGACTCTTACTAAATCTGTTGACATTTATCTGCCCTTTCTGATATTCTCCACAAAGTCAGCCATATGACTGGTAGATCCAACTTCCTGTTCTGGCTCAGTGAAACTAAGCTTTAACCCCAGCTTCCACAACTTCCTATTCCGATCTTAACCAGAGGTTTAGAAATCATACTCCGCGCTTGTAACTGCCCATTTCCAGAATCAGTTACAAAAAAAAAGCTAAGCACACTGTCATGCGGTGTCGTTCCCCTCTCTGACCTCTTGCATCTGCCCTCTATATAGTAGGTGATAACCTGCACAAAGGTTCCATGCATAGGCTCATGAAATTAGATCTAAATGCGTCTGAAGATTATCCAAAATCGTGCGCTAAATTACGCCATCCCGTCGTCGTCGGGTCGTTCGACTGGTCCCCTGTGGTCACATTTACCTCTGGGTTATGGTTAATGGTTCGGGGCGACCCATTCGTACGACAGTCTCCAAGACCTCCAGAATCAGCCACACGGTGGCTTTGTTTCAAATTGATGAGTATTGCCCAGATACACCATACTTACCTCCCCACACACATTGTATCATTGATGTTACAACTCAAGTTCAAATATATTCGATTGGGGATCAGACTTGACCCTGACTCAACATCTCATTTCCCTCGAGAGAAGTCTTTGTCAACTCTAAAGCCACTGCCTTTAAGGGCCACTGTGTTATATTCATGACTTCTCGTACACCGCTCTAGTAGTATGCGATGATGGTAATTCACTCGCCTCTACTTCACCCTAAGCAAGGATCATCCTCTTGGCTTTGCCTTTGTCATCCTGAATCAGAAAACACCTTCCAAATAATGAATCTCTGCCCCACTAAATGGAGGAGTCCTTATCTACTCGGAGCAGACGGTTTAAGCAAGAGACTAATCCGCTCGGCCGAGGACGAAGAGATGAATACGTTTCTGTTCCGATCCAGTTTCGATTGCAGATTAGGTGTAATTTATGCTCAACGCTCACCCCGACGTTGCATTCGGTGTTATACTTAACGTCCGGATTTACATTGGAAGAGCCTTTGGAGAAGGATTCCGGCTGACCCGCCTTTATAATTGCCAAGAAGGGTCCTAAACGCAGAAATATCGCAGCTACCAATTCTGGCAATGCCCAGTATGCGGACATGGCAACGCGATCCACACACAAGGCTTACACGGCTCAAGATAGCACGGGCTGATTGAGACCGAGTGGCGAGGTTCGACATAGCACATCAGATAATGAGGAAAGTGCTCAACAGTTTGAGGCAGGACATGTTGTTTGAAGGGCCTTTGGCTGATGGGCCCCTGCCAACCAAAAACTATGTAAACGGGGTGGTTAACCCGTCTTCAACGGTATGATTCTACATCAGCACCCGTTCTTCAACAATCAACTCCAGCCATCTCCTCATCCCTAAAGAAACAATGGTCAACGCACGTTCCGTCGTGGCCTCACTTCTAGTGCCCGCTGTCTCTATGGCAGCAGCCCTCCCGCTCGATGAGGGTAGCGTGGGCATTTCGATTGTTGGAGGTACAACGGCTACGATCGGGGAGTTTCCATACATTGTCAGTCTTACTGATGGGAGCACCTTCTGTGGCGGTGTTCTGATCAGTGCCAACACTGTTTTGACCGCCGGACACTGCGCCGGCATGAGTCAGTCGTCTCTTAGGGTTCGGGCCGGATCAGCTGTAAGTCAATAAGTCCTTACTAGGAACCTTGATATGAGGGGAAAGAAGATCCTACTTGACTCTATCAAGTCGCAATCCTAAAGCATCGACCTAATAACAAATTATAGAACCGCTCCTCCGGTGGTACTCAAGTTGGAGTCTCTTCCATTACCATTCACCCCAGTTATAGAGAGGGTAGTGACGGCATTCCATATAACGACGTTGCCGTCTTTAGACTTTCCACCAGTATTCCTGAGAGCTCTACGATCAAATATGCTACCCTTCCCACCCAAGGGTCTGACCCTGCTACTGGCTCTTCTGTCACTGTTGCTGGCTGGTATGTGGCATTCCTCTCTAGACTCTATTAGGTTTCTGTTGAATATCGGCTAATTACCCATCTTAACCTCAGGGGTCTCACAAGTGAGAACGGCTCTGGTGTCGTCTCTGCTCTGAGGAAGGTGACCGTCTCCGTCATTTCCCGAGCTACCTGCCGCTCCCAGTACGGTACCTCCTCGATCACTGACGCCATGTGGTGTGCTAGTGTGCCGGGTGGCGGTAAGGATGCGTGCGGTGGCGATAGCGGCGGTCCTATCATTGATGCCTCAACTGGAGTCCTCCAGGGTGTTGTGTCTTGGGGTAACGGGTGCGCCAGAGCAAACTACGCTGGAGTATACACTAGAGTTGGCAACTTTGTTAACTGGATCAATGCCAATAAGGCTTAAAGAGTTACCTTGTGCTCCGAAGCCATTTAGTTGCACATAGTCATGTTGGTAAAGAAAATATTCTGATTGTGGATATAAGTACGGTCTTGAAGTGAATCGTTACTTTTCTCACACACATAGAAACTGCTATATTTTTCCTGCTCCATCGTGCTTACTTGCATATGATCATGCTGTGAAATGGAACAAAGGTTGTAGCTCTGGATAGCCTCGCTATCAGTTATCATACCTAATATTCCTTCATTCTCTGACCACCTTTGTCTGATGCTGGGCCACTTATCACATACCACTCAGAACCAGGGCCAAGGGGGGCGTATCGCATTATTGATGATGAGGTGTAGACAGAAGGAGGTTTCATATAACACCCTTCACTGGTTGTTTCAAGAGAGATTCTACAAATCTACATGTACACTTTTGCGTATACTTGGCTAACTATCCCGTCCCTATGATCTAGACATGTGCACCCCGAACGCAATTGTCGAAATTTCATCACCTCATCACCAGGGCTGATTGTAGGGAGGCCCGACTCGGATTTGTTGCCGAAAGACCATGGCCCTGGGGCATCTACGATACATTGTGTCACGCTGGTCTCGATTAGACACAAACCGTCGCGCTGCACAGCCCGCTTCATGACCTCTCTCCGTGCCTCATAAATCGCGCCGAACTCCACATCCTTTGGAATCAGCGTCTCTGAACCTTCTGTTGCCCATGTCCATACCCAACCATTCACATCACCCCAGCCACCCGTCACCAAGTGGAACAGAGTCTCCATGCGCACTGGAGCGCCCTGACTTGGGTATTCCTTGCCTTCTGGCACCTCGCCGTCATAATCAAGGAACACAACCCCATTCTCACTGATGCGACGGAAGTCCTGTTCTTCGAGCCCCATGGAACCCCCCTTCGTCAGGCAGATGAAAGACGTAGGCGGCGGCTGGCACGGGAGCATCGCTCTCCAGGTCGCTCTTTCGTAGAGGAAGGCGGCGTTGAGGTGGTCCTGGGCGAGCGGGAGGTCTTCTAAGTCCTCGGGGGTAAAGTGTGGATGGACGTCGGGCTCCTCCTCGTAGGGTGCCCCATAGATGGGTGTGTATGGGTCTTGGGGAGTCCTGGAGAAGAAGCCCATTCCTTGCATCCGTCGAGCCAACGCTTCTGGATTGAGACGCTTAGCGGGCGCAGACACTTCGTAGTCAGTCCCGGCAAGGGGGGCGCGTTGGAAGAAGGGTGGGAAGGCCTCGGCGAGAATTGGGTTGAGGACCACGGGAGTCGTGCCTGGGATGGGCCGAAAGAACAGGTGCTGCTGGATGGATGGAGAGTTGGAGATCAGGTCGTTCCATGTCACACAGACTCGCCGAGCGAGCAAGACGGTCTTGGGGTCCGTCTGGAGCAGGAGTGCCTCGAGGATCTCGGCGGTGTTGAGCAACGCCTTGCATGCTTTCGATTCCATTTCACCTAGCTTGGTGTTGGTTTAAAGGAAAAGAGTTCAACATGAAACGGCGCCGTTGGAAACGAAAAACCAAACGATGTAGAGGAATCAGCGCACTGCGCCTCACTGTGGACGCGGCTACTGTGTTAATTTCTCAAAGCAAGATGGAGCTTATCTAATAATGCGTATTGCGTATGCATACCCTTTCCTCAAGTCCAACATTGTACGAAAGGGTAGTTAAATCCAGTCCAAGCCCCTGCAATAGAAACCAATGGCACCAAGCAGGGAGCGGGAGCACCACGTTTCAATTCCTGTCGAGACCTCTCCTGGTCATCGCGTATAGCGTATAAGGCGTCAACCATGTGATCTTAGGAGAGAGTGGTTGGCCTTAAGATAAAGGGCGATAAATTCTTTGAAGTAATCCGCTCTAAGCTCTTTATATTAGGTCTTATTCAAGTTATTATTAGCTCCTGCCGGAAGCTGAGTGGCGACTGATTCTTTTGCGGACCAAGGAATGCAAGGTTTGATATTGTGATACGCTTGAGAGGTCGTGAAACATTTCACTGGCATCCCCAAGCGTTGAAATCGGTACACGACTAACTTAAATCACACAAGCACCATCTCGCCAGCTAAATTCTTCTCCGGCGCTAGCGAGGCAGGAGAACTCAGAACAGCTGGGCTTCCGGTAATAACATCACCGTCCACTCATAGAGCCGGAGCATACCCAGAAGGGTGGATTTTGCGGTATTCGCTGTGATTAATACTGCCATCAGCGGAGTCCAATCCCGTAACAGCCTTGTAGGCTATTGTTACGGTCTTGTATTGAACTCCAAAATCTTCTAATAGGAGATGTGAGACAAGGGAATAAGAGCCCTGGGTAAAAGATAAGGTAATTTCAGTTAGTTGAGAAGTTGATTATTGGACTGATTGGTTTCGATCGATAGCTAAAAGAGAGCAAGACTGGGGTTCAAGACAGAGGCTTATGAATCCTCTCCTATCCTTGTCACCCCATCAAGGTGTTTTCAAACTTCAACGAGATAGTGGATGCGTATCTGGTTTGCTTACAAGTTTTCAGGCCATGGAAGCGGCGGTATTTTGTCTTCCTAGGTGGTCTAATTAGAAACTTATCGGTCGACTTTTTCATTAATATTATCAGGGTATCTAGTTGGGAAGGCTAGCTACTCTTATTGTAGAGCATTAATGCGAATTGCGTGTTAGCCTCGAGGATTTCCACAGTATTCTTGGAATTATCCTCCTCGATGATAGCAACAAAGTCAGAGTAGACTCCGATTGCACATTTCATATCCGCCTCAATAGCTTGGCAACCTATCTCAAATGGCGTTCAAAATTGGCGTGCTGGTCAAAGACATCTCAACGTATATACTCCGCGATGAATGGCCATATGATTCCCGTCACCCATATGATTGAGTTTGTCGCCACCATTAGCCCCTTGGCCAGTTGGAATATATACAGGAGGCAAATAAACGTAACTTCCAATTGGGTACGTATTTCCCATCTCTTGTTGATATCTGTTAAGCAGAAGGTCTAGATCTCGAGCTAAAGGAACTTTTACCACCAGTCGCGTAAGAAGGTACTGTACACCTGTTGGTGAATTTGTTGCATGTGTCTGCCACGATCTCTGTAGCAATACGCAGGAGTGGCCGCAAGGCTGTAAGTGCAACTGCAGAAATCGCAGTGGCCAATTCTGCTGTACCCCATAGGGCTTGGACAAGACCATAGAAATTAGCTATCTGTCGTTGCTGATATGCTTCTTTATGTGGAAAGAGGTATTTGGATCGAAGTACTCACTCGCTCCGTATGAGCTGAAACCGAATACTCCATTGATGTATCGGGCTATCGTAACAAGAATCGTGATCAAACCTAGCCCAAGAATGATATATAGGCCGATTTTCTCGCGGAGATTTGGGAGCCTTAGATCACGAACAATGGAAAATGGGAAGATAAAGTCTAGTTGACTGTGAGAACTTGTTCGAGTCATACTGGGTGATATTTCTCATACTAAGAACCTCGGTTGCGAGATGCATGCCCCAATATATCTCAACAGGCATATCAGCAAAAAAGAACTTGCAGGACCCTGGTTCAGTTGACCTAAGTCCAATTAATCTGAAGTGTTCATGAGATCACTGACGGACTGGCTGTCTCTATAAGTGGGAAGTACACACCAGTTTGCGGCTATATCCAGTCCACAGTAAAACACCGTATAGAAGATGGTGACGAGGCAGCATGAAGTCGTGATTGCCGTAAGGCCATGGAGCGCTATTCGCAACCATGGTTGAGTACAAGGGACGAGGGTGTAGTATAATGCGATGATACTAAACTTGGGAAAGTAGATCCCCGTATCAAAAAGGAAGCAGATTGCGAAGCGGGCCTAGATGAATGGACCAGTGAGATCAATCACCAGGGCAAACACAATGTTAGAGGAGCACCTACCTTTAGCGTCGTAACTCCAGGGTCCACGATGTTGAGCCAAGTGCCTTGCTTCCAAATAATGATGTCTGCAGTCAGCAGGCCCACAGCTGCGCAACAGGCAATGACGAGAAATAGATCGGACAATATGAGGTTCCTCTGCTTCAAACGAAATCGTACCGACAGACGCGTAATAACGAGCAATATAGCAACAGACATCAGAGTCCATTGCGCAGCCTAGAATATCGGAGGTTAGACAGGGCTGGTCTCAGATGCGATCCGAAAAGATCATCTCGAATAAAAAAAAAACAAGAAAGATTAGAGTTCTATACTTACGATCACTGACTCCGCATTCATTTTTTCTACAGGATGATCACTGTGCATCTTTTGAATGAAGCCAACGAGCTGAGGTGCAAGGGCTGGGTGAGTAGAACGGATGGGCTCATGGCTTGGGACTATTGAGGGGAATAAACGAAGAGCAAAGGCTATGGCAAAGGACCGGATTTGTTCTAGCTGGCACGCATCAGTCCAATGAATGCCAGAACTCTAGAGTTTAGGTTTGGCAAACCAAACCAAGTAAAATTGGAATGCAGGAATCAACAGTATGCAGTGATGGCTTTAGTCTGTCTTAGAGTTTACATAGGATATGAGGCTGAAATGCTATATTTAATCCGACATAGTGCAATCCGTGACCTCGACCCTACCCGGAGAGAATAACTTCAACACGTTCGATAATTATCGTTTAAGGGGCGTACTGCGAAGTTATACAGATAGGTATATTTATAAACATGCTTGCCATTGGCGCGCGTTGTGGGAATCGCTGGAGTAGGAATTTTCATGACAACGCCTACTTAGACTGTTTTGACACTTTTCCTCAGTCCTCGAATTCATAGAGACCCACGAATTTTGTTAATCTAAGCGTAGTTCTTTTCTTTCCTGTTTAAGCCACTACCAGCACAAGATGTGTATTGGTTTGTTCTGGCTTGCCAACGAGGAAGCCTGTTGTGCTACCGCTTGATCCCTCGACTGCCTTGTAAACGTGAGATATTCATGCGCTTCTGCCTAATCAATCTGCCCACTCTGTCCAAGATCCACTGGCTTGCAGGGTTGAGAATCCTCAAGAAGCTTTTCTCACACCGCCTGCATAAAATCACGCTAATCGCCTGCTCTTATTTTACTGACAAGCCTTTGAGTCGATGAAAAAAATCGCCATGTCCACTACAGTTGCTAATCAAGCGAAGATTTTGGCAACATACGCCCCGTAGACCGTGCTATCTTCGACCATCTTCGAGACCTAGGAGAACACTCAGGATCACAGACAAACGTGAACAATAGCGTTGGCACCAACGATGAACTCTCTCTCATACGAACACTTACCACTCAACCCTGCCCTTTCATCAATAAGACTGCTTGTCATCCAACCAGCAGAATGGGATGCCCCTTTGGAGGCTGAGATGACTGTAGTCAGCTTGGCCAACAAACCGATCTACGACACACTTTCTTACGTCTGGGAAACAGAAAACCTCAAAGATAGAAGTAAGAGTATACTGATCAACGGCACTCCTATCCCATTATCTGATACTCTGTTCAATGCTATTCACGTGCTCCGGCCCCGCCGAGGCGTTGAGAGTACACCTTTACTAATTTGGATCGACGCTCTGTGCATTAATCAACGGTGCATCAGCGAGCGAAACAAACAAGTCCAAATTATGGGCGAGATATACTCTTTAAGTCGGCAGGTCCATATATGGATGGACGGCCTAACATCTTATTGCCGGGATCAAATGGACAAGTCATGGACTTTCTCCGGCGACGATGCCGATTACAATACTCTATGGTCTGAGTATTGCAAACACTTCAAGTTCACACAAGGGAGCACCGACAGAGCCTCAATCATATCACCAAGCCGCCATGACCGAATCGACCTATTCATGGCCTGGATCTTCAGGGAGCTTGCTAACGGCACACATCTCACGGAGGTAACCGCCTTTTTGCCCGTACTATGCTTGGATAGACTGTGGCCCAGCGTGCTCAAGCATCACATCTTGAGCTTCTTTTGGGATCGATGGTTTTACCGGCTATGGGTTGTCCAGGAGGCCGCTTTAGCCCCAGTTGGCCGGCTGCATTTTGGTTCCGTGTCTATACCTCTCGACACCATGATATCGGCGGCCTCAAACTACAGATTTCATTTGCATAACGAATGCTGCAAGGTCGCCGGCTTAAGTCGGGATGCCATCGACCAGAATCTAGCCAGCCTTCTAGATAGCTTTCACGAGTTGGGTGAACTGCGAAAAAACTTGAGCTCGAAGCCCACGGTCCTCGAATTGGCACTACAGCTTGTGAAAAGAAACGCGACCCAGCCGCATGATCTCGTATATGCACTTCTTGGTTTGGCGAGATCTGATATTGTACCCGATTACGAAGCCCAGATTGCAGATGTTTTTGTTGCCGCTTCTGAGGAACACATTCGCCAAAGCGGTAACCTGTTGCCTCTGTCTTTTGGAGGGGTGCGTAAGTCTACCGAACTGAAAAACCTACCTAGTTGGGTGGTTAATTTATCCATACCGAAAACCAGGACCGACCCTAATCCCAAGGTATTGGACTGGCTAGCACAAATACCACACTTTTCCGCTTCCGGGAAGCTTGGCCAGGAGACTCAGGTGGCTATCATTGATCGTCAGCTATTTTTACGTGGCATTTACGTTGACCGAATACAAGCTACGTCACATCAAATTCGTTTCGAAGGAGGCGGCTCGCCAAACCTTTTCACACTATGCAGCTGTGATCTTGTAGACGAGCAGACGTCCCATAGCGAACTCCATAAGAACCAGCCCATTACTTCATGGATATCTACTCCCGAGCTTCGAGGAAGTCCATATCCTGGAGGCGGTACGCGTATCAATGCCTGGTGGAGAACGATGCTCAGAGATCATGGCTGGGGTTCTGCCAAGACCCAAAGGGCGACAGATCGGCATTTATCTACCATTGCTATACTGAACGAATTCTGGGCTACAGGTCAGGATGATTCTAGCGAGAATATCTCAGATTATTTCGAGAAATCAGTTGGAGTAGACATGTCGTTTTTTAAGAGCGGCACATCGGACAGTGACATTCTCACCAATTCACTTCTGATTCCTACCATCCACGAGCATATGATCGTTACGCTAAGGAAGAAGAAGATGTTTCTAACAGAAGAGGGCTATCTCGGTATCGCGAGTAGAGAAATCCGGGAGCAGGATGAGATCTTCATCTTGCCAGGATCAGCAGTTCCGATTGTATTACGACCGATAAATCTCACCGACAGCGTCAAAGATGAGAAAACACATTTTAAAGTGGTCGGTGATTGTTTCATTCATGGCTTTATGGATGGCGAGGCAGTAAATAGCGCCAGCTTCAAGATGCAGGATTTGGTTATTTCCTAAAGCTTGAATAGTATTAGCCAAACTTTTTATCACTATTACACTTGATTGACGCCAACTTGTTTGCTGATGAGGTTCTACTGCTAATCGGGGTATCCCCAAACATGTTGAGTCCTAATTCAACCATTATTATCTGAACAGCAACGGGGGGGGTGATTCCTTCTCATCGACAAAGATGAATAAGCTTGACATGGTTAGTGGAAGATCAGCTGACATGAGCAGGCTCCAAATCAGATTGATTTTTTTCTTGTTTCAAAAAAATACACCTTTCGTCTTCCTATTTATAAAAATTTTCCTGCGTCGCACGCTTTCCTCGATGGCCTACGACGCCCTGACTAGAACCCCACGAGGGCTATCGCAGTTCCCCGTCGAAGTCCTGAGCATGGTATGCAGCTATCTATGCCTTCACTGTCGCCCGGATACGAAAATACCCATTTATGAACTCGACGATTGTAGGAGAAAGAATCGGAAAGCTCTGGTTGCACTCAGCCGAACGTGCAGTACATTTCGCGACTTGGCGCAACCTCTGATCTATCATTTCCATCCTTATCTACCTGGCGTTGAGAAATTTCCCAAGTTGGTCCGGACACTCGAAGAACGGCCAGATCTTGCCAGGCAAGTTAAATCGCTTTGCCGAGATCCGAACACCTCTTGTGGATGGGATATTCTGGAAGAAGAAGAGGTTGAGCTCATCAAATCCGTTGCTCGGCGACTGTGTATGGAGCGAGAAGATGATCCATACTTTGAAGACGCTGAGGAGGCCGACATGAGTGCTGAAGAGCTTTGCTTCGAAGTACTGGTGGCTATGCTGCCAAATCTTGAGTCACTAGAGATCAGTTTGGAGGACTACCAGATACGCGCAGAAGATCCACACTTCATATACCTCCAAGAGCGCTACGATAAGCTGAAATCTGCTGCGGCGTCGGCCCATCTTAAACATTTGATCTTTGATGGCGGTTGGGGATTCAACGCCGACAACCGTGCCATTACATCGTTTTTGAACATTTCGCCAAACTTGGAGCACTTCCAGTTGTTGGGATGCTTTAGTCCTTCTAGCGGGCGAGTGTTTCAAGACTCTGTGGAAAGACCGCTTCGTGTCGTTGAAATGGATAGGTGTTTCCTGCGAGAGGAACCAGCCTCTCATACTTTTCTGAGAGATATTATTGCTCACGCCCCGGATCTCCAGTGCTTTGGATATTCATTAGGCGCTTCTTGGGCGGAGTCGGAGGGCATTGACCAACTCCTTTCAGCTCTTGGGTTTCTGGCTTGCCTTCAGCCAGTGCAGTCTTCACTTACCTCACTTGATATCGACTTTACTGCTCACTCTTACGAAACTCTGCCAAGACATGTATTAAAAAAGGGATCATTACGTGCTTTCTCAAATCTAGAAACACTCCACCTTGACGATACCTCCATTTGTATACATCATCACGAAAAAGAAGCAGCCCCATCTTGCCTCGTTGATAACATCCCCCCAAATTTACACACTCTGAAACTCCGCATATATCAAGATACGTCTATATGGGGAGATTTAGAGAAGCTCGGTGCGGATATCCAGAGATTCCCACATTTGAAGGAACTCGTCGTTAATGTAACGACACAAAGTTATGATGAGGATATTGAGCTAGAGGAGGCCCGTTCGATGATATATAGCTGTGGCCGCGAATTAGCAACTGCTCTACTTGGAAGGAGCGTGGCCTTTACGTTGTTCTTTGACTGGGAGTCAGTTTCTATCCCCGTAGTCCAGATTCACTCGGATGAACTCTTAAGCAAAGAATGAGGTAGATATATTACAACTATTCATACCTCAAAGGCAGTTGATACGTGCGAATGAGTCTTCTTATCGCATCAGAATGCTATTGGCCCATTATTTCTGGGCATCTGAAAATAATTAGTTGATAATGTCCCCTTTTTAACAGTGAGAGCTGACCAGCAGCGACAAGCAAGACAGATAAGTCATTTATACGGCTTTGACCTACATATATTTCCTTAAGGCGAGCCGCCGCTATATCTGAACGAACGCCACCTCTGAGTTCAGTGTCCATGAGAGTGACATACTAACGCTTTAAGAAACAAGCGAGCTAACTTCGGGCCTTTAGGGATAATTAGAGCTCACAACAGAGGTAGAGTGAGGACACGCAGATCAATGCAGGCATTAATGCAAGCTCAAGCAGCCTAGCCTAGCCAGATGTTACCCTCCAGACAAAGTTCTGAGCCTTGAGAGACTGCGCAGAGGGGAAAACGACCTTATTATGGACATCCATCAGGTAGAACTGGAAGAAGACCTTCTCGTTTAGTGGTTGATTGACCAATTCCCCCCTCGACAAATAGTGATAGACTCTGATATTCCATGAAGTCTCTCTCACTGAACCTAGGCGAACTTTTTAACACTGTGTTGTACCGTCTTGATATCTTAGCCAATTTGAGGATCATTATTGCAACGACGGCGTCATCAACCTAGGGTTAGAGCTTAAAGGACTCATTTAAATTTCCGACTGTAAGAGTGAACAGCAGCGTTACTTCTCAGAATAAATGTTACTAACAATATCGTTCACATTCCTCGAAGGTCCACTGCATTTATGATAGACTTAGACCTCCTGTTACACTCTATAGAAAAAACATGATGAGTATCATCGGATAGACCGCATTTTGGCAAACAGGACACTGCTGTGATTTTCTATCTACTACAATGTCATTATACAAAGCAAAGCAGTCTGTCCGTGTTAGCGAGATAGAGCAGCATGAAATTACACAATCGATTAGAAGCATGCACATAAGTAATTTTGAACGTTGAAAGAGCAATGGTTTCTATCAGTGAAATGATAGGCACAATTGTTATCATTTCAGGCTATGCACAAGATCCAATAGCTATTAAATTAAATCAGGGAGATCCAAGAGGCAGTCCTCCACCCCTCACCTAAGGTCTGAATTGGCACAAGCAACCACCAAACTGCTTGGCTTTGCTAGAGCATGGGCCGCCACACTTCTTTCCGCCCTTGAAGCACAAAATTCTCTTGGTGACGGGGTCTTCGGTGCAAGAGCCTGGGGGAGGAAGAGCGCGTCTCTTCAGATCCAAAAGAAATCGCATCAGCAACTAAACCAACAGACAAGGGGTTTGAGGGAGGGAATCGGAATGCTTACGTTCAACACATCTCCAATTTTTCGTCGGCATACAAAGCTCGTCTACCGAGACCATCGTGTCCTCGCTGGGCCGCGACGCTTCCGGAGAGAGCGAGAAGGGAGAAGGTGAAGATTGAGCTGAACTGCATTTTGTCGGTTTTATGGATATAAAGTTGATATGAACTTTGGTAGAAGGCAATTATTGATAGGAAGACAGTTGCTGAAGAAGAGTATTGATAAAGTTGATAGATCTAAAGCAAGATTTAACGTCTAAAAGTGCAAGGCCGCGCCCCTTATATACATTAAGCAACAGATTAAGATCTCTACATTTTTCTATATATATCACATGTGCACGAGTCTGTAGCAAGGCAGGAAATTGTTCTAACGCTCGTCCAGGCAGTTCCTCTCACTAGCCCAGACTCTAGTGTAGGGAGAAGAACCAGTTTCTTATTCCTATCGGCCTTTGTATTCCAGGCCCTGAGCAGAAAGTGATTGGCAAAACAACCTGGCTGGTAATGAAATCGAACGTTGAAGAGCATCACACGTTCAATAGCCGACTCTGATTAACCGTGGAGTCCCCATAATCCAAGCAGATGTGAGTATTCCTTCCAGGGGCTTGTTTTAGGTAACTGCCGGCGTATTCATTCCAGGGACTTCTGTTAAAGGTAACCGCCGGCTCCGGAGTCTCGGTTGTTTGACAATCTAGAAGGATAAACTAAGAACAGCGAGGGGCCAGTACTACATCCCCCTCAATTTTGGGAGAGAAAAATACCAGTTTGCAGCTTAACGTGTACCTTTTTTTTTTCTTGGTTCCCTCCAATTATCAATCTTGAGGCGCTTACTCGCTAGGAATGCATAGAACTGATTCTATTGCAGCCATTGTAGTCAACTTACCCCTTTTTCATGTATCTTCTTTTGTTCCTCACTATGACTGATGTCTACTATACTCCAAGATAATGTACTATACTCCAAGATAATGTACTATACTCCAAGATAATGCTTGATCTAGTTGATGCACTAAGTGGGCGCTCCTGTTCTATAAAATATCTATCTTAGGCCTAGGTTTCGAAGGATCAAATACCGCCAAGATAGGTTTGGACCGGTGTGGGTATCTCCGTCCTGTCGGGTTCTCTGTTCCATCGTCTTTAATTTGTTGATTCTATTCCTGGCGCGATTGCGGCGTTTACCGGTAGCAAAAGACCAAGCATGTGATAAAATCCGGGGTGTGTGAGCTGTCCTGAGCGGTCAACCTGATCTCTGGGTTCTGGGAGATTTGAAAAACAATCAGTTTATATACGAAGTGCAACGTAGTATTCACTTCACAACGACAGAGCAAGACGGCCTGTGATATTCGGTTACTATAGAGGGTCTGGATTAACTCTATACGAGTTGATAAGCATCAACCTAGATCTACAGCAGCAGTCACAGTCGCTTTCTTAAAAGCCAACAATCTTCCCTGGCATCATCAAGGGCAAGTTAGCTGGGGCACGTGACCAACAAGCTGATTCCAGCAAACCGGGATTCCTTCAGCTCCTGAAGGACTGCGTCGGCGAGAGAGGGTGGGGCCTTGACATGGGCACTTGATCCAGCCGGATGTTGCGCGTGCTGTAGGAGCTGGGTTGCAGCTCAACCGGCGGCGGTTTGCGTCGGCAGGTGCCAGTTAACTCATCGCTCTACCAATTTTCACAACACATTTCATCGAATCTTCAAGTTAATTTCTCCTAGGCGATCATGCTACCTTGAAGCCATCAAGCCTATGCCTGCTTGGTATCCTCAGAGGAGTCTGTATAAAACAGCTAGATCGCACAGCAAGAAAACCGAACACACTTTTTCCCTCTTGGGATCTCAATCTATTTCGTAGCCCTTGGCGTAACTATATTCTCTCTGTTATGTGCGATGCGGGCTAGTGTGGTCCACCTCAACACAAAAAAAGAGTAATCCAGAAAGGTTCTCGTCAGGGATGGTAATGAGGCAAGGTCTAACTGCACCAGCAACTAGACTCTCAAATAGTCTTCTAGGGTGTGTCTATATGGGAAAGTTGGAGTGAATAACATTTTCTACCATTGATGGCAATGTAAATTGAACGCTGGGGAGAACATTGACTATTGTTTAGAGAGTTTCAAAAACATAAGATAGGTAGCGAATCTACTGAAGAACATCAACCCTTGTCCGGATCACCACATTATCCCCTCTCGAATCTCGAATTCCCCAAGTAGCAAAAATCGAATTTCACTTGAATCTAGTAGCGGAAGCGATGAGTCGCAACCGCCGTGAGTGTTCCTCCGTGTCCGTGAGACTGGAACAATACTTGGGGGGTCAAAATCATCCCCCTTTCGCGGGGGTCAGGGACCAGCAAATTAGCCAGCGACTCGCAAAGAAGAAAGTGACTTAGTGCACCATACGAGATTAGCATGTCTCATAAGTAATCACTTTAGATGTACATCCCGTTTTATTTCAAGCCGCTAGACCACATTTGCTTAACCCTCTGCCATCACGTTGTGTTTCTCACACTTGGCCAATCGAAGCCGTTGATACGGCGGGTGGGTCACTTGCGAAATTATCCCCCGTTGTGTGTTTGCAAATATCAGAGGACTTGCATTTAAACAAAGGTACGTATCTCCCATTTGTGGTATACTGGGTACGCGAAGTCACTTCTTTTTGTGAGTTACTGGCCAATTTGTTACAGATTCAGTGACTAAATGTACAAAGTCCGAAGTGGTGATGGTTTCCAATCCTCCTCTGTAGGGGCTTGTATCTATTCCAGGTTCTACTTTCCGGATCGATCACATCAACACCAACAATCCAATGCTACATAGTTCGCGATCGATCAATTCAATTTTGGGCTTCGGATCAATTGGGTTCGATTGATGAATACATCATTTTAGAAACTCTTTCGTTGAGATATTGGGGCCATCCCACGTGCGACATGGTTAGATTAACCCGCACGAGCATAGGGTAGGCGGGATAACAGAATTGCATGGTGGATCCACTCCGTTTTCTCGGATAAGCTACGCGTAACCAATCAATTGAATGATCACGCGTCTTGATGACGGCAGACAGTTTCAGGCCCGTAACGATCGCTCGTCTTGACAGAAGACGTCAGTGAGATTCGTAGCAATCTTTCTTATCAAGAGCAGACGCGTCAGTTAGCCTCTGCGAGTTAGCTGCCGCCATACATGACTGCTGGTCGGCGCGCACGACCATCGCTCGTCTCGACGGGAGGCAAAGAGATGAGCAACCAGGCACTGAGCTTCAGCCGATAGAGCCTCTAAGCGAGCTGTAGAGGATGTAAATTAGGATGTAAGGTTCTGAGATATTCCATAAGTCCACGCCCTCCATCTGTGCAGTGCGCGAGAGCAAGCAAAGCATCTTTTTCTCTTGCCTTGGCCAGCGGTTCTACTTTGTATTTCCAGGCTAAGCAAGATTGCTGCGCCGGACGACGCACACGGGACAATGCTGGCTGTGATGGCGGAAGCTTCAATATAGAACCCGGATGCTCCAGAAAAATGATGGCACCTCGATCCTTGCGTAAGTAATGAAGACTGGTGGATAAATTCAGGGACTCTGGTCACACCCTTAGCGCGCAGCGTGGCTTTGGGGTCTTGGAGACCACACTCAACATCACCTTTGGCATCTCGGTACATACTCCTCGTGTGAATCATATTATCGAAAATCAAGGCAAAGATGTCTATATATCAGCTATCGGGTGGAGGCTAGGTCAATATTCTTTAGAACTTAGAAGTTAAATTTTACAGGTGCTAACGTTGGATGAACCGACTGACTATGCTGGTAGCTCGGCCCAATCCCAGTCGTAGGAGGGCATGACTGACTACATATCCACCATCTTCAAGAACCGTCTTTGGGTGTTTAAGTAAAGCATTGTATTCATTGTATTGAGATGTCGGGCTCTTGCATCTTCTATTGTTGTTTGGCTTTATACTCGAACTCTCTTACGTGAGTAAAACATTGCAATCATCTTCCGGCGAGTCTTCCATGATAGCACAAGCGAGGTCAAACCTCCCATCTGATAAGACCAACGGAGCACAACAGTAAGATCACCATCTACGTGAAAAGAAAACCTGGTCTAGAGGGCGTTAGGACACCTGGAGTGTATATATAGAACTCGGCCCTATCGACTGCTGGGATGTGATGCGTGAATAGGACATGTACATGACGTTTTGGCAGTTGGTATGTCCGTACTTGATTTGTATTTAGTGGTAAAAATTCCTTCACATTACTCATGCTGTCGTAGTCGAATACTACAGTCAACATAAAAGGAGATTTGAGCCAGTGAATGGGTAGAAGTACGTTAAGCCCTAATTACGCTTTGATTGGTCAACAACGTAATAACCGATCAAAGTGAACTTCCCCTCGATCTCCGTGGTTGTTTTCTTCGCGGAAGCGTAAAAGGAGCAAATCCGCACCGTGGCGGGCTCCTTATTTCTTTGGCACTTTTTCGAGCTACCATAAAGCCATCATTCCTCCCGCTCTCTCTGCAGAGCTGTGCCTAAATGACGCCTCAACCGGGCATCCCACAAACTCTTTTCTTGAATTTCGCCGCAGCCCTCGTCCAGCCCCCAATGTTCGTGCACGGGGCTTCATGCGATGACAATCTCGCGGAGACTTCGACGATCGCTGTCACGTAACTCGGAACAATGTTCGTTCATAGGACTAATCTGGCCCGGGGAAGACGTTGTAGAACCGGATTCTCAGCCTGAAGATGCAAGCCTTCGAGTTTTGGTGGTGGATTCTTCATTTTTCAAGTGACCGTTGTTATGCGAATAACGATGACAGAGTTCACTGGAGTTATCATAGCGTAATTGAAATGAAAGGCGGCCGTTCCCAGCTTGAGTCGCATAAAGAAGCGACCCATCGACTTGGCAAGCTTAGACTAGTACTGAGGGACCTTGCCCGATGGATCTCCCACAGGGTTCACCCACAGACTCATGACTTCTAATTGGCGATATTACCTTCGCGGTGCCTCTGATTGCGGACCCCACACATACCTTGTATCGAGATTCTCGATTGAAATGAGCTCTCTTCACATTCGGGCAAGACGCCCAGGACCTTATCACGAAGAACTCGATTCTTGGTTGTGTACTTGTCGAGACAAGTGTCATTTATCCTAACTTAGTTTTCTACCATGGCTTGTTTCCACGCTAAATTGAGATGCTTTTGTAGCTAAACATCGAAGTTAGTTGTTCTGGTGTGTGTATTGTGAAGGGGTAAGAGCCTTTGTGTCGGGGGCCGACACGGAGCATGCTTCTGAGACACAAACCAATGCACTCCTTGTATAAGAGTACAAAGGAAGTTGAAACGTGGATATGAGAAAAAGGTTCAAACTTCCCATCAAGTGGAACGCTGCTAAGCATAAGGTAGCGCTCAGTTGCGCAATTTACAACCAAGATGATCGCCATGCGGATATTTAGGTTATGGCAATGGTTTCTGTATTGTTTCAGTCTGATCTTCAGTCAAGCCAGTTGGAGATCTAATCTACATATCTCGCACATCGCTGCCTTCGTCGTTATCACACCTAAGCCAAGTTCTCATTCAATCATCGAATAATCGACCGAGCCTGTGTCTCGCATCATTTTTACACTCAAATGCTATGTTCTAGGATTTTTTTATCCAAGTGCTTCAAGGAAGCTCAACCTCGATGAGACTTTCAACACCCTTCCCAGCGCTCCAGATCTTCACAATCTTCAGGCCAGCCATGTTCTCTAGTAAGTTGTGCCAGTCGGCCTGGGTACGCTCCTTGGAGCAGAACAAGGTGAGCATTACCATGTCCAGGGCTGAAGTCTCCCACCACGCACCAGTGTCGGGGATGACGTTCTCATTGATCAGCAGCTTGCTGTAACCGGGTTTCATGGCGGCCTTGATATTAGATAAAATGTCCTTGCAGACACTGTCGGGCCAGTCGTGAAGGACGGAGTGCATGTAATAAGCACGAGCACCTGCATGTTGTATTAGCAAGGGTGTGACTCTTTTTAGATATAGGCATGAACATCAGCGTATCATTACCTTTCTTCGGCTGCTCGGTATGGAAGTCATAGCTCACACGCTCAATCTCAGAGTCCAGGTCCGTGATTTGGCCGATGACGACGGGAAGATCCTCCAGGACCAGCTTGCCTGGATGATCAGGGTGGTGCTGCTTGAAAGAAACAAGATCGTGGCCAATACTTCCTCCAATGTCGACAATGAATGGAGCATCAGGGCTTGTGTCAGCACCATTGATCAAGTTCTCCTTGACGGGGTAAAACCCAGGACCCATCCACGGGGGGCGGCCCTGGCGGTAGCCACCCATGTGGTTATTGAAGTGAGGCCCATACCCCAGGGACTGTTGCCACGAGAACATGTCCTTGTCCATGTTGAAGGCATACATCAACGCCGTATCCTTGGCATCCTCGGGGTTCTTGAAGCCTCGCTTTCGCGAGTACTCATGGAAGCGAAGAGGACCTGCTCCAGTGCAAGAGGTCCTGGTCACGCATAAGTTTTAATACAAGGCATCTGATAGTGACATGTTAGGACTTACATGGCCAAGTAACCATCACCGATGATGGGGATACTCATTGACTTTGTGAAGTTGGTGGGCTGGTACTCATTCACTCCAACCTCCTTCAGGTAACCCATGGCGCCCAAGTGGCGCATTAGGCGAGCTTGAATCATGTTAACACCGGCATCGCGAATCGTTCATGTGATTGTTTGTACTTTCACATGGGAGTAATTTAATTGGACCCGAAAGTACTCACCTAATAGAACTCGGTCGACTCCAAGGGTAGAGGCCAGATCATCCACTTTTTGGGGCTTATCGCCGTTCTTTGCCATGAGCTTCCATAGTCCGGAGTCAACACCAAAGTTAAGGCCAGCAAGAGCACCGGTCTGGATCAGTCCAAAGGTCAATTGATGTGATGACGTAAATCTAAGGGGTGGCTGCCACAAGAAGCTATCGTACCTGGGCCCAGCAGTGTTTGACCATGGTCTCACGAGGGGCCTCGAGAGCCTGGGTCAATGTCCTTGCCTTGAGGAGCATCTCATGACGGGCAGCATCTCCTCCGTTGGCTAAGCTGTCAAGACCTGCCTGGAGTTCTTTAATCAGGTTGGGAACGGCATCGATGTCGTTCGGTTGCAGGGCTACTGAGATAGGAACGCTATCAGAGGCCATGGTTGAAGCTTTGTTTAATCGGACTGGAATTGTTTTGGAGCAGGATAATTTGATATCCCGTTTGTGGCTTGTCGCTGATCGTAACCGGTTTACTTTACTGGTGAGACGGCATACGAGAGAACGACTGGGTGATCGAGGAGATATAATGTGGCAATTCCCTTCTGGTCTCTCCACAGATGTGCAAATGTTGCCTCCCCTGGAAGGAAGCCATAATCAGGGCTATTGACAAGGAAGTGATTGTAGGGGTTGGAGATTCTGCGGGTCTGCACTGCTAGCAGCTGTTGTTGGTTGTCTTGCTAGCCCAGGTTCTGCACCCGTTGGTTCTCTCTGAGCATTTTCCCTACTAGTCTACTGTAGGGGCATAACTGTAGATGCCCAACCTCGAACCAGACCCAAGGGATGGTTCTCTGTAAGCCTTGCAATTGATATGTTTGTTGAACATCTGGGCCAACCGATGCCATTCTATACCCTAACAGAACACAAGTCAGAGAGATCAGCGCAATAAACTGCTAAATATCGATTAACTTTGTTTTCTCATTGATCGAGGGGGGATAAGACTGAACAAGGAACAAGGAGCTGCTTGCATATGACCCAACAGGTAGCGGGCGGTGGCAGCCTGAGACTCCTCTTTCTCGATGATCCCAATACGTACCGTTTTTGCTTTTTCTGGAGCTGAGTATACATCGCCCCC